GCATTCCTTAAGCTCTCTTGTGCCTTCATCATTCTTTCACTTTCAACCTTTCTTAAGTTTTTCTTTGCCTCCGTTCTTTAAAGTCTTGCTTAGCTTTGCACGCTTTGGGGGTCGTAAGGCTGAGCTAGCACTTGATCGTTAGTTGTTTTGTGCTAGTGCGGCACGGCCGTTACTTTGAAAAAGTAAGCCCGTGACACCGTCCCTAGTTAACCGTCCCCGGTTAACCCGGGACGGGTGGACTGCCCGGTCGGTCAATTTTTTTTTTTTAATTTTCAATTTTTTTTATTTTCTTTGTAGTCAAATTATTTGATTTGAAAAAATTATAGGGTTAAAATGGTCCAAATTAAAATATGTGACTTCAAGTAGTAAATGTGGTGACTTTGAAAATAAACACCCAATATAAAATGTCATACTCTGGACACAAGGGGTGTAATATACTAAAAAAAAAAAAATTGTTATGTTCATTCTGTCTTAAAAAATTACAATTTATTTAATACAGTTTGTATTACAAATAAAAATCCAAAATAAATAAGTATTTCATAACCGAGAACATACATATGCTTCGCAATCTGCAGACTGCAGTTTGTCTATTTTGATACGTTAGACTGTTTGCAACTCAACCTTTACAAGTTGAAAGGACGACATTGTAGGTTTATCATTTATTCTCATCCTCTTTCTGTTAGTAACCATTACATTATTTGCATTTAATTTTCCGCATTATTTTCTCCGTTTCTCATATCAAAGGGAAAGAAAGGTAGACATTAGAACTGTTGAACTTTGGTTGATGAATTGATCGACCTTCCTCTTTCATCTACGCCCAAAATGTATCTGATGTTGGACAGTTCGGGCAATATTTCAAAGAAGGGGTCAGATTACTGATTCCGTCAAAGATTTTTTTCTCTACTTTTTAAGGTTTGAGTACGTAACCAACATTTATCATTCCCAAAAAAAGAAATTGTTTAAATTAAAAAAGAATAATTTAAATGACTAACTATAGTCCAATTTGGAAACATTGGGTACGAAAAGTCAACACATTGCTATGCTGGGACGAATCTATTTCCCAAATTTATACTTCGAGAATTTTCACCACTCACTGATATCTTATCGCTGTCTTCAAATGCACATAAGTTGAATTAATGCAGGTCAAATATGATACATACTTTCCTTTGAACGTAAATATATATATATATATATATATATATATATATACACTAATTCTATCATTCGTCGCGCACATTTTATTAATAAAACAATAATAGTTTTCCGGGCTAGAAGATATATAGTACTAAGTTTTAATGGAAAAAATGTCGTTCCTACCTAAAACTTTGCCCTCGTCGTCAATTATACCCAATAGATTTTCGATTAGCCAACTTTACCTTAATGTTTGAAATTTTCGCTAATTTCGTCCGATCGGCCCATTTTCTGTCCAAATTAACAGATCCCCGTTAGTTTTTTAATAAAATAATAAATTTAAATACAAAAACACCCCAGTAGTTTGTAAAAATTTTAAAAATAACCCCTAAAATATATAAAAATAACAAAATAGTCGCTTTTCTTTTTTTATTTCATTTTTCTCTATTTTGTTCTATTTCTCTCAACTACTTTTACTGAACATAAAAGTATATTATATGAATTTTAAAAAAATATTTATTTATTTTCAAACTCTACCGTAAAAGTTAATCTTCGTATAGTTGTAACATATAATTGTATTTATATAAGCATGTTAATCTTTTTAATAATATAATTTAGCAATAAAGACACTATTTTTCTGATTTATTTTATTCTTCCTAACATAAAGATTAAAAACATTTAAATGAAACTAATATTCCACATAAAAATAAAATATTAGCTCAAATAAAAAATAATATATTAGTATAATTTAGTGTATTACAATTTAACTAGAGAGACTACATGGCATAATATAATTTATAAAAAATATGTTTATACTTATCAATGCAAGGATTTAAGATTTTGTAATAATTATTTGAGATATTAATATATCTAACTATAGAGGAAGTCTTACTAGCTTATTCTATATGATTTTAGTTTAAAATAAATGAATGGAGGTAACAATATGGAAATAAGTTGTTGTGATAGAAAATAGGTTTTAGATTCAAGAAGGAAAACTTATGTTTGCAGGATTTTTTTAAGTTTTAATTATTTTATATTTTAGTTATTTTTTTATGAATTATATTAATGCAAGTTATAGTCTCTTGAGTAAATTGTAATACACTAAAATATATTAATATTTTTTTATTTGAGCTAATATTTTATTTTTATGTGGAATATTAGTTTCATTTAAATATTTTTAATCTTTATGTTAGGAAGAATAAAATAAATCAAAAAAATAGTCTCCTAATTATTTTATATTTTATTTATTTTTTTATGAATTATATTAATGCAAGTTATAGTCTCTTGAGTTAAATTGTAATACACTAAAATATATTAATTTTTTTTATTTGAGCTAATATTTTATTTTTATGCGGAATATTAGTTTCATTTAAATATTTTTAATCTTTATGTTAGGAGGAAGAATAACATAAATCAGAAAAATAGTGTCTTTATTGTTAAACTATATTATTAAAAAAATTAACATACTTATATAAATACAATCATTGGTTACAACTATACAAAGATTAATTTTTACGGTAAAATTTGAAAATAAATAAATATTTTTTTAAACTCATATAATAGACTTTTATGATCTTTATAAGTAGTTGAGAGAAATGGAACAAAATAGAGAAATATAAAATAAATAAGTGAAAAGGGAATGTTTTGTTATTTTTATATATTTTAGGGGTTATTTTTAAAATTTTAAAAAATTAATGGGTGTTTTTGTAATTAAATTTATTATTTTATTAAAAAACTAACGTAAATCCGTTAATTTGGACGGAAAATGGGCCGATTAAATGAAATTGGCGAAAATTTCAAATATTAGGGTAAAGTTGAGTAACCGAAAATTTATTGGGTATGATTGACGACGAGGGCAAAGCTTTGGACAGTAAGGACAGTTTTTTCATTGGAATCATGATGCTAACTCTAGAAATTAGTCCATCACCATAATGCTAAAGCAAAAAATCAGAAATTAATCATTACAGAAAAACGAAAACAAATCTAATAAAAAGAACAAAACTAAAACAGCCTACCAATTGGCTTCCATGCCCTATCAATAATACAATTCAACAATCATAGTCTATGAGATAAACCAGATTATCAAATCCCAAATTAGGTAGGTGACTTCCATCAGAAGAACGCATCTTTCCGCTTTAAGGTACATTAAAAAAAGAAACAACAGGAAAAGCCTCGAATTCCACATTTGGAAAAAATTGAAAATTAATTCTGCAATAAACCTTTACACCCATCGTATCAAACCCAACTTTTTAACCATAATTCCCTTCCTCAAATGAATTTCCCTCAACAAATTCAACTAAACATATGAACAATGAAACAAACAGGTAAGCATACAAAAAACAAACGCAAATCTATGGAATTCGACCCGCACCAGGAAAACCGAAGCCACCAAACCAGCTCAAAAAACACCCAAATGCAAAATTAAACTGCTCCGGCACAATCACAATAGCAGTATTGAGACTCTCCGACCATATTAATCCACCCGCCGACTATTGCGTTAACCAAAACCTCTTCAAAGGAAAAGGAAGTAAACGCAGCAGCGTGAAACGGAAATTGGGAACACGAAAGAAGCCATCAAATCCGACACTTTTCGGGGAAATTCACCGCCTTCCGGCCGTTATCGGAACTCCCTTCCGATTCTTCATTTTCAAGGAACGATCTGATGATTCAAAAAAGGTTGGTGGAGAGATAAGGGTGCAGATCCTCCCAGCCAGATAAAGGGGCTTTCACGGGAATTTCGCCAATCTGGGTACAGGAGATGCGAGACCTGATCGATTGAGGAGGCGGCGAGATCAATCTCTTCGTAATAGGCCGGGAAGTGCTGATGATTGGCGTCGACGTGGATGCGAGGAGGAGGAGGACGACAATGACTGACTTGAGGAAAATTAGGGGAAAAGAACGGATTTTGATTTTCTCCAATTTTATGTCTTAACGGTGTCGTTTGTGTAGACGACGTCGTTTGGTGTGTCCACTTTTTTTCACAAGATTAATGGAAAAGAATTTCATTTTGTAATGACAAATTTACCTTTACTTAAGTTATGACCATCAAATGAAATTAAACAGTTGGATTAAAACTATTCACCCATTAAGATTGCTCAATTTGAGCTAAAATTCTAGATTTAAGAGACGTTTACTTTACCTTTATATATATATATATATATATATATATATATATATATATATATATATATTCCGTCTCAAAATAAGAAACGTGATGCTGGAAAAAATAATTAAAAATTTGAGTATTTCTTTTCGTTAAGAGAAATCAATCACGTGTATTCATTGCATTTACTAAATAGTGGCAATTTTAGGTGGATCTTTTATTTTAGAAGAGGAGGGAAACAATTGAGAATTTAAAGATTTTTTGTTCGTTGAGAGAAATCAATGTACTCTTATCACTGACTGAAGTAGGGTCTAGTGTCGGTGGATCAGATTTAAACAGCCAGTTGAAATCGTAAATTAAATTGTGTGTTCCTACCTTGCTAATTACCTAGACACAACAGGAGAATTCTGGTTCATTTCTCGTAAAAAGTTACAATTACATTTCTAACAAGACTGACTTTCCCAATCATTAAAGATTCTCCAACCTCATATTGGCGGAATGTTCCAAACTCAAGGCACGAATAAATTCTCACCCATCTATGCAAGGTGCGTTCCTGGTATTACCTTTACAAAAAAAAAAAAACAAAAAAAAGAGAGAGAGAGAGAGATAGAGAAACTTTTCACCATGTAAATATACATACTAGCTAGCTAGCCAAAAAGTTTAACAAGAAATCATTCTTTAAAACAAACACTTGATTTATTATCATTATTATTTGAATAACATTATTATAGACGGTCATAGTATTACACAATAATGTTATAGAATACTCTATTGTTAGACGTTTTCATATATGTTCATCCCTTTTCGCTTAAATAAAATTAAAGGGAAAAAAATAGCAAGATACCACCTATAAAAATAGCTAGTAGTGTATAAGCAAGAGCAAAACACTCCGATTCATCATATCGTCTCTTAAATAAGAGTTGCGATCTCTCCTTTGGTCCACACAATATGGAGAACAAATTTGAAGATGATCAATTTCACGAGTTCTACCAAAAGCTACCTAAAAAACGTCAGCTGTTTGCTCAATACAGAGGCTCTTGGTTCATGGAACCGGTTCTGCGTGGTGTAGTGGCATTCCAACAACACTTTGAAGCCCAAGATTCCGACATCATCTTAGCCACCATGCCTAAAGCCGGTACCACGTGGCTTAAAGCCCTAACCTTCGCCATTGTTAACCGGCACAAATTCCCGATTTCGGAAAGCCCTTTGCTCTTCCAAAACCCTCATCTACTTGTTCCTTTCCTTGAACTCCATCTTTACAAGGAAGGCCAAATCCCCGATCCGAACTCCCTCAACGTTGCTGGCGGCGAACGGCGAGTTTTGGGGACACATTTACCTTACCAGTGCCTGTCAGAAACCGTCCTGGATACTTCTGGTTGTCGAATCGTCTATCTCTGTCGAAACATTTTGGATGTGTTTACCTCTTATGTCCATTTCTTGGTTAAAAATGGGGTTTACCCGGATTTGTCGCAAAAGAGTTGGGAGAACCTTCTCGATGCATTTTGTGAGGGCACAAATCAATATGGTCCTTTCTGGGATCACATCAAGGGATACAAAGAGGCAAGCTTGAAAAACCCTAACAAAGTGTTGTTCTTGCATTACGAGGAGCTTAAAAAGGATACCAAATCTTGTGTCAAGAAAATGGCCGAGTTCTTGGGATGCCCATTTTCTACGCAAGAAGAAGAAGATGAATCGGTTGAAGGAATCATAAAGCTTTGTAGCCTCGAAAACCTCAAGAACTTGGAATGTAATAAACATGGGGACACAGGATCCGTGTACAGCTTTAAGTGCAGTTCACATTTCAGGAAAGGAGAGATTGGAGATTGGGCGAATTTTCTCACTCCTTCCGTGGCTGAACGCCTTGAAAGCTTGATGAAAGAAAAGTTTGAAGAATCAGGTTTGGATCTAAATATTCATTAGCGAAATGAAATCTTTTGTTGAAGGATCAGCTTTGAAACCAAGACACTGTTTCTCTATATAGATATATCATGAATAAGTGATGCCTCCCTCAATTAGTAAACCTAAGTTTACTGTTTACCATTATGTACTGTCTGGGAGTTTGTTTCATTTGCTATTTTCATTAATTGAATTGTCATTAATGTTGCAATAAGACCAAATTCGAGGCTTTCGGCTATGCATAATTTTTTTTTTCTTTCTAATTTTTTATGGATATTTAAACCTTCTAAATACAATTTTCTTAATTTCTGAATGCACATTGAGAAAACGTTCCGAACAAAAAGTAGCATTGACTGAATTATTTTGGATTCCAATTTTATGGGATGTCCCCGAAGGAGAATTTCTTTTGGGTGGAAACTAAAGATATTTGAAGTAATGAGTTGCTGCTGGTACTAACTACTAACAACCAGGATGAATGGTTGGGTAACCTTTTGACTAGGGTTCTATCAACAAAAGAACAAATTAGTGGCAGAAGTTTTACAATATTTGTCACTGGGGCTTGAGCCGGATTAATCCGTCTGTCCAAAATTACTATTCAGTTTGAATTTTCACTTTTAGTTCAATTTGTACTAAAACGAAAATTCAAACTGGACAATAATTTCGAGATGGAGGGAGTACATCAGAATATATGCTGCCTGCATTTTGTGGAAGTATTGTACCCAAATGATGATGAACAAATGGGATCTGCGGACTCGGGAGCATTTCCCAGTCCTTACCGGCGATCTTACAGTAAGAGGTTCCTTTTGTTAATGGTGGAAGTCATTCATGATTTTGATCTCAATTTACATCTCAGGATGGAGGTACACAGCATTTTTTTAAGCTAACTACTAATTAACCCATAAACAAAGCTATATATGTAGAGTATTGGTAAAGATGGTGAATATGTAGATGTAATGAAATGACAAAATTGTCTAATATATCTTCGGACTGTATCTCCTTAATGGCTTTGGACAAAATCACAGATAGTAATTAAAGACAGTTATACTAGTTGCGTTGCCATGTAATTCAGTATCTCATTTGCCTACATCTCGTTGGGCTATATTTTTTTATAGAAAAAATTTGACAATAAAATTTAAAAGAAATTAATGATAATGCTATAAAATCTTAACTCTTGAATAGACCTTAAACCTAAGGTATATGTATGGACGGTTATAATTTATTTTTTGTTTAAATTCTCTATCAATGTTTCTGACACAAAACATTATCAATTTTTTTAATGGCTTTGTTGTTGAAGTGGTAGTTACGATATAATGATATATATGGTGGATTAAAGTGATGGTCAATTTCGTGTAATAGTACTTTGTAACATGGATATTTTAACACTATACACCAATATATATCATTCGCTTCTTTGAGCTTCTCGTAAAATTAGATCCACGCTCCTTTCATGGACTACCAACATGTAACCTCAACATGGTCCACACCTGCATGTTCAATCACAGGCTGTAGGAATATATATTCAGTGTGTAAATATTACTGATATGAGTGTGAATTGTGTTATATAATAGTGACACGATATCGTTATATTTATGAATGAAATACGCAGGCATAGTACTGTACTAAAAATATAAAATCGAAAATCTCATTTGAATACACAGTACGATGTAGTTACAATAAGAACTGGGTTTCTAAATCGTCGGCGCATAATGTAACTTTCTCAGGGTCGTTCGGCCAAAAAAATTTTAAGGAATTGATGCGGGCAAAAAAAAAATTTTGGACATAAATAGTTGTCCCGAATTTGGCAAATCCGAGAGCTTAATTAAACGGGTTTTTGGATTTGCTAAATTCGAAACATTTTAATATAATAAAAAATTATATATTTTCTTTATTTCAGAAAATACGGAAAATAGAGTCAAAAGGTAAATAGTGAGTTCGAATTTGCGAAATCCGAAAGCCTTTAAATTTAATATTAAAGAATGAACAAAAACGGTGGGCAAATTCCAAAATTGGAACAAAAAAATCTGATTTGCCAAATCCAAGTTCTAGGATTTAGGGTTTAGGGTAACCTCTCGGATTTGCCAAATTCGAGGGCATCCTTTCTGTTTAGAGGTAATCCGTCCTTGTGAATAAGGTTATTGGATGTATTAAATCGGATCAGATAAGGTGACGGACATTCGGATTTGACAAATCCAAGAGTCCCACATGAATAGTGACTCTCGGATTTGCCAAATCCGAAACATACGAGATATGAAAAGAAAAAGTTGCAGCTTCTCTTCATATCGGGGTTTTCAACTTGTGAGGGTTAGTGAAGGTTGTGGCCGGAGTTTTTCATACTTTTGGACGCACATTACCGCTAAATACAACAAGAATCGTTATTCTAACGAGGTTAGTCATTAAATTAATGTTATTTATTTGTTTTGTTGTGTATTTATATTGTTTGAAGATGGAAGATTGTTAGGACTTAGGTTTAATGATTATGAATGTGATATGGTAATGTAGATGTTTTCGTTGAGTTTATAGGTTAGGATTGTTGTTATTTTAAGAATTGATTGAGGTTAATTTAATGAATTTAGATGGATTTTGTTTGTATGGAAATTTGATAGGGTTTAGGGATTATAATTTTGATTATGTTGAATTATAATTAACAGGCCAATAACAATTAAAATGTCAGCGCACGGACCATACATATTTAATTTGTTTCATAGAAGCAAGTATGTGATATAGAATGGTATAGTGAACACATTTGAGAAAAAGCCGGACGAAACTCTTGTCATTGATAGTAGGTTGTCATATGGTGAGTTGCTTGGTTTGATTTGTGTGGCGTTCGGTTGGAATCTTGAAATAGCTAGGAAACTCCACATTTCGTTAATCTTTGTGACTCACGGTATAAGGCGCGCCATGAAGATAGAGAATGATTCACATGTTGGGATCATCTACCATCTCGAGCCAATGACAAGTGTGGATTTGTACATAGACGCAGAGAATATCACTAATCAAGAAGATGAAAACAATCATTATGGTGGATCTTTCTTTGCACAAGATGATCACATGGATGAGGGTGAATAAGATGGTCCAAGGCAAGAACAAGCAAGTACTTCATGGGTTCGTGAAGAAGATGGTGGAAGTTTATTTACACAAGATGATCACATGGATGAGAATGATTCCGACTATGTAGCTCCAAGCGAAAGCTCAAAAGCACGCGATCCCTCTTTGAGTAGTGATGATGAGGAAAGTAATGATGAAGAATTGGTGAATGAAGAAACGGAACTAAATCCATTTCCCCGGCACCATGTGTATAAGGAAATGGGTGAATGGAATGCTTCGAGTGTTTACAAGGATGATCTTGGTATAAAAATGTGGGATGAGACTCCTGAAGGGATGGGTATTAAAGTTTGTTTCAAGTCACAGGGAGAAGCGAAACATGTCGTGAAGTTGTGGAGTATCCACAATAAAAGGGAGTTAAAGTTTATCGCGAGTAACCCTTCGACGTGGGCGGTTCGATGTAGGACATTAGATTCCCACACCCCCCCCCGCCTCCCAAGATGGCGAACCTATATGCAAATGGAAGATCCGCGTGTCACTAAAAAAGCATGGGTTGCATCAAATAGTGAAATGGCGGTCCTCACACAATTGCATGAGGGTGGTTAACAATAATGACAACCGTTGTGTGGACTCGGCATTTATTTGTAGACTAATCATGAGAAAGGTTGCGAACAACGTAGATTACACGGTAAAATCAGTGTAAAAAGATGTGAAGGAGTTGGTAAAAGTTGATGTCCCCTACAAAAGGGCGTGGAACGGGAGGAGGAAAGCCATAGAGGCGGTTTATGGTGATTAGTCCTCCAATTTTGAAGATCTTCCTAGGTAAATTTCAATTTTGATAAACGTCAATTGATTTGTTTTAGTTTTTACTTATATTGTCATATATTAACTCGAGCAAACTTTATGTGTAGGTATATTGAAACACTTAAGAGTACTAATCCCGAAACTGTAGTGGAATGGGAATTGAATGAGGGAGAAGAAGGTTGGAATATGGGAAGTAGAACTTTTAAATACGTGTTTTGGTCACTTGCACCAGTGGCTAACACTTTCCTTGAATGTCCGCCGGTGATTTTTGTTGATAGAACACACCTACGTGGGGGATACAAGGGTAAGTTGCTAGTTGCTGTGGTGTATACCGCAAAGAAACACATTTTACCGGTTGCATTCGCCGTGGTTGGTGAAGAGACCACTGAAAGTTGGGCATTTTTTATGAAACACTTGAGATATCATGTTGTGGGTGACACCAAAGATAGTGTCATTTCCGGCCGGAACGCTGGGCTTTTGAGGGCAATGTCAGAAATACCATAAATTATACATTTGATTTTTTTTGTATTGAAAGGTGGAATTGCTCTTACTCCTACAAGGACGTACCGAGGTCTACTCTCCCGGGTTCTAGAGATCAATTGACTGCCTTAAAAGCCAGTGATGTAAGCATGAATCACTTTTTTTATTACTTTTTTTTTTTGCCACCATTCTTATGTGAATTAATTCTTCGTTAATTCCCAATTTTTTTCACAGTTTGTTTTGCAACCCTACGAGGATCTCCTCCCTACCCTCCTTGATTGTTGTAAACAGGGAAGTGCCATTTAGATGGCAAGGACGTAGATGTTCTACTGGGCTATCCGAGAACCCCACGAAATTGACAGGGTCGTGAGACAGTTTGGCTACATTCAAGCTGTTCCCTGATGGCCTATGATTGCCAATATCCAAGAGAATCAGAATGCTCACGAACACAACATGTCTGGGCTTACTGAGAAAAATTGGGTGGATCACCATAGTAAAGTACGCCCCCATTAGAATAGGAGACACCGAAACATTGCATCGGATTTGGAGGAATGAGAGGAGCCCGGTCAAACCGATGAGAAGTACCGAAGCGTGGCATAATAAAGGTTCAGTGAACTTGATAAGCGATCCAAGCCACTACACATCAGCCATATATGAGTCTTTCTCGAGCAGGGTGAAAGTCTATGTAAGTGTTTATTTGTAATTTATGGAAGTGCATTTTACTCTATTCATATAAATTTTGAATTATACTCCTTTAGTTAACGCATCATTTGATTTCCAGGGTAAAGTTCTGAACAAAGTCCGTATGAGGGCCATATCATTCCGAGAAGAACGTCGTAGAGCCCATGACCTAGACAACAAGCTCAAAAAGGTGCTCGACTATTTCGCGGACGTAACCCACACTGCTTTAACTCTCAAAAAGGACGATGAGATGGAAATTGAGGATTTCCAAATCCTTGTGAAATATGAACCGCATCGCCCCTCACAAGGTCCGCGCGGTGAAACAATGAAGTCGTGGCCAAGAAAGAAAATTTGAGGAGGAAGAAAGCGAAGGAATCCTTTCAGGCCATCACAAGATCACGCGGAAGGTTCGGGCCAACACGAGCAAGAGAACCTAGGAGGAGAGAATGTGGGAGGAAGGGAGGAAATGGGAAGAGACAATGTGAGAAGAGAGAACGATGTTGATTCTTTGAGAGGATCTTACACCCCACATGAAGAACAGGTACCTCTCACCATTACTCTCGGAGGAGACTCGCAAATCCTAAACGTGGAGCCAATTCTTACAATCCGTCCAGAGCCGGAGGAACAAGAAGTTCGCAAATCCGACAGGACGCGCAACCTGCCGTTTAACTTTACCCCGCCCACTATTCCTAGGAGAGGAAAAGGGAAAAAATGATTGTTGATTATTCTTTTTTAGGGTTTTGGAATGATTTGTATTGTAAATTGAGAATTTTACATTATTTTGTTATGAAAATGTTATCGTTTTGTTGTTGAATTACTTTGCAGAATCTATGGACTCTCGGATTTGCCAAATCCGAGACTCGTCCTATCAATTTTTTCACTTGGAATTTTTTTTAAATTTAAAATAATATTTATTCGACAATTCGGATTTCTCAAATCCGAAACACCTTGTGTCGGATTTGGGTGATCCGTTTCTAGTCAATTTTAATTTTCGAACACTTGGTATTTTTCGTAAAATAAAAAATATTTTTTTATTGAAGTCATTCGAATTTTTCAAATCCGAAACCTGATTAATTTTAATTAATTATTTGGTCTTATTTAATTAATTTCAGGTTAGACGACTTTTGGATTAGCCAAATCCGTGTTTAGCTTCTCCCGGATTTGCGAAATCCGACTTCTTCTTACTCTCGGATTTGACAAATCCGGGATATCTACTTCTGTCACCTTTTCCTTTTCACATTATTTTTATTCAGGTTCTTCTCTTGATAATTTTAACTTTCTCATAGTCAACAAAATACATGGTAATATGCAACATTCATAAATTGGCCTGAGGACTAATTAAAATTCCGCCCAAAGTGGTTAGTGGTTACGTCACAAGAATAATTGAAATATATAGTACTCTTTGTATTTCAATAAAATAGTTCATATCAAAATTTTAATGCAATGTACAAATTATAATGTGAACTATTTTTTCTAAGATGGGGGAAATAATTTGTAATCAGCATCAGTTTCCATCAACTGCACAGCGCAAAATAAAGTGAAAGAAAGCCCCTCACCTTAATGTTTTCATTTTCTTTTATTATTTTTATTTTTATTTTTATTTTGATTCTTCATTCAAAAATATTCTAAAATATATATAGACTGCAAAATGTGAAATGAGTGGGTTTTTGAACTGAATGCAGTGGGAGTTAAGACGAGCGAAACAAGAATGGTCTAAAGAAGCAGCTTTGGGAGAGAGTATATATTCCAAAGGTTTAAAACTATTGGAGGAAGTACAAGTTCTCAAATTTCATAATAGTAGTATTAGTGGTTCTGGTGATTGTTTGGTGGAAATGGATATTTTGGAGAAACTGCTGGATACCTGGACTTGGTTCTAAGGAGCTACTTGGGATGGATTAAAGTTTTGGAAATGGCAACAAATACCAGAATGGAAATGGAGTAATATTGAATTTTTTAGTCAGCTCTTCTACTCATCGATGTTTATCATAGCGAGGGAAATTAGTCAATATTATCGACGGTAAATATATTGTAATATAATTTTAAAAAAAAATAGAATACTTGATGAAACCAAAATCCTTTTATTTGTGGTCTCGCAGGTTTACTTCTCATCACGCGATTATGGGTACTCATTCAAGGCCTGATGAACTCTTTCCGTTTTTCAAATTGTTGAAGCCCAAGAAGCAGCTGTCTAAAGACGAGGTTGTCCACCCAATTCTACCACCAGATACTCTCAAGAGAGGGGTGCTTTGGCTAAAAAATGGGGTAGAAAAAGGAGTAGAGAGATCTATAATTTTTTTTTTTTTTGGTAAAGAAAAATGTCGAGATCGGATTCTCAAAATCCGACCTACTAATTAAATTAGTAGTTCGGATTTTAGGAATCCGATTTAATAAAATAACAATTTTTATTTCCGGAAAATATATATGAGAAAAATGTATTGAAAGTCAAATAAAGAACAGTCAAAGGTCGGATTTTAGGAATCCGACCTTGTTTATTTTCATAAAAAAATACAAGCGGGAGATTTGAAAATTAAGAACAGTTCAACATCGGATTTACAAAATCCGACCTTATTTAAGCATACCTAACAGTAGGTATCGGCATTGAATGGACGTTATTAGTCGGCGTAAGATCGGATTCTTGAAATCCGCCTTACATGTAAATCGGATTTTTTAAATCCGATTTTATAAGTAAAATCGGATTTTAGAAATCCGACTTTATTGTGTTATAATGGGGCGACGGAAAACACTGTTCACATATCGGGATTTTTGGTAAAGTAGGCTATTTCTTGAAGGAGGAGATGATTTTAGTGGCGATTTGAAGATTTTGTTCACGATTCTTCGCAACGGATGTCTTAAAACCATTTCATAAGAAGGTTAGTTAATGTTTTGATGTATTTAGAATTATTTTCTGTGTAAAAGTTTAGAACTAGGATGATTTATAAGGTTTTAGGGTTGATGTTGGGTGTAGTTGATGATTGTTGTTGTATACGTGGTATTGAACGTTCAATTTAGTAAAATGCTTGAATTTGGCCTAAACTTTTGAATTTGTAGGGGGTTTAGTAAATTTAGTGTTGATTATGCCTTGTTTGTGGTAATTGTTATAATAAGTTGTTTGATAATGCCTTGTTTGTGTCATTTTTTTAATAATTTGTTCATGATGCGTTGTAATTCATGTAATCAATGAGATATAAATGGCGTTTAACGGTCCATATTTCATTAATGTCTATTGGTCGAGCAAATTTGTAGTGAAGAATGGGATTGTGAATAGTTTTAACAACATGCCGGACGATTCCTTTGTGATTGATCATAAGTTATTGTACAATGATTTGGTTGGACTGATTTGTGAAAGAGTGGGGTGGAATAGAAAGAATGTGAATTTGAGTCTATCGATTTTGTATGATACGATGCGCAATGGTTTTAGGCGTATCGCCAAAATCAAGGACGACGCATCGTTGCAAGTGTTGTATTTCCTCCCAAGTTCGACATATATTGATTTGTATGTAGATTTGGAGGTGGCGGGTACTTCTAGGTCCCATTTGGAAGTAGGGACAAGTAGTGGTAGGCCGAATGTGGAGAATGTCGATTACATGGAAGATGATGATGTGGGTGGACCGTTTATGGAGGATGGCGATCACATGGAATATGATCACGGTGAAGATGATGAGGACTACACATCGATAAGTGATCAAAGTGATGAAAACCAATCAATATCCGAAGGAAGTCGGGAGAGTGATGAAGAGGTCGAAGACAAATTCGCCACAAAGGATAGGCACATATATCGTTCACAGGGTACGTGGGATCATACAAAAGTGGACAAGGATGATTTTCAACTTACCATGTGGGATGGGACAACCGCAACAATTGGGATAGGGACTTGTTTCAAGAATAAGGAAGAAGCAAAAAATGGTATTGCAGCGTGGAACATAGAGCAAAAGAGAGAGTTTTATGTGAAGGAAAGTGATGGTTCAACATGGTCTATTTGGTGCAAATCCCTAAAAGAGTCAACCCCTAAGGGTTATGTTCCTTGCCGTTGGAAGGTACGTGCCTCCTTGAGAGACCATGGTTTGTGGGAGATAGTGAAATGGGTGCCCGAGCACAATTGTATGAATGTCACCGAGGATAACAATAATCGGAATGTGAGCGCAACGCTTATTGCGCATCTCATAAGGCATAAGGTTGAGTTGGACCCAGATTATGAAGTGAATCTAGTTCAGGAAGAAGTGAAAGACCGTATGCATGTAGATGTTCCTTACCACAGGGCATGGGAGGGAAGGAGAAAAGCTATCGATCTTGTTTACGGCGACTGGGTTTCCAATTTTGACATACTTCCAAGGTATTTACTTAAGTCCTATCTAATTTTTTTGATTTGTTTGTAATTTAGGAATAAAATAAGGATTAATTATTTTATTTTAATTTAGATTTTTCGCCGCCCTAGAGAAGAGCAACCCCGGCACAGTTGTAGAGTGGGAATGGCAACCGGGTTGGACCGATATAGAGAGGACGTTCAAATATATTTTTTGGGCATTCAAGCCTGCAATTGATTGTTTTGCTAAATGTCCTCCGGTGATTAGTATCGACGGGACGCACTTGCGCGGCGGATACAAAGGTAAATTACTTGCTGCAATGGTCAAAATGCGAATAAGCGCATCCCGCCAATTGCATATGCGATCGTGGATGAAGAGAGTGAGGAAAGTTGGTCATTCTTCTTGAAGCATTTGAGTAATCATGTTATATCCGACCGGCCTGTGTGTGTTATATCCGATCGGCACAAGGGTATCATCAGTGCAATACGCCTAATGCCCGAATGGAATGCATACCACCGGTTTTGCCTTCGTCACGTCCGTAGTAACTTGGTGGCGCAGTTTCGAAGTAAAAAGATCAAAAGGTTGTGTTGGGAGATGGGCACGAAACTTTCTAAGTCTAAATTCAAAGAACTAAGGAATGAGCTACGTGATTTTAGCAATGATGCTTATTTGTATCTCGAGGAGATTGATGCTTGTCAGTGGACTCTTGCCAAAGACAAACACTATCGTTGGGGTAACCAGACAACGAACATTTCTGAGAGCTACAACAACGTCCTCAAGGGTGTTCGTTTCTTGCCAATCCGGGCTTTGGTGGAAGCTACTTTTATTAAGACTGTGGATTTGTTCCAGGAAGAATACGTGAAGTCGAGGAAATGTATTACTCCGGTCCCAACTGACTTGTGGGAAGACTTCAAGAAAAAAGAAAAGAAAGCCGCGCAACACAAAGTCAACTGTTATGGTGCTATTAATGGCAAGTTCAAGGTGAAAAGTAGAGCCCGACTTGGTGGTAAAGGGGATAACACGTACACTGTGAAATATGAAGAGAAGAAGTGTTCTTGCAAGAAGTGGCAAGAGTATAGGTTCCCTTGTACACATGCACTAGCTGTGTGTCGGAAGATAAAAGATCAACCAATCAATACGGTGAATCCATATTTCAGGGTTGTTGCTTGGCAAGACCAATTCAGGGGCGCGATGACTTTTCCCCGGTCGCTGATATGAGAAGATGGCCTAAGGTTGGATGGAGACTCGTTCCTAACTACGAGCGAGTTATTATGCATGCTGGACCCGGTCGTTGGCAAAAGAAGAGATTTAAAATGCAAATGGATTATAGGGGACGCAAATCGAGGGATGAATGTTTGAGATGTGGCTCAAGGAATCATTTCACCAATACGTGCCCAAAATCACACAAGAAATCCGATAGGACAAGGCTCAAGATCAATTGGGACGCCGATGGTATTCACAACGACTAGGATTGTTTTGTTTCACAATGTTTCATGTCTCGAAACTTTTGATATTTATACTTTAGTTTGTTCGATTTGGAGTTTATGTTGTATTTCTTTTGAATCATGAGGCTTAATGAATTAGTTTAGTTAATATATTGTTATTGTGTTTGATATTAGTACTTGTGTATCCGAAATACAAAATCCCATCTAGGCATAAAGCCGGATTTTCTGAATCCGATTTCAAAAGAAAATCGGATTTAGTAAATCCGATCTAGGCATAAAGCCGGATTTCCTGAATCCGATTTATGCACTGTTCACTCAGAAGGTCGGATTTTGGTGAAATTTGCAACCAACTTCGTAACTCTCTGTCCAAGGTCGGATTTAAAAAATCCGACCTTGTTTCTCAATGAATAAATCGGATTTGACGAATCCGATTTTTTACGAGTATTTAACCGGTTGACCAAAATTTGGGGGAGTCAAAATCGACTCCCCCTTCTTCTCCAACCCTAAACCCGGATTCCCCTCCCCGGTCGGATTTTTCCTCAAGGTCGGATTCCCCAAACCCGCGATTCCCCCCGGCGATTTCCCTTTGTTCGATTCTCTTCCCGCGATTCCTCGTAATTTGTCCATTTTTTTCATTTTGATTTAGGTAATGTGTGTGTGTGTTGCCGGGTGTGTGTGTGTGTGTGTTGCCGGCGATGTGTGTGTGTGGGTGTTGCCGGCAATGTGTGAATGTGTGTGTTTGACTATGTGAATGTGTGTGTGACTGTGTGTGTGTGTGTGTGTTGCCGGCACTCTGTGTGTGCCGGCACTGTGTGTGTGTGTGTGTGTGTGTGCCGGCACTCTGTGTGTGCCGGCACTGTGTATGTGTGTGTGTGTTGCCGGCACTCTGTGTGTGCCGGCACTGTGTGTGTGTGTGTGTGTGTGTTGCCAGCACTTGTGTGTGTGCTGGCAGTGTGTGTGTGTGTGTGTGTGTGTTGCCGGCAGTGTGTGTGTGTGTGTGTGTGTGCCGGCACTCTGTGTGTGCCGGCACTGTGTGTGTGTGTGTGTGTTGCCGGCACTATGTGTGTGCCGGCAGTGTGTGTGTGTGTGTGTGTGTTGCCGGCACTGTGTGTGTGCCGGCAGTGTGTGTGTGTGTGTGTGTGTGTTGCCGGCACTCTGTGTGTGCCGGCACTGTGTTGGTATTGGTATTGGTATTGATAGTATTTGGTATTACAGGATTAAAATATGGAGGGTTCGAGTTCCTCACAACCCACACTGCAACATTTTAATCCGGCTCCAATAGATGACTCATTATTATACCTATATGACCATCATAGGGCGAAAGCCATTTTCGAGAACCATGAGGCTTTTAGTAAAGCCCTTAAAGGCAGGAGATTTGATAGTCATTTTTGGACTTGTATAGAGAAACCATCCCGGCATTGCCCTCCACAAGTCATAGATGAGATAAGGCGGGCAGGCTTTGGGGGGGTGATCCAACTAGGTTATATACAAGCGGACAATTGTTTGATCACCGCAATGGTTGAGAGGTGGAGACCTGAAACTCATACATTTCATTTTCATTTTGGCGAGGCCACTATCACTCTAGAAGACGTTGAGGTGTTATTAGGGTTGAAAGTGGATGGTAAGCCTGTGGAGGGGATGACACCTGAGAATTCTATGGCACAGTGGATGGCATTGTGCTTTAGATTGTTGGGAATTACACCCGTTAGTGACATGTTTGATGGGAATAAGATTTATGCAGAGTGTTTAATCAACGAGTGTCTGCGTCCGATCCTTAAAATGCCCCAAGAGAAGCCTATACACGAGGGCCCGTGCATTATCTGTTACTACTGATTGGAGGTTTCTTGATTCCTGACAATACGGGAAACAGAATACCACTTTGGATCCTGACAATACTCGAGGATTTGGATGTCTGTGCTACCTACAGTTGGGGGTCAGCTGTTTTAGCTAAGTTGTACTTTGCTCTGTTTCAAGCTTCCGCGCCCGGGAAAAAAGACATTACCGGATGTTATATGCTGATGCAGGTGAATTTTTGTGTTTCTTTGTTTATTTATATTTTTTTATTATATTTTTGTTTGTTTTCCTAATTTGTGCCTTTTCTATTTAATTTCAGTTATGGGTTTGGGAGCGTATCCCAAGACTTCAACCAAAGAGGAAGGTTAAAGATGAGAGTTACTTGGTGCCGGACGCACCATTAGGCAATAGGTAATGATTTATTTTATTTATTTTATTATTTTTTATTTCCTATTATGTTAAAATCCAATGATTTATTTTATTATTTTTTATTTCCTATTATGTTAAAATCCAATGATTTATTTTATTATTTTTTATTTCCTATTATGTTAAAATCCAATGATTTATTTTATTATTTTTTATTTCCTATTATGTCTCAATCGTAGGTGGAAATGCCCAAAATCCAAAGCGAACATCGCCGCTCATTGTGTTGCTGGCATCAGGGATCAGTTATCTAGCCTAAGGGATGGGGATGTAAGTATTGATTTAAGTTGCAGTTGAAAAAATTCCTTTTCATATTTTACATTTTTTTTTTTACCAATTTTTTATTTTTGGACAGTTTCTATGGACTCCATACACTCCCTTCATCGACGATCTCCCGATTTCGTAAAGAGGAGTTAATTTCTACCTCGTAGGACGTGGATCTTTTGTTGGGCCATCGAGAACCATACGAGCCCAATCGGGTCCTTCGTCAATTTCAATGCGTCCAAACTGTGCCAGAGTACCCGTTAATCAATGACATTGATCGCTGGAATGCGATACACCACGGATGCCTTGGGACTGGAAAGGCATATAATGATTGGGTGCAAAAACACACTGAGGTACGACCTCATTGGAATGTGAGAGATCAGCACGTGGTCCCTCATGAATTGGGTAATCCGGAACTAGGTCCTCAATGCACATCGGACTACATGCCGTGGTTTCAAAAGAAGACTATCAGATTTATGACTGATCCCACTCAATACGGCCCTCTGGCACAGGGTTATCACTCGTCTTCATCTTTGGAGAGATTTTATGTAAGATCTAATATTATATTTTGACTTAAATTTTTTTTTATATTTTAATTCTTGCTATATCTTACACTTTATTCACATGGTTCAATTTTATGCGATCTTCCAATCTCAATGACATATATCATCTCGCGATGCAGCCTTACGGGAAAATCCAAGCCTTGGTGGTAGTCTAGAGGATAAACTCTTCCAAATCTTCGACAAGAGTTTCAAAGCCTCGACTTTGGGCCCACGTGATATGAGCACTCGATCCGATACTCAAGTTCTTCGAAAAGACCCCGAGTCAAGTCAAAATGTGGTACTCACGCGAAAACAACATCGAAGCCTACTGGAGGAGGAAGGAGGAAGCGACCGGGAATTTCAGATCAAACAATCATAGTTCATCCTAATCCAACTCCAATGCAAGAAGATGATGAAAATGATGAAGGCAATGAAAGCGATGAGGATTACTACATTAGGGGCGAAGAAGAAGAAGAAGAAGAAGAAGAAGAGTCCTCTCCACCTCGTGTTTCTTCCCAAAAGAAAAAGAAAACGGTCGAGGTTCGCAAGAGTGATAGGGTTAGTAAACCGGCCAAGAAGTATACTCCCGGGCGATGGGGCTACGAGGAAGAAAAGGTCGTCAAAGTAATTCAATTGTAGGACTCTTTATTTTATAACTCTTTCATGTATAAATGTTGTAATTTGGATGATTTGGGATTTGAATTTGTTAATGTTTGTTTTGATGTGTTTAGAATGTGTTTATAGGTAATTTTATTTGTGAAATTTGGTTTTGGTGCTGTTTTGATAGATTGGGATTGGTTTAGAAACCAATCTTTCATTTTTTTCAAAGAGTCTGTCCAAGGTCGGATTTCAGAAATCCGACCTTCAACTTGTTTTAAGAATAAATCGGATTTTAAGAATCCGACCTTAGCTTACACGGATTCTCAAAATCGATTTAAGCTTACCCGGATTTATGAAATCCGGCCTTAATATAAAATCGGATTTTAAAAATCCGACTTCGGTCAAAATTTAATTTCAAAAAAAAAACTAAGTGTTTTTCGGAAAATATATTATTTTAATATATTAGGGTCGGATTTTAGAAATCCGATTTTTGCTTAATCTTGATTAATTTCATTAATTTTTCGTATTTAGCGTAGGTCGGATTTGCCAAATCCGATTTAGGTCAAAAATCGGATTTTAGGAATCCGATATCGGTATTTTTCTTTTCCCCAAAATTCGACTTATATTTATCTCTACTCCTTTTTTTAAACCATTTTTTAACTCAAAAACTCCTCAAGAGAGCATGCCGTGAGGCATGGATTCTATCCTATACTCGAAGTTTCAATCCTAAGTAATTTGAGGACAAATTGGCGGATCTATCCAAAAGTTTACATGCATCGTCAATTCTACTATATTCTTTTTCAGTTAGCCAATATTACCTTAAACTATCTAACCGTTAGCCGATTTTGTCCAATTTGCTATTTTCCGTCTAAATTAACGGAATTCTATTTATTTAATTATAAAAATACCTCAATAGTTTTAAAATTTATAAAAAGAACCCCCAAAATTTACAAAAATTATAAAATAGTCTCTTTTCAGTTTTTATTTAAATTTTTCTTTTTTTAATTTCTTTTTACTATTTTTCATAACCATAAAAATATACTATATGATAGTTTAAATAAATAATTTATTTTTAAACACTACAGTACAAATTTATAGATATACATTTTGTAACTCATGATTGATTTACATAAACATATTAATTTTTTTAATAATATGGCTAGACAATAATGATATTATTCTTTTAATCCGTCTTTTTCAATTTAAAGAATAAGATTTTTTGACTAAAACTAATTTTTTACAAAAAATAAAAACATTTAGCATAGATTAAAAAAATATATATTAGTACATTTTAATTTATTCAAATTAACTAAACAGACTATAGATTGTATTATTCAATTAAAAAAATTTATTAAATTAAAATATAAGGTACTGTCTAGTGTTTAGGGTGTTAAGTTTCATGAGAGTAGATATATGATTAATTGTTACCAAAGTATTTCTAACCGGGAGAGTGATTTTACCCACGTTTAAGCGGGATCCACTAAAGGTAAGAGGGCTGTATTGGATGGTTAGGTGATTTAAGATATGAGATAATTAAAACTGTGTTCGAGGTTCGATTCTCACTGGAGAAATCTAATGTTTTTTTAATGTGAAAAAAAGGTGGAGTCCAGTATTGGAGTAGATTTCTTTTTATTATTTTCTTTTTTAAAAAAAGACTTCCTGCTAAAGTTAGATATATTAATTCTCAAAACATTATCACAAAATGTTAAACCCTCGCAGTAATAAATATACATATTTTTTATAAAATATTTTGTATCATTTTTGTAAATGTCACGACACTATATTCTTGTGTTGGGCCAACGTAGAAACGAAATAGGTTTTTTTTTTTAACACTTTCTGTCTGTACTTGGCCTTTTAAAATAAATTTATATTTTAGTTTTGATTTCTTTTTAAATTTTAAAATACAATCTAAAGTCAGTTGAATTAAATTATAATACATTAAAGTATACCAATAGATTCTTTTTTAATCTATGCGAATTGTTTAATTTTTTTGTGAAAAATTAGTATTAGTTAAATAATCTTATTCTTTAGATTGAAAAAAATAGATTAAAAAATTATCATTATTGTAAAATCATATTATTAAAAAATTAATATGCTTATGTAAATCAAACATGACATACAAATATGTAATTAAAAATTTGTACATTAAAGTTTAAAAATAAATATTTTTTTAAAAAGATCATATAGTATATTTTTATAGTTATGAAAAGTAGTAAAAAGAAATAAAGAAACAGAAAATTTTAAATAAAAACTAAAAATAGACTATTTTATAATTTTTGTAAATTTTTTGGGTCATTTTTATAAATTGTTAAAACTATTAGGGTATTTTTATAAATAAAACTAATAGAATTCCGTTATAGACGGAAAATAGCAAATTGGACAAAATCGGCTAACGGTTGGATAGGTTAGAGTAATATTGACTAAGCGAAAAAAATAAGATAGAATTGACAAAATATATAAAGTTTTGGGTAGATCCGCCAATTTTTCCCCTAATTTGATAGGAACTTTTTAGTTGTTAGTTGTAAGCTCGTTTCCATTTGTAAAAGAATGGTATTGTATCCATATTTGTTGCTAACATATAAATTGCGTTATATAGTTACACTCCAATTAAACAGCATATCCAACTATTTTCTCTGTCTTAATGGGTTGGTAAGATATCTAAAATTTGATCCTTGGTGGGTAGAAAAATCAATCTAAAGCTGGCCAAAACCAACTTCTTCGCATACTGTATGGTAATGTAGCTGTCTTCAGTTGTCCACAACTCTTAGTAAACAGAGTTATTAGACACGACTCAAGGAATTTAGAAATCAGCAATAATTTTTAAGTACTTTTTTGATACACCGTAAACATCAAACTATCACTAAATTTAATTGCACGAAACTATTATTGCATTATTAATAGTCAAAAATGCCAGAACACCAATGATGCGAGTAGCTAGTATATCATCAAGCATTGACACTAATATTATAGCTCGCCCTCATAAAAAAAAACTCATCGATTACATTAAAGCTGTTTCATCCTAATACAATTGTGTCACAAATCACTCTAGTAATGAAATTACAGAAGTTCTACAACAAGGGCAGAGGCACCACCCCCTCCATTGCAAACGCCACTAACTCCGTATTTGCCGCCCTTTTGCTTCAGAACCTGCAACAACAGAAACTAGAATGAGTCTTCCCAAAACCTGGCAGCCTTGCCTTCCTTCTCTTTAACTCATCGAAATATCTATACTGTTCTTGGAATGGTTTTTGAGCTCACTATCACCAGGACATCTGTCTCTGTAAATCGTACAACAATACACTAAAATGCAATGAATAGGTCAACATACCCCCAAAAGTGTCACTATGATACGAGCGCCACTGCAACCTAGAGGATGCCCCAATGAAACAGCTCCACCATGTACGTTGACCTTTTCCTGCAGGCAAAAGAAGGGATAATGTGAGAGAGAAGAAAATTGGAAAAACCTTGTCGATCGACTTCATGAAGTAATCAAAGCCGTGGAAACTAAAATGTTAAATTTTGTCTAAACATTTCTCCCATCAACTAATGCTATAAATGAAAAATTGCATAATGTGGCTGCAAACGGCATAGCAATTAATGGATTTGCTGCTTTCAGATCGAGTTATTGAGACCAAATTCAGTTGACAGATATGTGAAATAACGACCTAGAAGAAAGAGCACCAGGACTGATAACGCAATTGGATCCATGCATTGAAAGCCTTATTCCAATTATTTAGAACAAGTTGAAGATGAAGAAGGCCATAGTTTGAAGTGGAGAAAAAGAAATTAAAATCCAATACAAATGCACAGGTTCGACGAAGACAGACTTAAAGAACTTACAGAATCAAGTCCAAGAAGCTTTTGGTTTGCTAGAGCCACAACCTGCATGCCACAATTGTTATAACCGATTTACATCAATCAATCATTAGCTGTTTAGTATTTGAACAGACTCAATATCGAGCATACCGCAAAGGCTTCATTGATTTCGTAAAAATCAATCTGAGATGCTTCCAGGCCAGCATTAGATATAGCTTTTGGGATTGCAAGAGCTGGAGCTGTTGTGAATAACTCCGGTGCCTGCAAAGTATGATCAATTAGATTTCACAAAGTAATGACAGGTTCGGAGTAGGCTCACCAAATGGTGACAGTAGTAATGAATCAAAATCATAAATCCATTTCTCCAGCACCTGTGCAGCATCAGCATATCCTGTTATCTTTGCAATCACCTCTAGTCCGAGCTCAACAGCCTTCTTTCCGCTAACCAAGACTAAAGCAGCAGCACCATCACTGAAATGAGAGAACAGTAGATGTAAGGAAAATTTGATAAACCATTCACGACTTTGTACCATCATTAATGAGATATACATCAAAAGATTCATGTCCTCGCACTAGCTTATTCGAAGCCAATACCCAAATGCAGAAACTGAATTCCATCTATTCTCAACTAAAACAATCGTTTTTATGGGAATTCTCGTTTTGGCCCATTTATACGTGGAGCTTACTACTTCTGAAAAATAATCAGTGCTAAATGCCTTATAAATGTAAAAGATATGCTAAATTTCCTACACCAAAGATAACAACATGCAAGAGGCAGAAGAAGCAGAATCCTAACACATGAAGAAGAATTAAGTAAATGGATAAAACATTGACAAACCTAATGCTGGAAGCATTCCCTGCAGTTACGGTGCCTCCAGTTTCCTTGAAACTAGGACGAAGCTTCCTCAACTTCGCGGCATCAAACTGCAAGAAAGAGTTGCAGTGGCCTATTGAATCATAACCCCGAAGCAACAATGCAGATGAGCTAAATGGACATGAACTTAGAGCTACAAAGAGTTGCAATGCCTTAATCATCAATAATTCCCATGATAACCATGCTGATTAGCAACATGGAAAAGAGCTTGGATGATAAGAAGGCACAAATTTACAAGTTTGTTCAGTATTTACTGAGACCAAATGCATTCCATAACTCTTTAAAGCACCTAAATCTTATTCAAGAAAGCAATTACATATGAGGAGACAAAAACTGGATTTTACCAATTTCCAAACATTTCATATGCTGATACACACTAAATGAAACACACATGAACATATGGATCTTAAGCTTTCTCTGACACTGCAGGATAACGGTTTTTAGTCAGGTTATACACTGTAAAAATATAAAAGAATGGCAAATAAATGAGTCAACATAGATGGAGTCACATAGGTTTACACTGCTCAATCATCTGATAATATTGTCATTTTCTTTTTCCTATTTATCATGGTGACAGTCTATGAACGTTTCCGAGACCAAAAGAGATAATTAAAAGCCGAAAAAGATACTGTAGTATGGAGATATGCTCAGAATCAAGTGCTGTCAATCTGTAGTGCAAATTCAAGATACTGGCTGTCCATACCTTCCCAAGGCCCTCGTCTTTATCAACAATGGTAGAAGGTTTCCCTCTTCCACCAGACACTTCAACCTACAGTATGTGTAACAAAGATATGATTCATATTGGTCATCCACAAAGCATTCCAGACTTTGAAAAGAAAATAATCAACATTCTTACAGGCACAATCTCCCATGAGAAAGAACCTGCAGCTTGAGCAGCAATACCACGTTCGAAGCTCTGAACTGCATAATCATCCTGTGACATTCACAAGAGTAAGATTCCATGAAAAAAGAAAGAAATGATTCTGGAAGGAGAAATTGAAATGAAGATAAAAGCCATATTGTGATAGCAGATCTGAATCAGTAAACCATTAGAAGAGGCTAGATGTAAACCAGACTATTTCGATGTTAACTGGGCACCATACATATTAAATGGATAGACATCTTTCATGCATGTATGCAACAATGCGCGGTTCATGTTGCCAAAATTAGTATACACATGTGCAAACAAACCTGCTGATCTCTTGTTATACTATGATTTTCGGAGCATATTTCAGCACAAACTCCCATCCCACAATCATTGTACACATCCCACAGTCCATCTTTTAACATTCCATCCACAAGTGTGTCATGTCCAAGTCGAGATCCCTTCCTATTAACCAAAACAGATTAGCACAGGGTGAAATAGTATACATAAGCTTGTTCGTTGATGAAAACTATTCATGAAACACGGGCATGATTGGAGAATTTCTAAACATACCTCGCTTCTCCCAGGTATTTGGGCGCATTGGACATGCTTTCCATGCCACCAGCAACAACAACATCATTTATACCCAACTGAATACTCTGTGCAGCAAGCATAGTTGCTACAAACAGGACACGAGCAAAAATTTACAAAGGTAAGAACTTCACGAACACCAAAGTGAAAGAAATTACAAATTTAAACAAACAACTTCAAACGAGAAATAGCGCACCTTTCATCCCAGAGGCACAGACTTTATTGATGGTGGTACAAACCACTGAATTTGCAATTCCAGCACCAATTGCTGCTTGCCTGGCTGGAGCCTGCCCCAAGTTTGCACTGAGCACGTTCCCGAAGAAAACTTCTTGTACAAGTGATGGATCAACCTTGGCTCTTTTAAGGGCACCTAAATTCAGAGTACAAAACAGAGTTATAAGAAGCAAAGCGCACAAAATCATATTCAAAGATCAATCACATTACAACATATATCGAACATTAGTCTTTTACCCTCAATGGCTATAGATCCAAGCTTTGTTGCCGGTAATGATGAAAGCGTGCCAAGGAAACCACCCATTGGAGTACGGGCAACACCAACGATGCAAACATCTATTCAAATCACACATTGAAGCTTAGTTTATGAACTAGCACAAAGAAAAATCATCATATGAGCAGAGCTAACTCTAGCATAGCTTCAGTTCATAATTATATAGATTTAAGAAAGTGATAATCTTTTCACTTTAAATTGGAAAGTTGATCAAACATATTTAGATTCTTCAAAGTTATTAGCACTACAGGAAGAAATATCGTTTCTTACAGCAGAAAGTGAGGACAGAGATCAAGTCAAAGAAGAAAAAAAACTTTTCTACAGTTGGCATGATACTAAATATTGCAAGATGCCATCTTTCCACTTAAATTCATTCAAACTATAGATTTCTCCATGAAGAAGGAATCAAGAGGAAGAAAAATCACAGGCAAAGAGTGAAGCATTACCTGTTGGCTTTATTGTGGACTCAGAAGCTGCTGTTGGAGCCATGTATGTGATTGAATGATACTTTATTCAAATCAACCTGTTTCAGTTCAAATTAAGTACAAATTAGTACAAGTGAAGGCAAAAGGCGATTAACTCACCCTAGAGTTAACAAAACATGAATGCTGCTACACCAATCAAGCGACACAAACTTATCAAAACTTAGAAGATTTGAATTAGCGCTGTCTTCTTGAAACTTTTGTTCCTCGGACATAACGAAACCAGTAAGAAACCCGAAGAAAGCGAAACAATCAAAGCCGAAAAACTGAAATCTGATTCAGCGAGATTGAGATTCAAGACGAACCCAGATTGAATAAAGATAATTAAAGCAGCTCTAATACCGATGATCATCGAAAAAAAGAACAAGCTCAAAAGCTTGGTAACTGCAGACACAGATCCACAATGCATAAATTGATTCCAAATTTTGACCCCAAATAAACATATCAACACGGGAAACACAATCCTTCATCAATGGGATCCAGCAAACAAAACCCATAAACCCATTGAAACTCCATAGACCAACATGAACATAGATGATGAGTGCATGTGAAATTGTGATCTGCTGTTTCAGAAGACCCAAAAAAATACAGAATTCCCCAGAAACAGAGAAGACAAAAGCAGGAAAGAAATTTTATTAGTACAACAGAAAAATGGAATCACGTGAGTACCTCTTCAAGAGAGAGAAAGAACAGCAATGGAGGAGTGGAATTTGCAGGGAAAAAGTGGGTAGATGAGTACGCTCGAAAGTGTTGATTGAAAACTGAAATACTGAGAGCTATTTATAGTAAGGGGGAAAAGATGGGGAGACACGAGACGACAAAGTACACGAAACCAAAAATTAATTTAAGGTAGCATGAATTTGTTGAAATCCTTAAAATAGAATTACAAAATAAAAAATCTTTTAAATTAAATTTATTTATATTTATAGAGTTTATCCTTAAATTTCAACATTTTCATTCTCGCCACTCTTAATTTATAGAGTTTATAACTTACTTCTCTTTAGATTTTATGAACAAAATTTTACAGCAAAAACAATGTTTCTGATAATAACTTATACATTAATGTTTCTCTTTATCCTTTTGGTTAATCGATGGACCATTTTCCCGTGGTATGAAACTTTTTTCCGGAGAAAATATTAAAAAGAGGAGAAGGCAGTAGTAGTTTGCGTCGCAGACTTGGAGCTGCTCACTATCCATTCTTATTGAATGTTAGTATGAGATTATATAAAGTGCTATTGATTGTGTCTACACTATATAAATTAACTATGTGAAAGTTTAATTAAGATACAGATAACTTTGTTCTTTTAGGTAAATAATAAAATTATGTCGAAATTCAATTAAAATTCACGTGATCTTGTTTTTATGAGACAAACAGTCTAAAGTTAAGTTGCATAAATATTGATTTGATAACCCAATTCTCATCAAACTAAATTAAACAAGTCAAAAATTATTGATAACCCAATTCTTCTTTTGGAGAATATGTCTTCCAAAACAATTACAAAAAAAAAAGTCAAAAATATTTCAAATGGGTCACTACTTTTCAAATTTTCAGAGAACTAAAATTTAATTAGCTCATACGCGCACAACCAATATGCTTGTTTTATAAATTTCTAAACTTTTAAGAGGGGATAACGTTAAAATAAAATTATTGAAAGACTGATCTTCCTAGAAGGCTAGAACTATATAAGGGTGTAAAACAACATAATCTTCAATTGAAGGGACTCAAAATCCTTTACAAGGGAAAATATTTTAAACCTTTTTTTTTTTCCTTTTTCGGAAAATGGATTTAAGACCGACTTTGTTGACTGTGTGTGTTTGGCGAAAGCAATTGAGAAAAAAGGATTACCAATAAATAATTCCCACCGGATGGGAGTTGTGAAGTTTTGCTGTAATTGTTTGGTAGCAGAATTAAATGCCAATTGATACAATGATTCTTGTGCATATAATATAATGTTTTGCCGAATTATTTAACCATAATTAGGATATTTACTAATCGTATAAGATCTTCTGACAGTTTTATTAACTTTTTAAAGCTTTAAAGTGCTTAACTAATCATAAAACGGGAGGATATCAGACAAAGATTCGTATTCGAAACGGATAAATTTAAGAACAAATAATACTAACAGTTACTAAAAATATTGACAGTGAAGCAATAAAAGAGAAGAAATTTTGAACAATTCATGCAAGGCGAAACATGTACATACCTTAATCTCGTGTATAACGTGCAATAAATTTTTGTATTAGTGTTGGTAATAATGAAGAATAGGTCTTGCACAGATGTAAAAAAAAATGTATGTACACCTTCTTATACAGTTGCAGTATTTATTTATTTTGGAGCATCCTGTTCATACTTGCATTCGGATTATAATTTAATTATTACTCTAACAATAATCATGTGTGAATTTTTTTTTAATGCCAAATTTTAGCAGCTAACAACCAAACATTTTTATCTTATACACGTAATATTAGATGTGCATTACAATTGTGCAGAGTTATTATTTTTCTCTCTCTCTTCTATATGTTCATCCAATTTTTTCATTTTTTTTTAATCTGTAACTTTCGAATTATTAAAATATTTGTGTACAATTTGGAATAGGGGAGTGGGTCTTCAATTATGGACTATATTATTAATCATGGATTTGGGATGGCCAATTTTGAAGAAGAGCCCCATCACAAAGTCACCGAAAAGGCCACCCAATATTGAAAGTGTTTTTGGTGTAATTAGTCAAAGGTAAAAAGAATTTTGGTGTGAAGAGCTTGTGAATAAGACCGGAGAAAGTCTGCTTTATGCTGTTGTTTGCCATTCCAATTTACTAAGGGGGAGGTGGGGAAAATCGGTTTTTCATGAAAGCGACCTTGATTTTGGTGGTAAATACTGTTAATTGTTTCAACAAATTATGGTGATCTTTCAAAGTAACTCGTGTGTTTTTTTTTTTCTCTTTCCGATTACTTTGATCGTTTGTGATTTTTTTTTAAATACAAATTTTATAATACAATGTGGATTAATGAGATGGAAGGAGTATTTTTTTCTTTAAAGAAGTAGAGCAACTCTTTAGCCTCTTTAGAAGGGGTGTTGAACCGGTCTGTTTGTCAGTTTACCGATCTATCGATACCGGTTAATATCGGTATGACATCTAAAAGGCAAAACCAATAGATCGACCAATCGTATTGTTGGTCTCACCGGTTTTGGTTTATCGGTTTCGGCCCGTTTACTAGTTTTAAGCGGTATTTTTAATCACATACTTTGTCATAACTCATTTTTTCTCAGAAATTTTAGATCTTTCAAGTTTTTTCATGACCAAGAATACATTACAAATGGATTCTTATCATAAATCAAAATAAAATTCACCAAAAACTCAGAGGAAGAACAATGATTCATGTGTTTATATAAATTATTGCGAAGGTCTGAAAATTGAAGGAAAAAATAATTAAGAATAGCACATCACATGAAAGACCAACAGAAGAATAATTAAAGAGAGTAATGTCAATTTGGTTGATGAATAACAAGAAAGGAGGCCGGCGCTGGAAAGGAAATAGAAGGAGAAAGAAAAAGAAAAAACGGGGCAAAATTGAAGTTGGGACTTGGGAGCCTTGGGGTTGGCGGCTAGGATGAGTAACAGATGAAAGCTTTTAGGTTTTCTTATTCTTTTTTTTCTTTTTTAATTTTATATAATAAAGTGAATGCATAAAAAAATAAAAAAGAAATGAAGTTGGCATGAATAGCCTAACAAAAACTACATATTTACATTTGACCACCTTAAAAATAAAAAAATAAAAAACACTAGTATTGCCCACATATCATAAATAACTACAATAATACCATTGCCGGTTATCCGGTTTAACCGCTAAGCATTATGTTCGAACCGACAACCGGACCGTATAACTACTAGTAAACTGGATAACCGAAACCGATTAACTAATAAACCAACGGTACGGTTAAATGGTTCCCGGTTCAGCTGGTTCCGATCCGATTTTTTATTTTTCTGGTTTTTTCAACAGGCTTTTACTAAAGGTCTATGTGGTAACACCTCTTAATGCTTAAAATTATTTCATTAAACACTTTTTCAATTAAGCATGTTTGATAACAAAAAATGAACCTTTTAATGAATTAAGTGGTACTGAAACTGTAGTACAAAATATAAACAATAAAAGTTAGCTTATTGTTTATTCTGCAACTGCTTAATGAATTCAGTATTTCTAATTCAGTGTTAAGTATTCAGAATTAAACATTAATATTTATCAAACATGCTCCACTTTGATAACATTGCAGTAAACAATGCTATGAACTGACTACACTTTGATGTTACCGTTTAGATGAATTTTGTTTTGTTACTAGATCTTCTGGTCCATCACGTATAAGATTCGTTATAGTATTTGTTTATGAAGAAGAGGTTGGGTAAGAGCATTTTTGGGGTCCAAAGTTGACCTTGTCCCTCTCAGAATGAGTCAACCAAACTTGCATCCTTAATAGTTTGATGCTTTGAAATACTTCTGTGCTATAATTTGGTGGATTTGCATATTTTTGTTTGTTTCATTCTAAAATCAAGACATATTCCACGTTTTTCCCTAAGTGGTACTCCATGTCGATCAAGTCGCTTTATCAGGCTTCATCAGGCCAACTAAGATTCTAAGACTATGCGCTGACAACCAGCCACAAAGTTAACCAGAATAGTCCTTGTTGGATCAACAATTTGGCAATTATGTTTTACCTCAGTAAAAGATTATCCAAAATGAAGTTTTCCATTTCAGATTCAAATATTTTGGTCAAATTCCGATCTCACAGGGAATCCAAATGGACTTAAAAGGCTTGCAACATTGCTACACAATAACATAGTTCAATACTCGAGTGTTGATCGGTATCCCATGATCATCTAAACTAGCAAGACACTCAAAACACATTCATGTAATGTTGTACAGGATCACTTCTTTTTTCATTTGTAATCCAACCTTGATGTTTTAATTAAAAAGTCAGTTAGCGAAAAAGAATCGTTATCAAAGATTCCGTGATGGAACTATGTTCCCGGCTCGTCACTAGTGGCATCAACAGACAACAAATATAGTTCCATTTAAAGAGAGATGTTGCAAACACGGGTGCAAAAACCATCATCTCTAACTAATAATGCGTTCAATGCTGAAAAATTATCATTCAAGAAAAGACCCGAATAATTTGCAGCCATATCACAAAGTCGCGCACAAAATGCAGTCAGAGAAAACATCATAGGTTCATAGGGAAATATAAACTACTAAGGGGACATAAAGCCACAACTCTAGCATTCTACTGCTGGCGTACATCAACCTTCTCCTTCTTCTTTTGCCATAGGCGATCAAGGGCACTGTCAGCATCACCCTGCAAGAACAAGGCAAGAAACAATATACATTAACAAAGTCAAAGACCGAAGCTCTTATAATAGTCTAAATCTCAAAACATTATGGAAAAGCACGCTAACATAGAAATAGCTGGTCATTCCATGCACCCGTTTGTAAACATGAGCAGGGGAGGGACATATATAAGCACTTGGAACGATACAAGGGCGCATCTAATGATAACAACAAAATCTTCATATGAATTACGATACAGCATTAACCCGTAGAACATAGTAATAATTAGCCTATTACTTTGGCAAAGAATATATTAAATCAGAATCAATAGGAAACTACAGAACATGACTAAAACCGTACATGAAACCAAAATACAATAGCCTGCCTGAAGACAAAGCTGAAAGGAAAGAACCAAAACCACAAGCATAAAATAGCCGAATTCCAGTAACCAACCTGAGCACGGACAAAACCGCATAGGGCAAAGGTAGAAAAGTTGCCCGTGTACACACCATGCTCATCCAAATGGCCAATGTTCAGCTGAACAGAGGCGTGATCCTTGGAAGTAATCAACCTATTGGTTGCAGAGCTGCATATCCATTACAACAGTTCAATAACAATCAAGAAACCCATCTCACAGAAAGCTTTACATCTTAAGCAACGGAGAGAAAAAAAAAAAGGAAAAAAAAAAAAGGAAAACACATTAAACCATTTATTACCATTTCCTTGGAATGTAAAGATCCATGTTCTGTCCCTCCTCATTCTGCATCTTTGCAAATTTCTTTCGAAGAACCTAATTTCACAACCAAATATAGTCAAAACCAAGAAGTGGATGAAATAGACGCCAAAAGAATCTCAACGGCAATACAGTCAAAAAGGAACAGAAGCAAAGATTGAACATTTCCCGTTTCACTAAAAAAAAACTAAAACTAATGAAATCCCATCAACAACGAGCTTCCTAATATGAATATAATCGACAAAAACAGAACTAACAGTATTATTTCTGGTCACGCTATCCAGAAACCCAACTCATACAAAAACCATTTCTTTAGATCCAAAGCAGAACCGACCCCGTCACAAGATAGCAATCCCATATTTTAATAAACACCTACCCGTTGCCAATATCAAAACACAGATTCAAACTCCTCCGGAAACAAAACAGAACCCAGAGAACATTAAGGACAATGTCAATACGAAAACATCATCAAATAGAGAATTCAATTTTGCATTTGAATCTATCAACGCTAAGAATACGATTGAATCCAGAAGAAAAGTTTCCCATTAAACAAAGAATATATGGATCAGAATTACCTTACGCAGTAGATGTGTTGGCTATGGAGGATGGTAATCTGTGTGCTCTGAGTGCGCAAGAGATTTAGGGTTTAGAATGCCCGCCCCAAGAATAACCCTTTTCTTTTTCTATTTTTGCTCTCTTGGGCCCGTAATTTTACTCTTATTTATATTGAGTCCTAGGAAATAGGAAAGTTGCATCAACGATCCTTCAAGTTTGCTAGTAATTGTGTTTTCCACAATAAAACTAAATTTCTCTATTTTACAGATCTTATATACTGTACATAATTTGTAAAGAGATAATAATTACTGAATTGTCATCGATTGCGTTCAAAAAAATGTTTTATTTAAAGGATGAACTAAGTTCATCTATGCCTTTGAATTATAAGATTTTGCTCACGACGAAATTATTTTTAACACTTCATAATTCGCCTAAAATTATATCTAAAAGTGGTAATTCACCTTTGGTGTAAAACTGTTAAATAATGTAACAATTTATAACGATAAATATGACTAAAAAATCTCATTAACACAACCATAGGCATTAAGCTCTTGTGCTTTTAATGAAAGCCTGTATTCGCTTGTGCTTTTAATGAAAGCTTGTATATATTTGAGCCGCGATAATGTATTGTTGCTCCTCCTACAAAGATGTTTTAGTCATACTACGGTCATTGGGAATGATACTCACTTTGAGAAGGTTTCTACTTTCTATTTCAGAGTTTGAAATTTTACTGTTACGTTTGAAGTAGTCGATCTCGGAAGCTAGAAGAGAAAATGAGGCAATTTCTGGTGTGATTGTTTTAGCATGATTTTGGACAGGAACTATGGTAATTCATGTAAAGGGGGCAATAAAAAGAAAACAAAAACAAACGACCGAACAGCGTTTATTCATAATCACTTCAGCATCCAAACTCCAAACAGCAACAATCTCGAAATGCAGACCAAGAGCAGTTGGTGTCAGATCAAAATTAACAAAAGTGAAAACCACAAATACAACACATGTATGAAATTCGATACCCAGAATTCTTGGTGTATGGTTTTATTGGAGTTTTTGCTCAGGCATGCTAAATCCTAATAGGCTAGAGTCAGGAAAACATCTTTCATCGCAACTATAAGGAGCAATCTCAAACCTATCATGATCCAATATCGGGAAATTTCATGGTGAACATAGTCTGCCATAATCTCCTTCACACCATGGTTTATGTGCCAGAACAGAGAAAGGTTAAGTAGTATACTGGAAGATATTTTCTCACGGACTGCCATCAACGGAAGTAGGGCAACTGTATTCAAATACTTAACCCGCACTGGTAGTTCTGGGACAGCATTACGTGGTTGAGTACCAGCTTTGGCATGTTCATTCGTAGAAGGGAGGGATGAGAAGGCTCGAAAGTTTCCTTGAGGAGATAAAGACACAAATCTAGATCTAGCAGCCGCTGCTGGAAAAGTTCCCAATGATGGTAATGTAGTATCATGTTGGGAGCCGGAAATAGTTGATCTAGGGAGACTAGAACAGGCTCGCCAAAGTTCTCCAACCTTAGCACGGGATGATAGCAACCTCCTTGAAAGCATACTCATTCTCACTCCTCACTGCAAGTCAGTGAAAAAGAAATAATCAAGAGATGTTGATGGGAAAAATATGAACATAAGTTTATCCCTATCACAACACTATATCAGCCAAGAGATAGATACTCGACCACAAAGTAAATTAGACAATACTAAAATTTCAAGTCAACTGATAATCAACAAACCAGTCAACTTCAAAAGGGAAATTCAACAATGTATTTTCCACTATAAATACTTTTTATCCACACGGGAATTAGTCACTGCAATTATGGCAAATTCGAATGATAACAGGATAGAAAAAAACAATCGTGTGTGATAGTTTTATCATGGAATAAGAACAGCAGACAAATATGTCAGCAGACGAGTTACCTAAAGGAGAGAACTACCTGACCCAAGAGAGCTAAACCAGAACTTGGTTTACAGAAAATTCCTGTCAAAAGAGGCACAAGCTGCAGGTGATATTGTCTAGACAACAATTTCTATCAAACATAAGAATATAAGAATTCTATAGTTTAGCTACTGTTTATTTTCCTAAATCAACTAACGATTAACAAGAAGAGCTAACCTAAATCTTAGTTTTATTCCCATAAAAGCTTCAAAGCCCCAGCTCACTACACCAGCTACCAATCCGACCCACACTTAAGCTTTCTTTCTTTTCTTGAAATTTACGAATAAAACTCCAAGCTCCTCTGCTCCCTCTCTTTCCCCTCCCCATTCTCACACACAAAATTAGCAAGAAATAGCAAAACAGAAGCATCATCAACCATAAAACAGAGACATCATCATCATCACCATCATAACATGCATTCTGTCTTCCTTATTTAATTATCAACTAGCAACAAGAATAACATGAGAGCTGCAACGTCTTCACCACCATTACCCTTCACCTATAGCACCTAATTCAATAAAGATAGACCATAAATCCCGATGACACGACATTAAAAAACTCAACATTTACAGTATGTTTGACAAAATCATTTTCATTGAAAAACAATACAATAGCAGCAAACAATCATCTTTCTCTCCCCCTCTGTTTTCTGGCGATAGGCCTCAATTCCAAGCAAATATATTCCATTTGAACCAGTAGGAAATGGCAAAAACAAAATCAATGGGAATAGATATCATATAGGCAACAAAATTAAACTAGCAAGCTACCCACCGAACCGGAATTGTCCCAACGAGAGCTCCCAATTCAATTCACTAGTTCTAATGCCAATTCAATTACCCCAAACCAAGAAACTACCCAGCAAAACACACCAAAATACAACTACATGAATTAAAAGCCAAGTCCCAGTTACCTTTGTTCTTCTACTCTTTCCCTCTTTCCCTTTTTTCCTTCCCGGTCATCTCTTCCCTTCCTTTAGTAAAATATATATTTTCCAGCTTCCTTTACTCCTCTAATGTGATTGATTTACTGATTCAAAAAGGTGGAAAATGGTGAGGTGAGGATGGTGATGCACGAGAGGAGGGCAAAAACGAAGGAGTGGGGAGAAAGTTTGATGGTGGGAATGATGTAGAAAATGAAACTGATAAAAAGAATATAAAAACATTGGTTTTAGAAATGATTTTAGGTAGGAAATAACTTTAAATAAATTGAATCCTATCTTTTCACCTTAAGCCGGATAAAAAATAATCTAGAAAATGGAAGGTTCTGGGAATACTTTATGGCCGACTTGAGAAGAAAGGCAATTTAGCCTAGATGTCTTGCGTTTATTTGGACTTATAAGCAAAAGAAAAAAAAATGGTTCAACAAATACATAATAAATAGTTCAATTTAATATATCTAGTTTAGTTAAATTCTCCTCCTAATTTTATGTTTGAACAATGAATTAATGCTAACCACGTCCAAATTCGGTGCCATCACAAGCAGACAATCATCCCAAAAAAAAAAAAAAAAACTACTCCAACAACTAATAACATATTAAGGAAAATTGATCAGGATTCACCCAAAAACACAAATGAGACCACTGGCACAGCAAACAGAAAGGTCAACTAGCAACCAAAAAACAGAACAATCAATAGTTCCTCCATGGTTTCTCAGATCTTAAATGTGCACAATTCAATCATCTGGAAACTAAAATTCTGATTCTTCCCCCCAACAACAAATGCTTAAATCATAAGACTCAGAAACAATCAGATACGCCGCAACAACGAACCCAAAAAGGATGTTGAAAGAAAACAACCCGATTATTCCAAAGCTGACAGTTGTAACGCCAGTACAACGGCCGTCGATTTCCTCCGGCCGCCGAACTTTAAAAAGCTCATCTTTGACAATTTTGTAGTTTGCTTGGAGCAGTAACCGGGAATAGAAGCCCGGAATAACAAACAAAAATCGTCTTCAAAAAACATACGGATCCATTGCATTTACACTACTTCTCACACCAATCCTTCAATTGGATTATTACGAACACAAAAGTTAATCAGAATCATAAACTTTGTTCGTCGAACCTTCACATATCGGAGACCAAGATTTGGCAATTGAATCAAAAGAAAGATTGCAGAATTTCCAGTACACATACATACCTTGAGCTACAGAGACCGGAGCGCAGAGAAGCCCGATGAGACGAGAAGAAGAACTGAATCAATAACCCCAAGAAGATCAGACCGAAGTACGAAGTGTCTAAAGAAAAGAAATTGATGGGGCAAATTGAAGTTTGGTCCCTTTTGTTTACTCTATTTGGAGTAGTTGTTTTTCGAGTCCTTTTCCTTTTAAGATATTACATTTTCTATCCATCTCTGATCTGATCTTTGTCAAGTTAATGAACGATTCTGGTTTTTAATTTTTTTCTTTTTCCTTTCTTTTTTTGAGGACTGACATTTTAAAGACATTTAATATAGACGGAGAAATCATGAGATAGTAAAAAAAACTAGTTGTTATGATAATATGGATGTCTACAAACTAGTAGAGTTATACAAGAACTGTTTGTATAGAGATAATATTGGCAAATTATCTGGTACACTCGAGGGTAACATGTCCTCCCCTGCGCGTGTACTTTACTCTCTTATAATAGCATTAATTCGCTATTATAATTCAGCTTTCTTTTTCTTTTCTTTTTTTTTAAACGCGGGGTTATATAAATAATCGAATTCATTCAAATTTGGAAAACTTTGTGATGGAATGGGCGATGGCCGGCGGCGATCGAGGTGTTGAGGCGGCAATGGGAGTCAGCAATCGAGGCGTTGAGGTGGACACGGCCGGCGGCGATCGAGTCGTTGAGACGGCGACGGCTTTCAGCGATCGAGGAAAGGCTCCGATTCCACCAGAGTGGCGAAACGGTCATTGGATCGACGATATGCTGAGTTCAGATCGAGTGATGAGTTATCTCGTTGAGGATTCCGGCTTGATGAATGCGGAATGTAGTGGTAGCAAATCCATCGAACAATCTTGTTGTACCAGCAAATCAACGCAAGGTCACAGTTCTGTTGTAGATCAGCTGCAATCAGGTTTGTGTAGGTTTCGGAGTGTACTGTTTGTGAAAGATTAATCAATTTAGTTGTTTCACAGTTCTGTTTTTGTTAATGTTGTATGAAGTGGATAACCAGTTATGCTGTGTTGGATATCCAACATGTTTGTACTGGATATCTAACTTGTTTGTATTGGATATCCAGCTTATGTGTACTGGTTATCCAATGGATTTACATGTGTATCCAAATTTTATTTGCTGGATATCCAACTGATTTGTACTGGATATCCAACATTTTTGAGTTGTTTATATTGAATTGGTGTATCAAAGATTTTTTTTAAAAAATTTTTTTTGTTTTTTTGTTTGTCTCATTTTTTGTAAAAGATAACCATATCAATGAGTTAGGGGATGATGTGATGCTGGATGATGCTTTGCGTATGGAAGTTACATCTGCTCTGAAGGGTAGGTTTTCTAACTTGTTTATATGTGTTTAAATCTTTTTTTGATTTGTTTATCCATTGTGTTAATACTGATTATCCGACTGCATGGTAATGGTTATCCAACCATCTCTTTTGTTTTTCTCAGAATGTGGAGAAGATAATAGCGGCAATGAATTGGGAGTTGATAATGTGATAGTGGAGGAGGATGCCTTGCACAAGGAAATTTCATCTGTGACGAAGAATAATGATTTGGCTATTTTTACTTTAGTTGGCAAGACTGCAAGAAGTGAGAAAGAAGCTTATGATTTGTATAATGATCATGCCCGATTAATTGGTTTTAGTGTGAGAGTGGGAAAAAAGAAGTTTAGAGGTAAGACTGATAAAGTTAGGATGAAAAAGTTCTGTTGTAACCGCGAAGGATACAAGAGATGTGGTGAAAATGGTGATGTGTGCAATGAGAGGATTAATTTTCGGTGTGGGTGTCCAGCTTATATCCATTTTGTTGTTGACAAAGATGGGTTGTGGACCTGTACAAAGCATCTGATTGATCACAATCATGATCTTGTGCCGAATGAAATGATTGGATTTCTTCGATCTCAACGTGAAGTAGATGAAAATTATATGAAGATAATCAGAGACATGACAAGGAGTGGCATTCCTTTGGTTGATGCATATAAGTTTGTGGCAAAATTACACGGGGGAAGTCCGAACATGAAGTATACTTTGAGAGATGCCTACAATTATGAGTGTCCTGGTGTTGGATTTGAAGGTGGCGATTGTAATCAGCTGATGAAGATTTTTTGGGACAGGAAGGAAACTGAAGAGGATTTCTTCTTTGATTTTGACTGTGATGAGCAAGGTAGGCTGTGTACTTTCTTCTAGAGGGATGGCAGAATGTGAAAGGATTATGATTTGTTTGGTTACTTGCTTGTGTTTGATACAACGTATCGAACAAACAGATATGGAATGATCTGTGCTCCATTTGTAGGTATGGATAATCATAACAAGAATGTCATGTTTGGTTGTGGTTTTGTGTTAAACGAGAAAGAACCCTCTTTTGATTGGTTGTTCAAGCAGTTTTTGAAATCAATGGGAGATAAGCAGCCACAAACCATAATGACAGATCAAGCACCTTCTATTGCTGCAAGTATATGGACATGTTTTCCAAGTTCTCGGCATCGTCTCTGTGTATGGCACATAGGTGAAAATTCAAGAAAGCGAATTGGTCATTTAAGGAACAAGCCAGATTTTGTCAAGAACTTTAATTATCTGATGAAATACACTTCAACAGAAATCGAGTTCGAGGTATTATGGAGGAGGTCAGTTTGTCAACATTTTTATTATTATTTTGATCATTGCCATGATTAAGAGTGTCTCTTATTTTTTTTGTTGTGTGGTATGTGTTAGTGGTCATGCATGATGTTCCTGATGATTACTTATAGGTAGGTAAGTTATACAACAATGATGATAACCAGTAAATAATGTATGGACAAGCAGCCGCATGGAAGCACAACTAAAAAAAACCATGGATAACTAGTTTACACATTGTGGATAACCAACAATTATGGCTGGATAACTAGTTTACACATTGTGGATGACCACCCGTTATGGCTGGATAACTAGCTTACACATTGTGGATAACCAGCAATTATGGCTGGATAACTAGTTTACAGATTGTGGATAACCACCCATTATGGCTGGATAACTAGTTTACACATTCTGGATAACCAGCAATTATGGCTGGATAACTAGTAGAAAGCCTTTGTATAAGCATTAGAAAATTATTGCAAGGGTTTAAAGGGGTTACTGATGGATAGACAGTACCAGGTTTTGGATAATCTGTAAATGATTATTGGATAAGCAGTAGAAAGCCTAAAGATATACATGTTTCTTTGTGGATCTATATGGATAATCTAACTATTTTTCTTTTTATGCATGTGTTTTATATTGTTGTGCACAGATTATTGGATGAGTATGATTGTCATGATGACAAATGGCTCAATGGTATTTATGATGTGAGGCATATGTGGTGCCCTGAATTTAGCAAATATGTTTTTTCTGGTGGTACCTTGTCTTCACAGAGGAGCGAGTCAACAAATAATGTAATTTATCGTAAAATGAAGGCCACATCATTGCTTTGTGATTTCCATGGAATTTTTTCTGATGTTGTACACTGTTGGCGGGTAGCTGTGAAGGGTGAAGATCTACGCTGTAGCCAGGGAAACATCGATTCATATCTTCCTGGTGACCCTTTCCTGGAGAGCATTCGCAGAGTGTACACAGTTGAAGCATTTAGGGAGGTTCAGCAGTTGCACAAAGATGGGATGTTGTGCAGGCAGGAGCAGTTAGAGGTCTTAAATGATGGCAATATTGTGACATACAATGTTTGGCGGTTTGGGATAGATCACTTTAAGCATGTGGTTGTACATGACACTAGGTTACAGAGATTCTCAAGGACGTGCAGGTACTACTCTGAGGCGGGCATGCTTTGTTACCACATTCTTCGAATCTGTCATGTAACCTCTGTTGATGAGTTTCCCAAAGATTATATATGTATGACATGGACAAAAGGTTATGGTGCCAGGTCAAACATAGCTAATGAGAGAGATGGAAAAGCTGCTGGGCCACTGCTGTGGAAGGCGCTAATTATGAGACGATTTTCAGACTTGGTGTATGCAAGTGAATATAACAAAGATGCAAAGAAATGTTGTGACAAGGCGGTTGACAGGCTTAAAGAAGAACTCGGCAGTTTCATTGGTTTGAATAATAATGATGAGTCTATAGACAATGATGGTGTTATAAAGAATCCGGCTGTAAAGAGGAAGAAGTTTGGTCCCAGGAACGAACGTCCTAAAAGCATTGTTCAGAAGGCATGTAACAAAGTCAGAGGCAGGAAAACAAATGCAAGAATTGCTGCTGACCGAACAAGAGCTTCAGTTGCATCAGACCTACATTATCAAAGCATGCCATTTTCTTATCCAAAGGGAGCTGCTCAACATTTTTCAGGCTCAGGAAGTTTTGCTACTGTGAATGCTTCCCATCAAAGCATGCCATCTTTGAACGTAAATTCTGGTGGATTCTCATTTACTAATCCAAGTGTAGCTGCCAAGGATTTTTCAGGGGCAAGGGCTTCCACTTCTGGGAATGCTTCTCAACAAAGCATGCCATTCATCAACGCAAATTCCGGTGGATTCTCATTTCCAATTCCCAAGGGAGCTGGCCAGGAGTTTCAAGGCGCAAGCACTTCCACTGCTGTGAATACTTCTCATCAAAACATGACATTCATGAATCAAAACTTTGGTGGGTTCTCATTTCCTAACAGAAGGGAAGCTGCCAGGGAGGCTGGAGCGCAGCATTTCTTCAACAAGATGTTTTATTAGTATTTTTACTTGATGTTGAAATGAACAGTATTGATGGTGTAAAGATTTTTATTTAAAAAGTATTATTTATTTTAAATTGCAGTATTATCCAACCAGTTTGAACTGGTTATCCATTTTGTTTGTACTGGTTATCGAAGTGGTTATTTTAAATTGATTATCCGTTGTGTTCATGGTGATTATCCAACCAGTTTGAACTGGTTATCCAAGTTGTTTGTACTGGATATCCACCCATTTGATTTGCATGCCTATCGAACTTGTTTGTACTGGATATCTATTTCGTTTGTACTGGATATCCAACTCGTCTATACTGGATATCCAACTCGCCTGTACCGGATATGCAACTTTAAATGCATATAGATATTACAAAAAAGACATGAACACGTTGAACACGCTTTCTTCACAAATAATATCATTGGATAACCAGCATAATAATCTGGATAATTAGTACAAAGTCCTTGGATAACCAGTATAAGATCAATGGACAATTATTTTCAGTAATAAGTTAACAAGGGAAAGATAAATTTTTTTAAAGAAAAAAAATCCTAAAAGTGTGTTAATGTCTTCCAAAAGTAACATGCTGTAATGATGAAACTCGTTTCTAGATCCGGCGATGTACTTGAGTTTGTGATTTTCCTGGTAGGAACACTATACAACAGCAAATGTCGATTATCGTATCCTTTGACAATGAACTGTCCCGCTGGAGATGATTTGTGGCTTGGAAACACTGGATAAAGCCAATCATGGCGAAACTGTAATCTGTGTGGAACGTGTGTGTTCACATTTGGGAATTCATGGGTCTCGAACATGCAATCCCATGTGGAAGTATCTGGATCATATCCCACATCTGACAGTGATGATTCTGAGTAATGTGGTACTCATCCATTATACACAATGTCCCGTGGAAGTCCAATATTTTCACTTGGAGATTCATATGATAAGGATCAGTGGGGTTAAAGAAGATTGGAGATGGAGGGCAGCTTATGGTTTGGAATTGTTGAGTGTGGTAGTCAAACACGACCAGCAACTCTTGAGGTGTTGCTATTCAGAGGATAGTTTGACTACACGCCAGTATACGAATCTATCAAACCAGGTTCCATCAGATTCAAGGCGAGGACATACATTGCAAAGTGTTTTCCATTCCCCTCTATGAATACTTGAACAACTTTGAAAAGAAAAAATGCAGCCTTGCATGTTTTTTCCATCGGCTATAAGGGCCATGAAAACGTAAGTTTTTGAGGATGATACGTACCCAAATGATGTTTCACAATTGCTGAGAGAGACATCATATGGCCATTCAATGGATGCAAGTTGTGTTGTCTTTGGGTTCAAGAATTTGATTTGAGACCTGGTTTGCAGACAGACCAAATCTATGGTGATAGGCATGATTTTATGGATGCCGTCGTCACCCATCGACATCTCTTCTTGCAATCGTATATGGTTGCATGGGTTATCCATTTGCATTTTTATGTTGGTGGCGATTAGTTTGTCTTGCAACATGTGACCTTCTTGGCTTGTTTGAGTGAAAACAAGGATGTTATCAAGCATATCGTGATGGATATATTCAGGGTAGTTGTTCTTTTCTTGCTTTGCTTGCCTAGGGGACATTTGTTTGGTTGTGGAATTTGAGGAAATTTTTTCGTTTTTCATTTTTTTCTGGCTGTTGGATGTTTTGGATGCTCAAATCAGGCGTTCTGGTGTATGTGCAGATGAGGGAGTTTTATAGAAATGCTGTATGTGGAGATGTCAGGGAGTTTTATAGAAATGCTGTATGTGGAGATGAGGGAGTTTTTTTTTTCCTGATATTGACAAAGGTAGTTTGATGGATTAACTACCCATGCAGTCCTATCTTTTTGCACAAATCAGTGTCTTCTCACTCTCTATTCATTAATTGTCATTGTGATAATCAAGAAACTCATTTAATGACAGTTATGTAACTGATCCTTATTCAATCCATTCCATGTAAAAACGTGTGGCTCTGTAACTACCCATTAGATCATGATGTACTCTACACAAACATGAGCCTTTTCAGTTTTCTTTTTTTAGTTTTACTCCCTCAATCTTTTAAATTCTATTTAATTACAAAACGTGTGGCTTTTCAGTTATACACAGTAATATGCTCCACACTGTGAATAACCAGTATTGACATAGTGGATAACCAGTGTTCCCACTATGGATAACCAGTTAAACACAGCTGGATAACCAGTGTTGACACTATGGACAAGCATTTTTCATAAAGAATAAAAACAAAGTAAAAATTCAATAAGCATTACAAACCGTTTGGATAATCAGTACTAACACATTGGGCAAGTTCTGATAACCAGTTTGGATAACCAGTGCAAACCAGTTTGAAAGTCATTAGAAAATGACTGGATAACCATTATTAACCTGTTGGATAATCAGTATTGACACTGTGAATAACCAGTGTGCACACTATGGATAACCAGTTACACACAGCTGGATAACCAGTTTGACACTATGGACAAGCATTTTTCATAAAGAATAAAAACAAAGTAAAAATTCAATAAGCATTACAAACCTTTTGGATAATCAGTACTAACACATTGGGCAACCATTATTAACCTGTTGGATAATCAGTGTTGACAACGTGGACTATCATTTTTTTCCTTTTATATTTTTCTTGGATATCCTTGTCTGTATTTTTTACACTGGTTATCCAGCTGCCCCTCATTCATTTTTTGTTCTCCAACATTTGGCAAACTGCCCCTCATTCAATTAAATACTATTTATGAAATTTGCCATGTTCGGTATGGGGGCGGCACAGCTGTGGGCACCGGAGCAGCCGGGTCGTTTAGGTTATCACGGGGGGATTTATACAAGTAATTTGTGTCCCCTCTTAATGCAATAACACTCTCCTTACACACACACAAAAAAAGGATTACCTTAGCTACATTGGCGTGTTCGGCGGGGCGGTGCAGCCAGGGCAGGTTGGTGACCTGCGATTCCGGTAGCCGCGGGAGTCGTTTAGTTTATCATGGGGGGCGAAGCCCCCCAATGAACATGCCATTTGGATAGCCCTTTTCTTATGGATATTTTCTTTTGTTATGTCTTTTTGGAACCCCTGTCTGAATCTTTTGTTATGTCCATATGGTAAATAGGCATTGGTTACATATGGATAAGCAGTATTGAGGTTTTGGATAACAAGTATAAACTCTTGGATAATCAGGTTAAAGACTGTACTTGCATTTTTTTGACTGGATAATCACTATAAAACATTCGGATAATCAGGTGTAACAAGTTGGATAACTAGTACAAAGATCCTGGATAACCATTACAAACGGTTAGATATTGCTGCACATTGGCTGGATAACCAGTACAAAAGTCCTGGATAATGATAATCAGCAAAGAAATATTGGATAAACAGTATAACATCATAGGATAGGCAGTTTAATAAAGAAGTAGAAAGACCAAGAAATTAGGACACTCAGTTTTTGTTGTTTGGGAATTTACAGAAATATTTGGACAACCAAAATTCTTATGGATATTTTCTTTTGTTATGTCTTTTTGGAAGCCCTGTGTGAATCCTTGTTTTGTTATGTCCACATGGTGGATAGGCATTGGTTACATATAGATAAGCAGTATTGAGGTTTTGGATAACAAGTGTAAACTCACGGATAATCAGGTTAAAGACTGTACTTGCATTTTTTTGACTGGATAATCACTATAAAACATTCGGATAATCAGGTGTAACAAGTTGGATAACTAGTACAAAGATCCTGGATAACCATTACAAATGGTTGGATAATATATTAGGATGGCCAGTACACAGCTGTTGCATATCAAACACTTTAGGATCAACAGTCAATCAATTATACAAGAGAACATAATGACAGTTCAATTAACCCATCCCTGAATTTTTCTGTCATTGTAGTAAGATTTACTGCTCAAATCAACATGATCTGGAATTTTTTTTTTGTTCTTCTTCAGCAGTATTTGTATAGAACTGGTGCATTGCTTCGAGGATTTTGTCCTTATTTTTGTTGGCTGGGTGCATAATGATTTTTATCATGTATTTCCACCGGTACTCTTTGATGTTTCCTGTGTTGAAATCCAAACTAGTACCATCCTCGTACTCACCACCATCATACCGCTCCATGTGGTGCATTGTGTATATTCCACAATCTTCCACATTCGGCGTTTTGTCCTTATGCAATGGTAGCATAACCTCTGTGAAGGTGTACTGAGCACTGACCAGTTCTATGCGTGGAAACACGCATGAAACGTAGCTTTTGAAGAACCGAAACTGTGATGCCATAAAATCCAAGGATCAACAAAATGCATTGGATAATTCTTAAACATGATAATCATTTTGTATCTTTTTTTCACTCACAAGTAGATCTTTCGTTGGATTGTAGTAGTTCAGATCTTTTGCATGAATATTGTTGAGGACAAGTACTTTCTTTTCTTCAACCGGCAACACATACAAGAAGTAATAGTCTTGGTAGTGTACTGGGAAGTAGATCTGATATTTCACATTGAAGGGGGAAATCATATGAAAATTTTTTAACATCCAGTTATAGAAAGAGTGAAGGAGGTGAAAGATGTTGCTTACAGCTTTTGCCGCTAACATGGATGCTACAGTAAGGCCTTGTTCTTCTAGTTCAAGACCCAACCTCTCATAGAATGTGAACTTGATTTCCTCTTTGTTACTGCCTTGTTGATAGTATCGACTGATTGTATCCTGCGTTATTGTTTGAGATGCTTGGAAAATGATACAATGATCAGTATAATGGTTGGAAAATACAGTAGAAAACAATAATCGGAATCAAGCACATATAAGGTTAACCAAAAGTACCCTAGATGACACACAAGAAGGAATGGTTAACCAGTTCAGATCTTGTGAATAAGTAGTACAGAACAGATGGATAACCAACAAATGGATCATGGACAAGCCACCACATAGAAGGCTTGGATAACCAGTTCAACTCTGGTGGACAAGCATTAGTAACAAATTGGATAATAAGTACAAACATATGGATAAACAACTGCAGATATGTGACAAGTATTTTACCAGGGCGGGATAAACAATAAGGGTTTAGTTGACTTACAAATGACGAAACACCAAAGAATATCCGTCTTGGGGAGTCACTCTTAGCTTCTTCTTTGTTTAGGATGACAGCCCAAGCATCTATGATGCTGTTTTCTATCCATGTCCCTTTCCTCATGGAATAGAATGCTGTCCTGTCTGCCCAAACGATTTTTTCAAATTCAAACAAGAGTTTCCTGCATAGAAAAAGTAGTCAAATAGTTGGAAAACTGGTAAGTTTTTTTATCCCACGGGTAAGGATGGTGAATTTTACCCCGATTTAACTATTTCTTCTTGTCTCTGCAAGAGAGCGAATTCTATCAACAGGGCTTCTTCTTGGATCATTTTCTTCTTCTCCTTTGTCCATCGTATGAATTTTTTTTTGTTTTTCTTCTGCAGCATGAACGGCGACCTGAACCGTTCGGGGCAACCGGTGGACTCTTGGTGGATTTCTCCTCTTAGTTTTTTCATTGAGGATCCTAGGACAAAACAAAAGAGAGTTAGTATGTAAATTCTTTTTTCTATTTTGCAGTGGGGAGTCACAGTGGATCAAACTTACTTTTCCACTGTCTTTGTTAACTCTTCATCAAGCTCATCAGCTTCCTTTGAGATAGTAGGCGGTTGCGTAGTACACTCATTTTTCTCCAGCATCAGTAGACCACCCGTGGTAGAAGCAATATTCCAATCCGGTGGAATTATGCTTAAAGGGATTGCTTCAACCACCTTTGAGTTGTTCTCAACTTCTTCTGCAGCAGCGGCAATCATCTCTAGTTTTTTGGTATCACTTAATGATTTTGAAGCTGGTGCTCTGACCCTTCTTATGATTTCATCGATGGAAGGAGTGGGATTCTTTGTTTCGTCGAGTGCAGATGGTACTGGATATTCTTTTGCTCCTATAGTCTCATTGACATCTTTATCCAAATCAACACTTCCTGTGATATCTTCCTCAGTGTTCTTCTCCTGGGTTGGCTCGTAACTGTCTTCTTGAATGGAGAAGATACCCAGGTTAAAGTGTGGGATAGTTGGGTCTTTGAATACTTTTCTTTTCCTGGTACCAGTGCTTCTCGACCTTCTGGTATAGGTGGATGTCACACCTAAATCCCCGCCGGTGAAATCTTGATGGGATCTCTTCTTTTCTGTTGTGGAGATATTCGTTCCATGTGCTGCAGTACAAAGTTAGAATGTTGGATAATAAGTACGAACATACATATATATTAGACACATTGGATAACCAATTCAAACGAAGTGGATAATCAGTTCAAACAGGCCGGATAATCGGCAGGAACACAATGGATAACCATTTAAAGGGAAAAGGGGGTTGGATAAGTAGTACAAATTAGTTGGATGACAAGTACAATCACATCGGACAAGTATTTGTTTCATTAAAAAAAACCGGTTGGATAACGAGTACGAACGAGGTGGACATTGGTTTTTATTTTTTGATTTTTTTATAAGCAGTAAGAAATGTATGAGAAAAATATTCATTACCTTGTGGTTGAGTTTGTTGTTCACTTTTTTTGAAGTAGGCACGGATTTCCCCACTGGAAGAGAATCCTCATCATTTGTCTGGCTCAATTGCTCCAGTCCCTGTGCTTTATCAATTTCAATGTCTTGAAAATTTGTAGGATTAATTGGAGCTTATACAGTGTTGTCACAAGTTTGTTGGTGTTGTTGTTGTTGTTGTTGGTCAGCTACTTTTCATTGCAGCTGTTCTATTATTGTTGCAAACCTGCTTTCAGCAGCCTTCCATGCCATCTCGCACAATTCACAAATCTGTGCATCCTGGAGGTCTTGCTGGTCTTGCTGCTGCTCTTGTTGGTGTTGCGTTGTCCCAAGAGGCGGAGGCATCTTTCTACTCATCGACACCATTGCATCTGTTAGGATCTTGATTGTTTGCTTTGCTTGTTCATCTGGTTCGATTTTTAACTCCATTTCCTTTTCACGTATGTCTAAAACAGTTTTGCTCATCGTGATAATCAATTGGTAGAACTTTTCATAAAGAGCAGCAAGGTCCTGCAAAAGTGAATGTAGTTAGTGGAATGTGGAGATGCTAGGTTGGATACGTAGGTGTAATCTAAAAAAAATGGTAGAACACTACATAGACTTGTTGTGTGTTGGGGTTGACCTATGTATCCTCCTTCTGCGATTCCCCCTCTGCGTGTTCATCTCGGGGTGCTGCTGAGGACGGTTTCCTGAGACGTTCAAGTGTCTGGACATCTGTGAAATTGCTTCCCTGAAGTTTTAATCTGTCGTCCAGCATCTTTTGATTCCAACATTTGATCACAGGGAATGACCTCGGATGTGCTCTCTCATACTCACACCTGTCAAGGTAGTACAACTAACAAAAAAAAAAAAAGTTGGTGTTAATGATATCAGTATAAGCAAATTGGATAAACATTGCAAGCAATATGGATAACTAGTAAAATTTGTATGGATATGGTAAGTACCAGAAAAAAAGTGATCGGCCCGGTGAATGGTTTCCCATCGTGGTGACTTTTGCATCCTTTGACCAGTGCATCAATCACATATTGACAACAATTGTATTATGTCACCTCATTCATGTTCACAAGGGACTTCAAGATGTTCATTGTGATCCTGGAGGTGGTGTTTCCATGTAGGAATGTGCTCACAACAAAGACCAGGAAATCTCGTTTGAATTCATCACCAATATCTTTTCGACCAGCAATTAATTGTGCCGCTGTGGATGTGGTTGGTAGGTATTTATTAATGTATCCCATTCTTTTCTTGAATGCATCCACCATCTCAGTGTGGTCCGTTATAGCGGGATCGTTCTGTTTGAATTCTTCCACTGGTTTGGGTCCACGAGGAAGATCAAGTACAGCAACAACATCTTCCTGTTTGATATCCAGTACATTTTTGCCATTCAATGAGACTTGTCTCACACCGGTCTGCAAATTGTTTGCCAGAAAACTACATAATGCTGTTGGAATATTTTTAATTTTGAGATTCAGCAAGGCGCCAAATCCCATATCTCTGATAGCCTGCCTTTGTAGTTGGCGATAATCTACCGCATCTGGCTCTTCTGTAAGATCTGTTGGTTTATTGATTTCAGTGATGAGTTGGAAGAGATGGATTGGTGTCATCCTGGTCTCAAATTTCTTGACAGAATCTTCAGAACTGATTGGCTGTGGATCTTGACCAATCATCAGTTTGTTCTCAGGTTTCGTTCTTTTCTTTTTGGGTTTTTTATCATCATTGTCATCAGCAACCACAAGTTGCTTTAGATTTCCTGTCGGTGTGCTCTTCTTCCTCTTTGGTTTCCTCAGCAAGTTGTGGGGCCTTAGACTTTGACCAGGGGACTATTCTTCTTGAGTTGATTTTTGATTTTTAAATATGGTCAGTGTTCCTTCAGGGAGCTCCATTATCTCTGGTTCAGGATCCGGTGATCTGTCTGGGTTGCGGTTAAGGTCGTGGCTTGCACTGATCCACTCGTGCCTATATTTTGTTCTAGCCTCCTTTAGGGCACTGTTGGCATTAGATAATCACTAAGAAGTCAGTGGACAAAATAGCAGGATATGAAAAGGAGCAGTAATCAAAAAAGGAGTAATCAGTATGAAATGGGTGGATAACCAGCAAATAATGTATGGACATGTAGCCACATAAAAGCAGATCTAAAAAAATAATGGATAACCAGTTTATACCCTGCGGATAACCAGTATAAAATGGGTGGATAACCAGAAATAAAGTTTGGACAAGCACCCCATAGCACACACGCAGGAAAACTTGGATAACCATTTCAGATATATAGTAGATAACCAGTTCAGTTTGTCCATGTCACATAAAATCAAATGTAAAAAAAGCATGGACAACCAATTTACAACTTGTGGATAACCAGTTTACACATTCTGGATAATCAGTTTACACCTTCAGGATATTCAGTTTACAACTTGTGGATAACCAGTTTACAACTTGTGGATAACCAGTATGAAATGTGTGGATAACCAGTATGCTATGTGGATAACCAGTTTACAACTTGTGGATAATCAGTATGAAATGGGTGGATAACCAGCAAATAATGTATGGACATGTAGCCACATAAAAGCACATCTAAAAAAAAACGATGGATAACCAGTTTACACCTGCGGATAACTAGTATAAAATGGGTGGATAACCAGAAACAAAATTTGGACAAGCACCCCATAGCACACACGCAGGAAAACTTGGATAACCAGTTCAGATATATAGTGGATAATCAGTAACAAAAAAACACAAAAACATGGATAACCAGTTCAGTTTGTCCATGCCACATAGAATCAAATATAAAAAAAGCATGGATAACCAGTTTACAACTTGTGGATAACCAGTATACAAATTCTGGATAACCAGTATGAAATGGGTGGATAACCAATATGCTATGTGGATAACCAGTATGAAATAGGTGGATAACTAGCAATTATGGCATGGACAACCATCACATAGCATACGCAGGAAACCATGGATAATTAGTTCAGATCTAGTGGATAAACACAAAATATTGCTGGATAATAATAAAAAAAAAGGATCCCGGAGTAATATACTTACCAGTGAAGCATGTATAGATGAAGGAGAGCTTGAGATGGCCGGAGGTAGGGTTTCTGCTGTCGTCTGTGTGTGTGTGTGTGTGTGTGTGTGTTTGTGAAAGAACATACTGACAAAATGAAAAAACGCAGAGAGAAGATGAAGTCATCAAAATCGTCTTCCAGCGGAGGTTTTCCGTCGACTTTCTGTAATTTTGTGGTGGAGATCAATTTTGTATTTGCCCTAAAATGGAGAGTTTCCGTCGACTGTGTGTTTGTGTGTGTTTGTGCGTAGGGATGAAATGGATGAAAACAATTTTTTGTGTGCATTTAATGTAAAGGTAAAAGCAGTTAGGCGCGTGTGTTTGGTGGGGGGTATACGGTGCACCCTGGTGCACTGGATACGGTCTCATAATATTTATTAAATCTTATCACCGGTTAGATATTATCTCTATTTGCTCTTATCTTTGTATCTTCTAGGCCTATAAAAGGAGACCAATCTCTGCAGAAATAATACACAGATCATTTTCTCTTTCTCCATCTCTACTGTTCTCTCTCTACTTGTTCTTTCTCTCAGCTTTATAGATTTGTTCTTCAATTTATATTCATAACGCGTTATTAGCATGAGTCTCTACCTCTTGCGAGTTTCAGTTGGATAAGTGTTGTCAATTGCTTTTGTTTCTTTTATCAAGATGTCTAACCTTGTAAAACTTGAATTTGTCCCTCTGGACATATCCGCGAAGAACTACTTGTCTTGGATTCTTGATGTTGAGATCCATCTCACTTCAAATGGCTTAGAAGAAGCAATTAAAGCTGGAAATAATACAACAAATCCGGAGAAAGCCAAAGGCATGATTTTTCTCCGTCACCACCTTCATGAAGATCTGAAAAGCAGATTACTCGATGGTAAAAGATCCATATATTTTTATAGACGAGTTTGAATGAAAGGTATGCCATCAGAAAACTGTTATTCTCCCAAGAGCTTGTTATGAGTGGATGCATTTGCATTTGCAAGATTTTAAATCTGTTAGTGAATACAATTCAGTTATGTTTCGAATCACTTCCCTATTGAAATTGTGTGGTGAAAAGATCTCTGATGTGGAGATGCTAGAGAAAACATATACCACGTTTCACGCACCTAATGTGCTCCTGCAACAGTAATATCGTGAAAAGGGATATAAAAAATATTCATAATTGATTTCTGTCCTACTTCTTGCTGAACAAAACAATGAGCTCTTGCTGAAAAATCATGAGGCCCGTCCAACGGGTGCTGCTTCATTTCCTGAACCAAATGCGGTAGCAGCACATCCTAATAATAGACAAGCTCAAGGCCGTGGTCATGGCCGGGGCCGTGGTCATGGCCGGGGCCGTGGTCATGGCCGGGGCCATGGTCGTAATCAAAGCCGTTATAACACCCGTGGTGGTCATAACAAAAATATTACCCACCAGAAATTGGGAGTCAATGATGATAAGAATGGAAAGAAAAAGAAAGATGGTGACAAATGCTTTCGATGTGGTATGATGAACCATTGGTTGCGTACCTGTCGTACGCCAAAACATCTTGCAGATCTCTATCAGGAATCACTAAGAAAGCAAAAAAAAAAAAGATAGAGACAAATTTCTTCCAGAATGATGTTGTTGATTTTAACCATGATTTTGTTGACAATGGTTTTACTGAATTTGCTAGTTTAGATATTAATGATTTCTTTGTCAATCACCCTAAAGGTGAAATCAATGCTGAAAATGTCTTTCAGGGATAGGATTTTTTTTCTTAGAGATAGCTTTTATATCTTGAATTTGATGTAATGCATTTTATTTTCATTTGATGAATTTCAATAAAACATTTCCTATTTATGTTTATTTTATTGTCCATTACTTTACTTTTGTATTAAATAAAGGAAAAATATTCTTATTTAGAATCTTTTACTTTTGAAGATAATTGATGTCGCAATCAGTAATGACAAAGAAATATGTCTAGCAGACAGCAACAACACATTCAATACTCAAAGAGAGAAAATACTTTTCTCATATAGTGCTGAAAAAATCTCATGTTAGTACAATATTTGGGAGTACAAAATTAATTAAAGGTTCCGGAAGAGCAAATATAATACTCTTTGGAGGCACTAAATTTTGCATTGATGATGCATGATATTCCCCAAAGTCTCAACGAAATTTGTTAAGCTTTAAAGATATTCGCCGAAATGGATATCACATAGAGACTTGTTGTGAAGGTAACATTGAGTACTTGTACATTACAAATAATATTACTGGGATTAAAAATATTTTAGAAAAATTGCGTTCATATTCCTTCGGATTATATTATACATATATTACTACAGCTGAAAGTTACGCAACGGTAAACCAGAAGTTTACTAATCATAATGAATTTGTTATTTGGCATGACTGGTTGGGCTATCCCAGTTCTATTATGATGCGTTGGAGAATTCTTATGGTCATTCCTTAAAGAGCCAGAAGATTCTTCAGGCCAATGAATTCTCTTGTGTTGTTTGTTCTCAAGGAAAATTAAGTATATGGCCATTACCAATGAAAATTCGTACTGAATCTCCTCAATTCTTAGAACGTATACATGGTGATATTTGTGGGCCTGTTCACCCATCTTGTGGGCCATTTTTGCTATTTTATGGTTTTGAATGATGCATCAACGAGGTGGTCCCGTGTATCTTTATTATCAACTCGCTACCTGGCGTTTACGAAATTACTTGGAGAGTTAATTCGATTACGAACACATTTCCCAAATAATCCTATTAAGATAGTTATGTTTGGATAATGCTGGTGAATTTACATCCCAGTCTTTTAATGATTATTATTTGTCAATTGATATTAAACTCAATATCTTGTAGCTCATGTTCATACACAAAACGGTCTAGCAGAATCGTTTATAAAATGCATCCAGTTGATAGCGAGGCATATATTTATGAGAACCAAACTCCCAATATCTGCTGGGGGGCATGCTGTGCTACATGCTGTAGCACTAATTCGTATCAGGCCAACAAATCATCATGAGTACTCTCCCCAAAAATTAGTTTTTAGTCAGGAACCAAACATTTCCCATCTTAGAATTTTTGGTTGTGCGGTATATGTTCTTATTGCTCCACCACAACGCACAAAGATGGGACCTCAAAGGAGATTGGGAATATATGTTGGATATGAATCTCCTCAATCATAAAATTTCTTGAGCCAAACACTGGAGATTTATTTACAGCTCGTTTTGCTGATTGTCATTTTGATGAGTCAGTTTTCCCAACATTAGGGAGAAAAAATAAACAGTTGGTTAAAAATATTAGTTGGAATGAAATGTCATTATCTTATCTTGATCCTCGTACAAGGCAATGTGAACTAGAAGTTCAAAAGATAATTCATTTGCAACGATTAGCAAATTAATGGTCAGATACTTTTACTAACTTGAAACGTGTGACTAAATCACATATACCAGCTGTTAATGCTCCTGCCCGAATTAATGTCCCTGAAGGACCTTCTACCACAAATCATGAATTAAGGGCACAACAGAAACGTGGTAGACCTATCGGTTCTAAAGATAAAAATCATCGTAAACGAAAAGGGGCAAATACTCAAGATGGCGAATTCGAGGTTATTAAGTTTCCTGAAGAATCTTTGCTAATAAAAGATCTCAACATAACAGAAAACTAACTTCCTGAAAAAGTTCAGATACCTGAAAGTTTTGAGATCTCAATTTATTATGTTATGACGGGATAAAAGTTGAACCGATGTACAATAGAAGTCGACGATAAATTTACCTATGTTGCAGCAGTTAATATTATTATAAATGAAAATGAGGATCAAGAACCAAGGTCTTTGGATGAGTGCAGACGAAGAAAAGATTGGCCAAAATAGAAAGACGCTATTCATTCAGAATTAAATTCATCGGCAAAACGTAAAGTCTTTGGACTAATAATGCGCTCACCTGAAGATGTGCAACCGGTAGGATTCAAATGGGTATTTGTGCGAAAAAGAAAAGAGAAAAATGAAATCGAGCGTTATAAAGCACGTCTCGTCGCACAAGTTTTTTTCAGCTACCGGGTATTGATTATGAGGAGATATATTCTCCGGTGGTGGATGCAACAACGTTTCGCTAAGACTGGCAACATGTGAAAGACTAAAAATGCATCTCATGGATGTTGTCACGGCTTATCTATATGGGTCACTTGATAATGAAAATTATATGAAAATCTCTGAAAGATTTCAGATCCCTGAAAGATTTGGTTCTCGAGAGTTTTATTCAATTAAATTGTGTAAATCTTTGTATGGCTTAAAACAAGCCGGACGAATGTGGTATAACTGCCTTGGTGAATATATGATAAAGGAAGGTTATTTAAATGATCCAATAAGCCCATGTGTTTTTATCAAAAGACGTGGATCTGAGTTTGTAATCATTGCAGTTTATGTTGATGATTTAAATATGATTGGAACTCCTGAAGAGCTCACTAAAGCTGCAAATTACTTGAAGAAAGAATTTGAAATGAAAGACCTTGGAAAGACAAAATTTTGTCTTAGTTTACAAATTGAGCACACCAGAAGTGGCATCTTTTTACACTAGTCTGCTTATACTGCTAAAGTGCTTAAACGATTTTACATAGAAAAGGCACATCCTTTGAGCACACTTATGATTGTAAGGACACTTGATAAGAATAAAGATCCTTTTAGGCCTTGTGAGAAAGGTGAAGAGTTACTTGGTGCAGAAGTACCTAATCTTAGTACTATTGGGGCACTAATATATCTCGCTAGTCATGCACGATCTGATATATCTTTTGCTGTGAATTTATTAGTTAGATATGGTTCCTCACCTACAAGAAGGCATTGGAGTGGTGTTAAACATATATTTTGCTACCTTCAAGGTACGATAGATATTTATTATTCAAGGACATCTAAGCCTGATTTAGTAGGTTATGCAGATACTGGGTATTTATCCAATCCTCATAATGGTCGATCTCAAGCTTGTTATGTATTTACATGTGGGGGAACAACTATTTCATGGTGATCTATGAAACAGACTTTAGCTGCAATTTTGACTAATCATTCTAAAAGCAAGCCGAGAGTGTGTTTGGTTGAGATCCATTGTTTCTCACATTCGAGGATCGTGTAGATTACATTTGGAAAAAAATATCCCTACTACTTTGTTTGAAGATAATACTGCCTGCATTGACCAATTGAAAGAAGGATACATCAAAGGTGATAGAACGAAACATATTTTGTCCAAATTTTTCTTTACTCATGATCTTTAGAAGAATGGTGAAATCAATGTTCAACAAATTCGTTCAAGTGACAACTTAGCTGACTTATTCACGAAGTCATTACCAACATCAACTTTTGAGAAGTTAGTTCACAAGATTGAAATGCGGTGGTTAAAAGATATAAGTGATGTGCTCAACAGAGGGAGTTCTTTCACGCTGTACTATTTTTCCCTTGATCGAGGTTTTATTCCAATGGGTTTTCCTGACGAGTTTTTTAATGAGCCAGCGACACATTTGGAAATGTACTTTTTTTTCTTTATTATATTTTTATCCAACTGAATTTTTTCTAGTAAAGGTTTTAACGAGACATTATTCCAATAAATGGACATCTAAGAGGGAGTGTTATAATTATCTAATAATATGGATGTCCATAAACTAGTAGAGTTATACAAGAACTCGTTGTATAGAGATAATACTTATTAGATCTTATCACCGGGTAGATGTTATCTCTTTTTGCTCTTATGTGTATCCACTATGCCTATAAAAAGATATCAATCTATTTAAAAATAATACACAGATCATTCTCTCTTTCTCCCTCTTTATTATTCTTTTTCCCTACTTGTTCTTTTTCGTGTTCTTCAATTTATATTTATAACACTAGTATATTAGTTTAGTAACTTAATAAGTTTTAAGGTATTCAAGAAAAAAAAAAACTTGCACAACTCGTGTGAATATGAAGTTATTTTGATAATGAATATTGAGCATCACCTTACGAGTTCTGATTTTTCTCAAAGTAAGTAAAAAACATTATCGGCACACTGATAGTATATAAGAAAAAAACAAGTGTCGAGAGAAAAAAGAAAGCTACTTCTACTTGAGTTGATGGATACTCCCCCATAATACGAAAAGTGAAGAAGGAAGAAGAGGAAATATTCCTCTGACTATCAAATCCGTGAGTATCTGAGTGTATCTCAACTCTCAAGTTCAAGTACATTTCCACAACCGGTGCAAAATTCTCTTCTGCGAAACTACAAAATTATTCCAGGGAACGATGGTGGATTTTAAAAGCCTTGCCCACTCGAAGAATATGCAACGAGTTTCTCTAACGCTTAACCCATTGGAAGCTCCTTCTGGCTTTCGCTTTCCCAGGCTTTTTCCTTTCGACAACTCTTGGATCTCTTGTCAAGAAACCAGCTACATGACGAACAAATGCATGTGTTAAAAGCCACTAAAGTATGTACGTTCAAAGGACAGGATGAGGCCATAAACAAAGTACTTGATACGCATTTGATATGCTATAACTTGATTCAGTATATGGATTTATCACAAACTTTGAAGTTTAAAGACGGATAGGCAAGCAAACTGAAGGTAAGATCAAGTTATCCTTCTCCAAATAGTTTTTACCTGCTCTAAGAGGAGGACGTAAATCTGGTGCCCAATTTTGCAATGCCCTGCTGATGCCCAATCGAATTGCACCAACCTGACCTGTCCAGGCATAGTAAAATTTAACAATTTATCATCAGCCAAAAAAAAAAAAAAAATGAGTACAAAGAAAAGGAAATCAATAGGGCTGCACCCAACAACCACTAGAAGATTATCAATCTTGGATTTCACCAGTGGAGCTTTATTTTAAACCTTCACAGATCTTCCAAGCATAAGCCAAATTGGATTTCCATTACGGTTAATTCTAGTCTTCTGGTTTCTATTACTCGTTCCTATAGCTTCATTGGCTGACACATTAATTTAATGATTGTAACTTCTCCCAATACGTGGCAAACAGTTTGAGAACTTCTCCCAAAGCTTTCCTAGTATACACTGGGAACTTATCAAGAATATCCAGCATAGAATGGGAGAAAATAAATTGCATAAAATAGCGTCCGAAAAAGGAAATGAAACAGAAAGCTAGAAAGAAATACCTAAGCAACACAGGAGAGCAGACATTATTAAGAACTAAAGATTGGGTTCAGAACAAGGCAACTAACAGAAGCATGGGGAGCAAAAAGATGCGCAGTGTTGCAGTACTATGAAATTCATTAATCTCATCAGAAAACTTATCTAACTTTACACCAAAAGAAAACTACATCAAACATAATTTCACTCGAAGATGATATTTAGCAAGTCCCCTAATATATTTACATAAGTAATGAAGCAGCCCATAGCAATATTACAACGATACATACAAATTGGAAACCAATCAAAATGAACCACCAATGATGTCATTGAAATACGAGCAACAACATGGTACAGGGTCAAAGAGGGAAAGGAAACAATCATTACAGAAATGAGTACAAGGATGCCACTAGCTTGTTATATTACTTCTAAGAAGAAAAAGTAGTGCCATAACCATAAAAAAATGAATCTTTTCTTCAAGTGAACTCTAAAAAAGCTCAAAAGAGAAACCTTCTCAATCAAACCCAGTTTGATCGCCACAACATTACTTCTCATTCGTCAATGGGAAATAATTAGAGTATCAAAGTTCTCCAGGACAATCGACAAAAGACAATATTGATGCTTAGCTTACCTGATACACCACCTCCTTTAACTGTACAATTCACATCCCACAAACCCAACGTCTTAGTTTCAGAGAAAGGCCGAAGAAGGATGGCCCGATGATCAAGCATTGGGAAATACACATCGAACTCTTTATCATTCACAACGAACTTTCCAGCCCCAGGTTGCACCCATACACGAGCTATACTGCATTTCCTCCTTCCAGTACCATAAGCCCTTCCCTTGTCATCTACTCGCCGCACACGGGAATTAGCAAGTTCCTCCTGTTTCTGCCGCTCAATTTCAGCCCTTGAGGATTTCATTGTACTCTTTTCGTAGCGGTTATCCTCTATCTTCCATAAGGGAGGAAGTCCTGGAATATCCTCAAAATTCTTCAAAGCCATCAAACTGTCGAGCATTTCATCGGTGATTCCAGATGCTGCAATAAGGTCACCAAATGCACGATTTGGACCTATAAACAGAGAATGTTTATGAGGTTATCCAGCATAAGACAAAAATAAGAACGACAACAAAGGGGATAATTATGTGAACCAAACAAATATTGTGTAAATCAAGGGGAAAAAATTAAGTGAATGTCTAAAACAAGGATAAAAAAATGAAAAGCCACCAAGAAAAGTGCCAAATTACATAGCTGAACCAAACACATATAATTGAATGGAAGTAATCATTAAATGAAAGTTTTAGAATTGAGGCTAAACATGTATAACTATCTCTACATCAAGCCAAAACAATTAATATTAAAATTTTATATTGTTTTTCGATTTATTGTGAGTACATAAAATAAACATAAACTACTTTTGAGCTACATGACACAAAACAAAGCAGAATAACTGTTTCTTTGTTGATTTTAACACTCGGAAACTGAAAATGTGACGAAGATGATAATAAGCTGATAGTTGGGAGGAAAAGCATCGGTAAAGAGCCAAAAAGAATCTCATGCTCATTCACATCCTCAATGCCACGATCCCTATTATAAAACAAGTACTCCCTCCGTCCCACAAAAATAGTCCAGTTTAATAAAAAAGTTTGTCCCAAAAAAATAGTCCAATTTCACAAAAGTCAAAATTAATTGAATTGAAATGACTTAAATATCCAAAAGAGTAGTAGTAAGGAAAACAAGGTCCACTTCCTTTGATTTTCCATTTTTTTTAGTTTTCTCTCATTTTTTCAAATGATTATATCTTTTAATACATGAATAATTAAAAAATGTGTTATATATCAAATTAATCTACGTAACGAGATCTTTCCATCAAGATCCATTGTCAATATTTTTTGAGATAAAAATTTTGATCAAATTTAAGTTGTAAAATAAATGCATATGTAGTTAACTTTTATAGAAATAACTAGAAGGGGCATTAGTGGAAGTTAGGGGCATAAAATAAGTTGTACATTTGGTGTGTTGACCAAATTAAAAAAGTTATACATTTTCAAACTGGACTATTTTTATGGGACGGAGGGAGTAACAACTAAATCCATCGAAAAATGCATCATTATGGAGCACAACAACAATGAACAAACAAGATATTTGGAGATGAAATGTAATGCATAATTTTGTCATGATACCGAAACCAGAGACAGTTTCCCCAAAACTTTTATTCTGTAAAGCATCCACCATCCACAGTTAATGTTTCAACAAATCTAACAAACAAGCAATCCCAAATGCACATTAACACAGAATTAGGGCCTAAATAATAATTCTTTAACACTTTTATGAACGTGCTGATTCTGGACTAATTATAATAATTCCCACAATGCAGCAAATAGACCAGAGCAGAATAATTATCTATATTACACTATTTTAGACGCAAAAGATAAGCATATGCATACACACAAGTTGCACAAGTATGCCAAACTAAAGACCTTTTAACAAAACGTTCAAACCCCACAGCTGGCAATCTTCTTCTACAACTTTTCTAGCTCAAATACACAAGAACACAACATAAAATTTCAAAGCAACGGCGAGGTTTCAAAGACAAATTACAAGGATTTAATTAAACATTTAAAGATATGGAAAGACAAAATGTATGGAGGTAATAGGTCCGACCACACCAGGTGCGGTCATTGGGAGATTAAACCCGTACTTGTAATAATCATGCATGAAGGCTGAGAATAAAGATGAATCAAAACTGAAATTTAAGAGTATAATTATGTTACGCAACAAAATTTTTTACTTCAAACTCTATATGAGAATCGGTCTTGGGGCATAGGTGGTAAAATCTCTTCCATTTCATGCGGTCATCTAACATGTATACATAACCACAAACAACCTGTAATAATCAATCTCCATGCTTCAGAACTAATTTAGAGGTTTCCAAAATGTCAAACTGATATTAAAAGCAAAAATGAAGTTTGGACTTTGGACAAATTAAGGACTCGGCACAGGTTAGATCAAAATTACACAAGATTAGGATCAGGTGGCATGCAAGTTTAGATATGATGCAGCAAAACAATTAAAAAATCTCATAACTTAACAAAAAATTACATCTGCACTGATGAACAAGAGAGAGATGGGAGCACTCACACTGAAAGTTGATAAGATAGCAAAGCTGAAGTATACAAGTTTCAAATTTCAACCCTAACAATGCTCATAGACTCCTCTGGATTCATTAAAAATTCACTTTTGAAACTAAATGGGTGGAGATAGAAGTTAGTATGAAATTGTTCTGCTAGATTCTGAGACAAATCAAGTAGAACCTGCAGACTTGGAACCCAATTCCAGTTGTAGAAGTTAGTATGCAATTGTTCTGCACAAGCAATGATGCCCCTAACAGAGAACATGCAATCAGGCACTTTATTCAGTACGAGTAAATCATATGCCTCTTTTTTTGGTTGCAATACCGGCGAATGCAACCTTGTGCAAACATCTGGATCACCATTCCAAATAGAGGCAGAGCAACCCCATTTAGCAAAAATGAAGTAAAACAGAAAACCCCCTGAACAAACATCGGTAATTCATGGCTGCATTGTTTAAAGGCAATCGGAATGTAACAAGCAAAACAAGTTAATGTAAAGACAACAGCTAGTATTCAACTGTAAAATTCTCAATGTAATCAAAGAAGGTAGCAGCTATAGATGAACAAATTAATAACACCTTCCCTACGCATTTCGTAGATTAGTACCCAGCTTAATTAACCATGATAAAGCCACACAAGCATATAGAGACCATCACACTTGACCTTCCAAAATGCAGGCAGCTATTAATCTAGTTAACAAAATCTTTTATCTAAATTTCGAAAAGAATCTGCGAATCCAAAAGCAATGAATGATAAGAATAAATGACGACCTGCAAGATTATTTCATTCCACATTTAACAGAAAATAAAAGAATTTCTATTGTTAGAAATTCTTTTATTAATGAATTACGAGGCAAACACACACATAAATTGATTACTGAATAGCATGCTCAAATAATGTGTGCATTTCAATGGTAGGCCGACAGACAATATCAATGACAATAAGCACCCACAAGATTCTTTAAGGCATTACAAAGAATACTTCATTAGCTACGTCTTAGTAAACGCATTTGGCATACATGTATAGGATGGTCTTGAGGGAACTACGTTTTTCCAGAAGATCATGATATCCAGAACGACAAGCTTATCAGAAGAAAGAACCAAACAGAATTTATTTAAATGTAAACGGAGACAACCGAAACTGAAAAAAAGATAAATTCTGGTTTAAGGCTAAAACATCTAGCATACACAAATAGGATAATGAAACTCAAATTGCAACATTTTTATCTCCAACAGAAAGCTACACTACACGAGAAACAACCCACCAAAAACTACTGCGCGGGATTGCATCCAAATATCAAACCCCACAAAAATCAGCACTTCCCAACAATACTTCCCCACACCGACAAATGGACCTGCTAAAATTTATACTACTTTCGCGAATCAAAATAAGTTTGACTCCATTAGTAAATCTATACTTAATGGTTTTGTAAGGAGAAAACTGAGGCCTGCTTATGCGAGTTTGTCTTTTTGGGTTTATACATATTTAAAGTGAAAGCATCATCCGATGCCACATTTGTCAAATGGAGTGAGAGTGCAACACTACAGTTTTGTGGCGTAAAAACCACATGAAACTCAAACATGAGAATTATAGATTAAGGTTCCAGTTTTCAGACAATGGATGCATGATAATACACATACACTATCTCACAACTCTTCCAACAAGAATAAATAAAGACATCCCTTTCGGGAACACATCTGTAACTATTCTATATTGTACACAGTGACATGTAGCCTACTTATAATTCATATAATCCTTTGTCATGAACTGCTGGTTCTTTTCCAATCGCCTCAACTTGTTTCCAGAACAACCAATTTCATCAAAGTCCTAAATCAGTATCTGAAAATATCTGACTCGCATTTTCTTTTCAACATCTCGTAATTTTATTCACAAATATAAACACAGCTCACCAAATGTAAATAATTTGTACTCCTCCCAGGTTCCAGATGATTAAACCCAACAACTTAGGCTATGATTTAACTAATTTTGACTTGAATTTTATAAGATGAAAAAGAACGTTTGGAAAATGACTAATTACCTTTGAGCATCTCAGTGAGCTTCTTCTCCGCAACCTCCAGAAACTTTCCCTCTTCGCTATTCTGAAATGCTACTAAGTCCACCTCCTCAGATACCTCATTTTCCATTTCCCACTTATCTCCTTTACCGACGTCAAACAAATTCTTAACTTCATCCTTATCTCCTCCATCCCCGGTAAGAGTCCAAGGCTTGTAGCCCTCCGCCGTGGCCCACCCATCATGATGATGACCCTTTTCGGCCTCTCTGAATATATCTTCCTCACCGCCAGCCCCATCATTTAAAGATTCCGAGCTCCATTTCTGGGTTTGACTCTCCGATTTCATATGCGGCGGCTGTGGCTTCTCCTCCTCATCGCTAAGACCATCTAAAGTTCGGAGCTCCTCGTCGCCGAAGACAGAATCAACAGAATCATCCGCCTCCGAAGATAAATTCCACAGGTGGGAGGTCGGTGAATCCTTGTTGTTGTTGTTGTTGTTGTTGTTGTTACCGGTGGAGTAAAAATGCGAAATCTGGGACTGAAAAACAATGTTTGGATTTGGAATTAAAGGAGGAGGGGGTGTGGGTTTAAGGTTTTGTAGATGGTTTTGGGAGGAGGAAATTAAGGTTAAGAATCGGAGATGAGAAGATTTGGCAATGAAACGAGAGAGCATTCTGTTCTTACTTCTACAGACGAGAAGAGGAGGGTTTTTGGTGGGTTTTTGGCTTTTTTGGGGGTTTTGACTAATCAGACGTAATTTTGTTTTTCAAACGGTTGATTTTTCTTCTTTAAAATTCGTTCAATCCAAAAGCATTAACTTCTGCCGGAGAAGGCAAGCCACCGGTGGTGGTGAAGTGAGGCTGTGAGAGAGAGGATTAATGAAGAAAAAAAAAAAGACAAAAAGAAAGATAACTGTATAAGTTAGCCGGAATAATCTTGGTTTTCTTTCCGTCCTTTCACAGTACTCCGTCGACTCGTAAAACCGATGGGGTCAAAGGGGGGTACTTGGGGGTGTTTTTGATATTGCCCTTTTCTTATACTCCGTCATGTTCTTAATATAAAGTATTTTAATTAAGTTTCATCTAATACGTATTTTTAATTGACGAAAAAATTTAAAAATATTTTATTCCATTTATTGTATTTTTTTTATTGTTATTTTTAAAATTTTTTCGTCAATTGGAAATCGCAAATAATACTAAGCACCTGAAGCTCTTAAATTTGGGAACTCCGAGACAAGCGCGTGCAATACATAAATAAAAAGTCGCGTTAAATTATTTAATTGTCACACGCATCGTTTCTTCCTCATCCTTTCTCTCTCCTTCCTTTTCAGAAACAATATCTTCTTGGATGCTCCGCATTGAGATTCTTATGCCAGTTAAATCTTCTTCAAAATTTTCAAAAATTTCGTTCGGCAAATCTCTGCTAACTTGAATCCTTTGTCCGGCGAATTTCGAAGTTCAGATATGTAAATTTTGGTCATTATACCATTGTTTCCGAGCAAATTTCAACAAAAACACAGTAGATTCGGCAAAAAACCGACGAAAATCCTCTTACACTTTAATTATAAAATTCAACTTCCATAGCTATAAATGACATGTAAAGGTGTTATTTTACTCTTTAATTTCTTCTCTTCTTCCTTCTTTTTTGTTTAAATTAGGTGATTGCTCTTCATCGTTCTTTGCAAAACAGAACCTCTTTTTGAAATGAACATTGCTTTTCACAGGATGAACATTGTTGTTTTGTGAGATAAACATTTGGAGTTTTTTAGTTCGGTTTTGCAGGATGAACAATGAAACTATCTAAATGAACAATGACTATTTACAGGATGAGCACCAGGTGGTACAAAATTCACATCAAGTTTCCTTAGATGATTTTTGCCGTTTTGCTGTGAACTTCAGACATAAGATGAACTTTACAGTTTCACGGGATGAGCATTCACTTCATTGAAGTGAACATTGTAGTTAGGAAGATGAGATATCATATTTGTACAATATCTTTTCCCAATGAAATACGTTTGAATTTAGGATGAACATTACAGTTTTATTAGGATGTGTATTGTATGTTATTCAATGCACAACAGAAAATCTTTATTGAATTTTTATTTTGATACAAAATTGTGTAAATTTTTTTATGTTTTTTTTTTAATTGTTATCAAGACTATAGTAGTCAGTAAATGCAAATTAATTAACTTGGAAAAAATTTCAAACAAAAAAAAAACAAAATTTAAAAAAATTCAACTTCGTGTCAGTTTAGGGTTTAGGGTATAGGAGGGTTTAAGCATTTCAATTATAGGTTAGGGGCTAGTTTGCGCCGGGAAATGATTAACCTTTTAAATTTTTTTAAACCAATTAGGCTAGGATCTCGTCTAGCCTAATCTGTTTAAAAAAATTTCAACCAAATAAAAAAAATTAAAAATTTAGTTTTAGTTGTTTAAGGTTCAGGATTTAGGGGGTTTAGGGTAGTTTAAGCATTTCAATTATAGGTTAAGGACTAGTTTGCGCCGGGAAACGATTAACTTTTTAAATTTTTTTAAACCGATTGTCGGTTTAGTTTTTTAGGGTTTAGAGGGTTTAGGGGGTTCAAGCATTTCAATTATAGGTTAGGGACTAGTTTACGCGAGGAAACGATTAATCTAAATTTTTTTAAACCGATTAGGTTTACGAGACCCTAGCCTAATCGGTTTAACAAAATTTCAACCAAATAAAAAAAATTAAAAAAAATTCATCTCCATGTCGATTTAGTTGTTTAGTTGTTTAGAGTTTAGGGTTTAGGGAGGTTTAAGTATTTCAATTATATGTTAGGGACTAGTTTGCGTCGGGAAACGATTAATCTTTTAAATTTTTTTTACTGAAAATAAACTATTAACTTATTGTTGCAGATGAATGTTGAAGATGATCATTGTGTGTAAGAGGATGGACATTGTAGTTTAGCCAGATGATCATACAGGACATTTAACAAATAAGGACCATGACTCTAAGATGAACATTGCAGTATAACAAGATGCACATTTAAATTGGTGCAGTGAACAACAGAAAAGTTTAATGAATTTTCTACTTTCAAAGTGATCAAAGACATTTCAAAGATCTCAACAGGATTCACATTGTAGCTACAAACTTTTGGGATGATAAGTCAAAAATTGAAATCCACTAGTAGTGAGCACTAGTTGAATTTACATAAGACTTTTTGCCCTATAAATTTTCTTGTTGAGACGGTGAACTGTTGTGTCCTTTAATGGGTTGTGTGGAAGGGAGAATCTTGTCTGTATTGCTTCTCCTCACACTCTTATATCTCTCTCTGTTGCATGACAACATTTACAGTAGTATAAGATGAATAACAACATTCTCATTTATAAAATAAACAACTGAGCTTCACAGGATGAGCAATAACTCTTAGAAAATGAACTAGACTCTCAAAGGATGAAAATCAACAGTTTCACAATGAACATTTAGTAATAGGTAGTGAACATATATCCAGAAATCAACATCGAAGCATACAGGATGAGCATCAAAGTATGCAGGATGAACAACCAAACATTCTCTGTCAAGATAAGCATTGAAGCATACAGGATGAGCATCGAAGCATCAGGATGAGCAATCTAATATTCTCTGTCAAGATGAGCATTGAATCATACAGGATGAGGATCGAAGCATACAGGATGAGCATCAAAGCATACATGATGAGCAACCACACAAACAATACAATAACCTTTAAATGAACAACTGAATCTTAGAGGATGAACATCATTCGATGAACAATAACCCATAGCAAATGAATAATCACATCTATAAAATGAATAACTGAGTCTCAGGAATTTTCTCACGCTACCACATCTATAAAATGAACATCTAAATCTGAGAGGAATTTTTTTTAGGATGAAAAATACTCGTCATTTACACTTGAACCTAGGCTCTGACGTAGTCTCTGGCGTAGCAATTTTTGGTTGTCTGATTCTTTTGTGTTTCGACGGCAGATGTAGATGCTTCGACCTTCTTTTGTGTTTCAGCATTCTCCTTTTGAGACGGTGAACTGTTGTGCCCCTTCAATGGGTTGTGTGGAAAGGAGACTCTTGTCTTTATTGTTTCTCTTCACACTCTTACATCGTCCTCTGTTGCATGACAATATTCACAGTAATATAAGATGAATAACAACATTCTCATTTATAAAATGAACAACTGAGCTTCACAAGATAAGCAATAACTCATAGCAAATGAACAAGACTTTCACAAGATGAAAATCAATAGTTTCACAATGAACATTTAGTGATAGGCAGTGAATATATATCCAGAAATCAACATCAAAGCATACAAGATGAGCATCGAATCATACAGGATGAACAATCTAACATTCTCTGTCAAGATGAGCATTGAAGCATACATGATGAACAACCTAACATTCTCTGTCTAGATAAGCATCGAAGCATACAGGATGAGCATCAAAGCATACAGGAAGGGCAACCACACAAACAATACAATGATAAAATGAACAACGAAGCTTCATAGGATGAACAATAATCCATATAAAATGAGCAAGACACTCTCAGAGGATGAACATTATATCAGTGCATCATAATGTTATGTAACCAGAATATCATACAAACAGAAATATAATTTTCTCAGGCTACCAGATGAGTATTTAGTGGATGATCATTACCTATGATCTAAGCTTGATTATGAGTCTGAGTCATGTCTTGTAAACTTTGAAGAAAACTCTAGCGTAGCGCTTTTTGGTTGTGTGATTCTCATCCTTGCCTGTAACAGTTTCAAAATGAAACATCAAGGGTTGCGACTTCAAAACCCTAATTCTTGTCAAATTCAGACATGAAAAAATGAATGTCCATTTTGGAAAAAGAGGATACGATAATGGCGTGCTTGAATTTGTGTTTTTCACCGTCAGAAGATTCGTCGAACAGAGTTTTTGAAATTTCTAGGCAAAATTCACCAGACAAAGATGTGAAGTGCGTTTTTAATCACAACAGAGATGTTTCAAGCATATTTAACGAATGGAATCTCGAAGATTTAGGAGGAAATTTGCTGGAGGAAGTTACGCCGAGAGCTGGAATGAGAAATCGCCGGAGGATTTTTGGGAGAAATGGATGGTTTGTTCTTGATTGTGAGGTTTTTTTATTTTTTTTAAAAAAATCATGTCTATTTATATTTTTTACAACGGAAGCGGTGGCATTTTTGTAATTTACAGGAAAATGGGAAAAAAGGCTGTTATGGGCGCGCGTGTTCTAAATCCGGAGCTAGCTAATTAGGGAGCTCCGGGTGTCTTATACATTAATTGATTAGAATTCCATGAAACTTAGGACAAATCAAAATGTCTTATATTAACCATCGGAACGAGTACCTTTATTTTTTTTTTTCCTTTGTTCTTCTCTTCAATCCCTTTGACTCGCAGTGGACTCGAGCTTTTAGACTTGCTTTTTTGTACAAGTAAAATGGAAGCTTAATAAATGCAAACTCTCCTGAAGTTGGAGCTCAATCAGGGAGATTAATTGCCCTAGTCTTGTTGGCGTTAAGGGGATCGTATAAGCTGCTGGTAATGGCTACGAATGAGGTGTGTAACTCTCTCTTTACTTTTGAAAATTTTGTATTGAGTTGGTTTCGGTTTTGATTGGACAAGTCAGTGCAATTAAAAAAATAAACGGCTTAGATTAGTATCATCTCTGAGATTTCACTGTAAATATGATGGTGAAAGCAATTCATGCGACTGTAATTCGGTTTGCGGTCGTTCCAGTTATGATTATATTGTTGGTATTTCCCGATGCATCATTTTGGGGAGCCGAGGGCTCAGACTGTCTGATTATTTGTAACAAAGAAATTGAGCACAATATTGCAATTTTTTGTCCCAAATTTTGTTGCTATAATGGAAAATATTATTAGTAATAAACAAACCCGTAATTCTGGTTTCTGAGTAGCAATCCTAGACGGAGGAGGACCGGATACTGTTTATGGACTAGCTCAGTGTTATAAAGATTTTTCGCCTTGATTGCCGTGTTGTGCTATGCCGTAGTGCAAACTCTGCTTCCCCAGTATTTTTCCTTATAATGGGGGGAGAATTTTTCTGGATGGATGCTTTATGAGATCACAGAACTACAGCTTCTTCCATGAGATTAAAGGGCCACAGGATATGGCTGTGTGTGGGAACAAAACCACCACGGATACGGCATTTCATCAGTTGGCTAGACAGGCAGTCCTTCATGCTGTTACAGATGCACCGAGCAACAAAGGGAGTGCGCATGCTCAGTTGCGGATCCCGGTACCGCGTACGAGTCCGTTTATGTTTTGACCGAATGCTGGAGATCACTAGATGCTGAATCCTGCAGAGCATGTTTGGAGAGTGCATCTACATCTTTATTAGGATGCTTACCTAAATCTGAAGGAAGGGCATTAAACACTGAATGTTTCATGAGGTATTCAGACACCAATTTCCTTAATTCCATACCACAAACTGGATCTTCAAGAGGTAACTCTCTGCAATGCTATTCTCCCTTATTGTACCAATAGAGGGTTCTGATAGGAAATCCATATTTCCAGTTACTTAAGGAGCTAATTATTTTGATTACAGAATGTTGTTTCAACTAATACCTTGATCTCTCAATGTTGTCCTTTTCTCGTGCTGGAAAGAATATGCAACAACTTTTGTTATCATTATGTTCAACCAAAACACATAGGAGATGCATTTTAACCAACAAAGATAGTCTTCATTTTGAAATTCAGGATTTATCATGTGAACTCTTACTTATTGTTTGTCCTTTGAAAGATTTATTTCTCTATTAGTTATGGATAAAACAATGCTAAAAGCTTGGTCATTTTTCGAACTCGCCAATGTTTCAAGGGAAAATAACTTAAATCAGGTTTCGGTAACTCTTTGCTAAATAGTATAATGCGATCAATAAAACTAAAAAACTGATAATCTAATTAGGTTATTTTCACTTCTTTGGCTGGCAAAGGATAGATGCAAGGATACATGTGGTAATAATGTGACAATTCCATACCCATTTGGAATCGGTTCCGGCTGTTCTCTCAGTGAATCATACACCATAAGGCATAAGTTGTAAGAGGAAGACTGTTAATCTCTTCGAGGATGATTTTCTATCACCATTCTTAAGAATTAAAGGAAACGATTATGAGGTAAGAGAAGTGTCCTTGAGGGATCAAACTGTGACCATAACTGTTCTGCCGGGTAACATAACCTCATGTATATCAAATAGTAAATCTAATTTCGAGATATTCTGACACCTGTAGGCTTCGGTGCATATGGTAGCGCGAACCTTGATGAAACTCCATTTTTTTACTCCAAAAAAACACCACAGACTAAAACTTATTGCCTGTGGAAATGCTCTCATATATCAGAATCGGGTAGTTGGCAGAAACAAAGTCTTGTATGGCTACTTCTCTTCTTGCCAACAGTAACACAAGCAATTGCTTTGGTATAAATTGCTGCCATACAGATATCCCTTTCAATCTAAAAGAATATTGGGTCAACTTCACTGCCACAAAAAATTTCAACAGATTATTCAATTGCACTGCAGCCATCTTAGTGGATCGAAATGGAAGTCAGAGTTTAAAGCCAATCTTCCTGTTGTTTGGTCATGGACTGTCCCAAATCCTAATGTAACAGATTCAATTCTTGGTTGCAGTCAGAAAACTAGCAGTCTTGAGGTTGAATCTGGTAATTAATTTTAGTAATTATGGTTGTGAACGAAAAACAGGATAAGAGGTCAAATGCACTATTGGCCAAGAATCAGTCTATTGATGGTCTTTGTTCACTAATTTGCGTTCTATGCATTTTTACCATAAAAAGAGAATTTGATATGTGGCACTAGATGTATTCTTTTTTCTGTAGTATTATAGCTTAAATGCTACTGCAACATGGGGACATCTACTGAGTCTAAAACTATCAGCATATTGTCAGAATCAATTATCTGTTGTAATATAATAGTTAACTCTACTTTTGTAGAATTTTTGTTGATTTTGATTTGTGATGTATCTACTTTGATCTTGCAGGTGCGGCTGTAGGTTTTGGCACGTTATTTCTAATGATTTCAGGATTTACCTCGTACAAGATAAGGAGAAGTCAGAATGGAGGATTGTAACAAGAGGAAATCAAGTGAAGGAAACCACCAATGAAGTTGGCAAGACTGTGAAAGAAGGGGAATCGGTTTCAAAAACGAAAGTAGTTGTACAATCAAAGGTATCAGAGAAGAGTAAGAATGTACTTGGAGAAAACGAAAATGGTTTTTCAGTGCTAGCTCAACTTGAAGATGGGATGGTACAAAGCTTTACGAAAGAGATGACAGGCCAAGATGATGATTTGCAGCAGTTAGTGGGAGAAGTCATAGGGGGAACACTCAGGCAGCTTGACCCTGGTATCCATGTATAAGATCTTACACTGGAATACAAGGGGGTTGAACAATCCCCTTAAACAAAAGGAGGTAAGTAGAATCTGTTCTAAACATAGTGTTAGCTTTATAGCTTTGGTGGAAACTAAGTTAAATCAGGAAAAAGTGGTGGATTTTTAGAGGAAGTATTGGCAGGGTTATAAAATTTACTCAAATATCCAGGGTGATCAAAGGGTTAGAATATGTTTAATATGAAATCTTGTACTGTTAGAAGTATCTATTCTGTGTGCTTCTGTTCACTGTTTGATGAGGGGAAGATTAGATAGTAGTAATGTATATATTATAGCAGTATATGGAGCTAATAGTTCTGCTGGCAGGGATATTCTCTGGGAAAACCTGATAGCTTCAGCTGGGAATATACATAGTCCTTGGGTAGCAATAGAGGACTTTAACAATGTCTTACATGTTCATGAAAGAATAGGAGGGAATAGAGTCACAGTGGTTGAGATCCAGGGGTTGCAAAGGTGTGTACAAGAATGTGGTTTCCAGGATTTGAAGCAACAAGGAAATCGGTTTACATGGACAAATAAACAAGAAGGAGCTAGTAGAACATGGTCCAGAATTGACAGTCTTGGTCAATGGTGAATGGATCATGGAGTACCCAAACTCAATAGCCACAGTATTGAATGAAGGTATTTCTGACCATTGCCCGATATTGGTTCAATTGGGGATGGAAGAGGGGAAGAAATTGAGACCATTGAAGTTTTTTAATATGTGGTGTCAAGCGGAGAATTTTGAAGAGATTGTAGCTGTCATTGTAGTTGACAGCTGGGCACAGGAGATACAGGGCACTCAAATGTTTCAACTTGCTAAGAAACTAAAAAGGCTAAAACCAGTCCTTAAGCAGTTGAACAAAGAGCAATATGCAGAGATACAAGTGTAATAGAAGATTTGGGAAGACAGACTATAGCAGACTCAGACAATGCTTCATGCCAACCCTAGGAATGAGGACTTGCAGAAAATAGAAAGGGAACAATACAGAAAGTATGTTGAAATCAGTAAGGCAGTGGAAAGCTTTCTGCATCAGAAAGCAAAGGATAGTTGGGTTAAACTGGGAGACACCAATAGTTCTTTTTTCCACGCTCGAATGAGGATTCGGAGTATGCAGAATCGTATATGCTCAATAGTAAGTGAAAATGGTCAGCTAATCACTGATTGGAACATCATTCTGAAGCAGTTTGTGAATTTTTAGCAGAAACAATTAGGTCAATGCAGCAGCAGACAAAGTTCAAAAAAGGAGGTATTCGATTGGGGACCTAAACTAGACTGGAAGAAGCAGATGATGTTACTCAGGAAAGTCAAGCCACAGGAAGTCAATGAAGCACTCTGGAGCATTCACAGTGGGAAGAGCCCAGGACCAGACGGTTTTGGGAGTGGGTTTTTTAAGGGTGCCTGGAAGGTGGTGGGAGAAAGTGTTACTAGGGCTGTGATGGAATTCTTTGATAATGGAAGATTGTTGAAACAGATGAACTCCACTACCTTGGTTTTGATACCGAAAGTTGAATCCCCTCAGAATGCAGGAGACTACAGGCCCATTGCCTTTTGTAATGTGGTGTATAAGGTAATATCTAAGCTTTTATGTAATCGTTTGAAAGCTGTTTTACCCGATTTAATAGATGCTAACCAAAGTGAGTTTGTTAGTAGTAGACTTATCCTTCATAATGTACTACTTACTCAGGAATTAGTATGTTTGTATGGGAGGAAAAACATTAGCGGAAGATGCATGTTTAAAATAGACATAAAAAAAGCATATGACTCTCTGGAATGGAATTTCTTAGAAGAAATGCTAGAGGGGTATAATTTTCCTAGTTCCTTTAGCAATCTGATCATGGAATGTGTAAGGTCCACTTCTTATACATTAGGGTTAAATGGTGAAAATTGTGGGTTTTTTTTGAGGGGAAGAGGGGTCTTAGACAGGGTGACCCTATGTCACCGCTGCTTTTTGTAATGGCAATGGATTATTTGACTTGTTTGATGAAGGAAGCTGCTGCAGACCCGAAGTTCAAGTTCCATCCTCAATGCAAAGGTCTTAAACTCACAAACTTATGTTTTGCATATGATTTGATGATCTTTTGCAGAGCTGACAATTATACAGGGCAGAAAATCATGAATGTGTTGGAAGAATTTGTGGGTACTACTGGACTTAGACCAAATCCTAGTAAATCAGCGGCGTATTTTGGGGGAGTCTCAGAAGCTGTCAAACAAGATGTACTCACTATTTCAGGTTTTAAAGAGGGATGTTTTCCAATGAAGTACCTGGGTGCAGTGTTGTCAGGCTCGGACCGGAACTCGACTCGGCATGGCCAAGGGGTCAATTGAATCGGGGGTCGACTCGGGGCGATTCGGGGGGTCGACTCGGATGACATCATAATGATGTAATAAACACTAATTAATTAATAAGTATATCTTAATTAAAATTTTATAAATTTTTTTATATATTTTTAAATTGTTGGATCAAATTAATACTTCATAATTTCTAAATGGGTCTCCATATAATTAAATTGAACTTATGACATAGATTATGATGATGTCATTATTACTAATTATATAATATTTAGTTATTTAATATATTTAAAATTAAAATAAAAACTTAAACTTTATATCTCTCTTCAATTATATTAGTTGATATTGATATTTTTCAGTAGTTAATTGTTATTCAAGTGAAGTAAATTAGTATACTAATAAAGTAATTAAGATAAGTACATTATTATTTAAAAAAATATTGAATTTGAAGTACAACTAATATGCACATTAAGAAAAAGTACTCCGAGATTAATTTTTTGTGACATATTACAATTATAATATAAAATTTTTCATAAAATGATGGAAGTAAGTTTATCTAGCGAAATTAGAAAAAAGATTATTCAAGATATTATATTTGAAAATTGAAATTGAATATGGGGACTAAATATCAAATTAATACTTTTTAAAAAGTACAAAAAATTGAAAGTTGTTGGGTAATTTTGAATAAAAGAGAAAAAATTGGCCTTGGAAGACATTGGAACTTGAAAGTTATAGGAAAATGTGCAATTTTCAGGTCAAAAGTCAAAAAAATTAAAACCCCAGTTTTAGCCGAGTTGCGGTTCGATCGGGGTTTTGACCGATTTTGACCGGTCTTCTTATTACCGATTTTAACCCTTGCTCGACTCGGTATAGGTGTCGGTTCCCGATTTAACTGGTTCGGCTGGCCTGCCCGAGCTGAGCATGACAACACTGCCTGGGTGTTGCCCTGTCACCTAAGAAACGCCATCAGACAGAGTGCGAAACTTTTGTTCAGAAAATGATGGCGAAGATTAGATGCTGGAGTTCCCGACACCTAAGCTATGCAGGGAGAATCCAGCTGATTAACAGTGTATTGATGGCCATGAACAATTATTGGGCACAAGCTTTTATTTTGCCCAAGAGTATCACTCAACAAATTACTAGAGTTTGTCGAGACTTTCTTTGGGGTGTGAAGGAGAATGGCAGGAAAATTCCTCTGGTCAGCTGGGATGTGATTTGCAGGCTAAAAAGCGAAGGAGGGCTTGGCATAAGAGATGCGCAGAGGTGGAATGGGGCAGCTTTGTTTAAGCAGGTATGGAATCTGTCTTGTAAAACTAACCATCTCTGGGTTGAATGGATGCATGAAACTTATATAAAAGATGGAGATGTATGGAGCTTGCAATACAAGCAAGATTCCAGTTGGCACCGGAAACAACTTGTAAAGATAAAGGAGAAGATGAAAGAGGCATGTAGTAGATGGGAAATGGATTAATTCAGTTTTTGGTAAATACAGTATTAGCTCTGGATATAGTAGGCTAATGGGGGACACTAACAGATGTGCTGCAGCAGTTTTCATGTGGTCTAGATATAATATACCAAGACATTCTTTCATTTCTTGGCTTTGTTGGAAGAACAGACTCTTAACCAAAGATCGGATTAGCAGATTGTTGTTGCAGGTTGATCCTCTTTGTGTACCATGCCAGCAGGAATAAGAAGATGCAGACCACCTGTTTTTTGAATGTAACTTCTCAAAGGAGCTGTTGAAGATGGTTAACCAGTGGCTGCAAATTAGCCTGCCTTATACTCAGAATGGTTGGAGGAGGAAGCTACTTCGTATCTGTAATAAAACGAAGCTGAAAAGGAAAACACTTTTTGCTACTATTGCTGGTCTCATTTATCATATATGAGAGGAGAGGAATGCTAGAAGTTTTAATAGGATTCAAAGAAGTGGTGAACAAATACTACAGAAGATTAAGCAAGAGATTAAGTGTAGAGTTCAGGGCTGTCTTAGGATGCCTTATACGGATACAGAAAAAGAAATTTTGAATGTGTATCTTAGTAATTAGTAAGGTTTTGAATCACTGTTTGTCTATAGGTTTTTGGTGCATGTAATAGAGTACTTTGGTTGTAAATATGGTCCTCAAAGTTTTTTCATTAATATATTTACAGTTTCACAAAAAAAAAAAAAAAAAAAAAGATGATGAAGAAGTGCCAATGTCAAACCAGTATAAGTAGAAGATTAGAAGTAAATGCGGTAGCACAATCACATTTTTCTGTCTTTTTCTCAAAGGGCTGTTATCTAATACTTTTATCAAATTAATTTAGCGTATGTTACTTCATATTCAATAGAAGAAGAACGGGCAAAAAGAAGAAGGAAAAAATTATTTCTACACATCTTCAATGGATGTTCGAAGCAGAGATTTTGGCCTTTTTCTTTTTGGTGAGGAAATTCACAGTATACTATGAACTGATTTTGGCGGCTCAATTACCGGATGCATAGTATACCAAAAATTTCTAGTTTATTATGAGTGTGTCCATTAGTTCAAAAGCTTTTGGTGGAGAAGCAAGCTTCTATTGGTGTTGCAAAATAATGCAAATACCGTATACGGACAACATCGAAGAGTTTCACCATTTTTCACTATCATTTGAGGCATCCTCTTGACGATTTTTCCAAGCAATACCAAAAATGAAACGATGATTATGCAAGAAAATACGTTTTCGAGAACACATAGTAGATATTGTACGTTGGTCGTTGGAAACCGATCATTTTTCGTACTCTTTCCATATAAATAATAATCTTATTTTCAAGTATATCAAACCAATCACAATAAAAACTAATGATTAATCATATCTATAGGCCCATACACTCATTCAGGAATATAATTGTGAACGAAATCAATGCATTCACATCAACGTCATTCCCCCCCGAACCTTTTACATTTAAGGATAATGTAATAAATTGAATCACTGCCATTCATATCTAATCATACTAGTGATGTCTGGTCGTGCGCGACCCTGACCCAATATATCTGTAGATTTTAGAAATATTTGTATCTAGAAAAAAAACTATTTTGTATTTGGGCCAATATATTTTAGAAATTTTTGAAGAATTTAGAAATGTTTTATAAGTGTGATCATAGAAATGTTTGTATTTGGCATAAAAAGAAATTGTATTTGGCCCGATATGTTTTAGAAATGTTTGAAGATTTTAAAAATGTTTTATAAGTGTTACTTTTTAAATATAAATAAACTTGATCAAATATATGTCTTGAAGTAAATGCAAGACAAAATATAAAAGCATCCTCATAAGTTTAAATATTAGTAAAATAATTTATTGATGTTCTCCATTGGTTGTGCCAAATCAATACTTAGTTTTGGAGATTTATAATAACTTTGTAGTAAGCTTCCTCCAAAGGGTATACGCTTAATTGTTAAAACTATTTCTTCCAAAAGTTTATAGGTAGTAAAATATCAAAAATATGATTTTGAAACTGGTTAATTGTTGAAACTGGTTGATCAGAAATATGAGAATGAAAATAATGTAAATTTACATAGGTTTCAAGTTACAGCAAAAAAGAACTCACCTCACCATGACAAATTAAAAAAAAAAAAAGAGTAAAAGATAGCCCATTAAAAATTGAAATTTTTTTTTTTCTGTAGGTAAAAATGATGTATAAAAACAAAAATAAACGTAGAAAAATCATTCCTTCCCTCTCCACTTCAAATTCATAAAAAGCTTCCCCATAAATTAGTTAGAAGAAGCGACCTGAACTATTTATATGATGAGGAACTAAAAAAAGTCCAAAAACCAAATCCAAAAAAGTATATTCTTGAAAGACCGAACACAAAAAAGTGCTTCATTTGTAAATAAAATAAAATAATAATAATAATAATTGGTCAACTGGAAGTATGAAACAAAATCAAAAGCAATTAAACAAAGAAAAAAACACACTTCATAACTGACCATATACGAAAAAAAACCTAAGACTCCATAATTAAAAAAAGAAAACCAGTCTATTGAAGGAAACATAAAAAAGAAATTTAAAAAATCACACTTCGTAACAAAAACCCAATTAATCAATTCAATACAAACAATACAAAAATTTTAGGCTAACTAACCATATAAGAAATCACATCATATTACCTAACAGCGGCTATGGTAGCTGTAACGGATGAACGCATAAAAATAATAGTAATAACACTATTCTTGAACGAGAAAAACAAAAAATAATAAAAGCCAAACAAATGATCTGCTGAAATAAAATCATTTAAATTTTAATACCTGTAATGGCACCACCATAATGGCCGAAGCAAGATCAATGAGAAATTTTTTTTTCCTTTGTTTTTATAGTGATGTAAAGAGAATATTTTTTGAACTCGAAATTTTATCAGATTAGGATGTAGTTGATCATCACCAATGAAAAAATTTAACATGCTAATAGGAAAGGAGTATATTTCACCACATATTCTCAATTGATGATTGATGAGAAATTTGTTTTTTTTTTTTTTTATTGTGGAGAAGGGATTGATTAGGGAGTCGATTGTCGTGGAGATGAGGATGAGGATTTGGGTTTTTTTATGAACACGTGGGTATTTTTTTTGGCGAAAATAGGAGGTGAAGGTGGATTTGGACTGTATTTGCCTTTTAAGTCTAGGAGATGTGTAAATAAAAATTTATTTTAAAAATATGATGTGAAAATGCCACATGGCAAATGGTGGTGCTTTCTCTAAAGTGTGGTTTTTGTTTCTGATATAGTAAGACTAGATGTTAAACCCGCACGATGTGCGGGGTTTATACATATACATCTATTAAAATATATTTTTAAATTTTAAATGTGATTAATACAAATAAAGTAACTGGTTTGTAATAATAAATATATGATTAAAATTAAATTAGATCGTGATAAATAAAATTGTTATATATACTTTGAAATGACAACATTTTATAAATTGTATACCAAAAATGTAATTAAATAATGGAATATGTATAAGGATTATATACAAATAAAAGTAAAAAAGACCACTAAAATAATAAATCAGATGTTACATGTCATATAAATCAAAGCAATTTATGTTTACACGGTTAAAAAAGCATGTTAATCAAGATTGCACACAATTGGAGAAAGAGACACCTTACATGTTAAATAAAATATGATCGGAGTGAAGTCGTCGCTGCAAAGATGTTTTGTAAAGTATATAAGATGCTTCGCTTCAGTATTTCACCGGTTGTTATTGTACATGTTAGAGTTAGACCGAAGTGGATATTTCTAGTGTGTCTAAATGAGATATCATAACCAGTAACTAAAGTAAAATTCATAACTATGGAATAAAAATGATAACGCCACGTTGATTAAGGGATAAGATTGGTGGGGAAATGACTTCCATTGCATTAATGTTGATTAGTCTTTTTCAATTAAATTTGATTAGTTTTTAATCACTAAAGAATTCTCAATTTCCCGCACGTTGAACTTAGGTTTATAAATCCTTTCTTCTGAGGGAAAAAAATATTGGAGTACTCTTAATCTGAAACGATAATTTAGGATTGATTCTATCTGAATTGTAGGAAGTATGAATTCGAAATTCAATTAAGGAAAGAAAAATATTAACACTACTATTTTAGCAGATGGAATCCTCTGTAAGAGATTTCCCTGTAAGGCCTCTTATACAACAACGTTTCATTTAGTTGTTGGCTTTGTATGTTTTTTTAACTCAACTAAATATTTTATTTCTGGTAATTTTTCAATTTACCGGCTTGAGCCAAGCTAATTAATGTTCTCATCACCATAAAAAACTAATCGCCGTTGACTCCGCCGGAATAAATAATGAAGAGCAGTACTCCCCGGCCATCGTCGTTCTTCTCCCTCTGCTTCAATTATTTTTTTACTTGTCCATAGTCATAAAACAAAAGAATTTCAGGTTTGCAAAATTCTATAGACTTCATCGAGAGATTGTAAATTGGAGTTCTTATTTATTGTTTTTAGGCGAATTTTTCAAGAATTGAAAGCTCTAATTTGCTCAATGGAGGTGAAACCATCATATCTGAACGACTGATAAAGCATCACTAGTCACTCCAATGAAAAGAAAGAAAGTTAAAGTATGAATCACGTACCAGTCCATTCTCCGGTTAGGTTTGGCTTTTAGTGTAACTTGAGAAATTCTTTCTGATTAGATATACTTACTTATTTAGTTAACAAATAGAAAAATTCAGAATAACAATAGGAGATAGAAAAATCAGAACAACAGTGGGAGAGTACTGATATCGATTTTGGTATTCAAAAAAGTAATTGAAGATCAGGCATCGCCGGCCAAGTTCATCACTAGAGAACAATATTCGTCAAAGTTTGAATGATGACAAGGATCATTTTTCTTTGGAGTTTACTTCGATTCAGCTCAACCCACAGAAGTCAAAGAGAAAAAATAAAAAAATAAAAAAAGTAAATATATAAGGGGTCTAAATTAATGAAACGTTGTCGTATGAGAGACTTTATAGGGACTTACAGGAAAATCTCTTACAGAGGATCCCATCTGCCTACAATAATATATAAGGGCCTATGCATCAAGGGTGCTATAGTAGTATAATGTTCAAGATATAGAGGTACGGAGAACCAAAAAAAAGGTAAGTATATTCAGAATCCCTTTGTAATTAATTAGGGGGCATATTTTGGATATGGAAAAGATATAATTGACCAAAAACAAATTATGATATAAAGATATATATAAAAAGATGGTGTATGCATTCCAAGAGAGAATTCTTGAAGCAAATTCAATTTTTTTTTTTTTTTCACTTTTAGTCTTAGAAGAGAAATCAAGAAGAAAGGGGGGAAAAAAATGTCTTCAACCTCTACTCGTATGATTTTGGTCTTGTGCTGGATCTGCCTTTACTGCAACTGTGATGCTGTTACTACTGGACTGCCTCCAAGAGTGTTTAATGTCATCAATTATGGTGCTAGACCTGATGGCTTCTCCGATAACAGTCGGGTCAGTTTCTAATTAGCATCAACATTATTTATTTATTTATTATTTTATTTCTTTGGATGATGTAGAGCAAATTTTCTTGGATTAGTCGCGCAAATAGTTATCAAACCTTTTTCTTAATATTTAAATTTTTGGAGTTTAGATTTGATAAGCGTTGGATGGTTTGGTGGAATTGTTAAGGTTTCAAGCGATCCAAATTATTTTTTTCTTTTTTTTTTTTTGTAAAACAAGGGTTTTACTTTTTGATTAAGGAGAGAATCGACGAATTAGTCCCGACGTATGGGACAACAGTATAATGGCATCCCAATCTATTCCATTTTTTTTTTTTTTTGGGTAAAACAAGGGTTCTATTTAGTCAATTTAGTTAACTTATTGGTTTTGACAAATTTTTAACGAAGTCATCTCTTCTCCCGTCAAATAATTATTTTTTTAAAAAAATCTGAAAAAGTGGAAAATACAAAAAAAAAAATAAAAATAATAATAATAATAATACTCATCGTTATTCCGTCTAAAAAGCCCCCACCACCATATTCTCCCAGCAAGTTCCGGCCAAACAAGAGCATACGATTAGCCAACCATTTTTCCTTTTGATAAGTTAGTTTTGGAATTTATTTTTTTCTTCTTTTTGAGAAGATTAAACTGTTGAATTCCAATCTCGTAGATTATTAGCTTGAAAATATAGAAACCGTGAAATTATTTGCTGCGGCTAAATTGATTTGATTTTTTTTGCGTTAATAGCAATTAATTTTGTGATTTTGTGGGAATACTTCCTTTCATCTGCTTATTGTTCTTTTTTGAGCTTTTTGATGAGTTTAAAGAATATTTTAGGCACAAGGACACAGTAAACCCCAAGCCATATTCCTTGAAATAAAATCGTCGGCTAAAAGTTAATGAAACCATAATCATCAATTCTTTGTTTTGAACTATCGAAATATCAAAAAAGGGGAAAGGTTTACCCGATTGACCTAATGGTTTCATAATCATTAATAGTAGTATAATTTGGTGTTTTTTTTTAATGCTCGAAATCTTGAAATATTTTTCATATGCGAGCTATATTTTATTTTTTTAGTATGTTTTATAGTATATCATTAAGGGTGTGATTTGATTATTTTTTGATTTTTTTGGTCCGTAAAGGAGTTTTTGAGAGCTTGGAAAGATGGCTGTGAATATGAAGGGAGGAGTAGAATTCTAATTCCAAAAGGGACGTACGAATTGAATTCGGTGACTTTTGCCGGTCCATGCAAAGGGGCAATGTCATTTCTGATCAAAGGAACTCTTTTGGCCCCTACAAATCCTGCCTTGTTTGTCAATTACGACACTTGGATTGGGTTTAAATACCTTGATAATTTGACTGTGAAAGGAGGTGGACTCTTGGATGGAAGAGGGAAATCCGCTTGGAAATATAACAATTGTGCCATCAAAAGCGATTGCGACCGTCTCCCTACTGTGAGTAAAAACTTTTTACATCTTTTCGCCCTATTTTTTTTTTTATTTTTCTATATTCGTTTTTGGTTTGATTTCTGTACAATATATACAATGGTAGTTTGGTAATTGATTCCACGGTAATTTTTTCTCATTGTTCATCAAAGATAAAAATGTAATTAATGCTTTCAAAATAAATTATGTGTACATTTTTTATTTTTTTAAAAAAGAAAAGAATATATAGAGTTAAATAAATGCATCTATAGGGGATATATACATAGGAAATATATTGGTTTCCATATTGTAGCTAATATTCGTCCACAAAAAAATCTGGTTTTAGAGTATATATGAGTGTGAATTGATAAAGGAAACGTATAATTTGTCCTGATCAGAAATCAGACCAAGATTAAAATAAAAAGTTTAAAATAATCACTTACCAGCAAAAAATAGTATATATTGAGAGTAAATTATGATTATATTTTACGTTTGTCAAAACCAAATCAAGATGAGGTTAAGGAAATATTTACTTATTTTCTTCCATCTTTGTTTTTTAAACTTCAAAAAGCGTTTTTTTTTTCCCATCTTAAACCCATTTTTCCCGTCTCATTGCTCGGTATGGTTTCCTTCCTAGATTAAGGTGCTTCCAGAATCATAAAAGTTAAATGTGTTCGTGGTGGTTCCCCTTATAATGTTATGACACGGAGAAGTGGAACAAATTTCGTGTGTTATTAAGAAAAACCAAGCTTATTGACTTATTATTGATGTTGAGTAGTTACGATTGTAATATCATTTGTCATCATATTTTAGAAATACAAAAACAACGTATCATCATGTATATATATATATATATATATATATATATATATATAGGGTTTAAGGTAGATAATAATGGTTTTATATGGTGTTATTATTGATTTGAGTAGTTACGATTGTAATGTCATCAGTAGTCATATTTTAGAAATAAAACAACAAGGTATCATCATACACAAACACAAACGGAAAAAAGATGATTGCCTCATAAATATAGGGTTTAAGGTAGATAATAATGGTTTTATATACAGTGATAGAAACTTCAAAATGTGAGCAAATTATTATTATTATTATTATTATTATTATTATTTGGTTACATGTAAACTATTTTAAATGTACTAAAAAGTGCCAATGACATGTTTTTTTTTAATTATTATTATTATTTATTCTCCTTAAATTTGATTCTGTTTGACTGAAAATTTCATATTGAAATAGCAGTCAGACTGACAAAGCTACATTCAGTATATATAATAACGTACCACAATGTTCATTCTCCATTCTGTTTTCCATCTTCATCAGACATTGAGGTTGGACTTCGTACACAACTCAAGTATCAAATACCTAAGATCAGTTAACAGTAAGATTGAGCATATCATCGTGTTTGGATCATCCAACCTAAACATCAGTTTCCTAAAGTTAACTACTCCAAACGAGGGACATAACACCGACGGCATTAAAATCGCCCGCTCCAAAAACATTAGGGTCTCAAGATCGATGATCCAAACAGGAGACGACTGCATTGCATTGCTTTCCGGCAGCGAAGACATCGATATTAGTGAAGTTGTTTGTGGGCCCGGCCACGGGATAAGTATTGGTAGCATCGGGAGAGGACACTGGAAAGACCCCGTAAGGGGGGTCCACGTCGCAAATTGTACCTTTTTAGGTACACAGAATGGCGCCAGGATCAAAACTTGGTCCCCTTCCGATTACGTCTTGGTTTCGGACGTAAGTTTTGAAGATATCGAAATGGAGAGCGTTAACAATCCCATCTTCATTGATCAAGACTATTGCCCTTTCTGCGAGAACCGCAAGGTATGATCCGCCTTCAAGAAATGATCGTCTAATTTATATTTCTATTTTTAGTCTAAATTTTACTATAAATGAAAGTGCATATAAAGTAACTATTATGCGGCGGATGGAGTATCCTCCACTCTTATGTTCTTTCGTGTTTTTTTTTTCCCTTCAGAACAAAATTGAGAATATGCTGGTATGTTATTGTTGTTTTATTTTTATTTTTTTTAATGCAGATTGGATCATCACAATCACGAGTTCAAATTAGACATGTAACATTCAGAAACATATGGGGGACATCAAGTTCGAAAATCGCGGTAAATTTACACTGCAGCAATGTGAAGCCATGCCAAAATGTAAAGCTTGTGGACATAGACTTATCTTATGAAGGCCCCATTGGAGGACCTCCATTAGCCTCCTGTTTCAATGTCTACGGTGTTGCTTATGGAAAACAAGTTCCTTCTGGCTGCGTCATCTAAAGTAATCATCATCATCACATTAATTTTTAGCTTTTCTTTTTTTTTTTTTGGTTTTTCAATTGATACTAGTTCAATATAGATAGGTTCAGGGTTTTGACCTAGCTAGACTAATTTATTGTTGGTATTTATCATCATCAAAATCACCCCACAGCTAGAATGTTTCAGCAACAATATTCATTATGATACTTTATGCATCTAGACTAATTGGTCATACAAATTCAATTAGCTGATGTTCTTTACAAAATTATTTTAGTTCAGCTAGCTAGTTATTCTTCTTTCCTTTTTTATAAATCTATATTCTCCCTTCATTGTATAATTCTAAGGAGAAGTGCTATAGCTTCATTGTATGATATTTCAGAAAAATAATTTATATTGTAATCTATAATTTTTTTACTATTTTTAATACAAATAACACATTGCTATGTGTATTTTTTTTTTTTTTTTGGAAGCAGAGAGTACTCCACAATCTCAATACTTACGACGTTTTGACTAATTACGTGTTAATGACACTTGTTTTTTCAAATTTACCGCTTGCGATGAGTTTGTGGGAGAATAAAAGTTGTCCAAAACCAATGATCTGGTGTTTCAAAGTTGAGACTTGAGAGTTGACCCGTGTCATCAGATTAGAAAAAATTCAAGAATCTACAAATCGGTCCAAAACAATTATACAAATACCAAAAAAAAATTACTAAAATCTAAATTTCGAAGAACTAATAAAAACCAAAGATTTAAGGTGGAATGGAAGGAGATCATAAGGTTCTAATATCCTTATAAGAATGGAGCAACCTAAAATTGTTTAGTCAATTTTTCCAATCATCAAAGTGTTCATAATTCAACAAAACGAATTAATTATTATTGTCATCGGTAGACAATAAATACGTAAATACATGAAAAAAAACTAACAATCGTGCTTGAATCAAATAATTATTCGGAGATTTTTTACTTGTTATTCTTTGTTTTGTTAAGAACTCAATTTTTTGGGCACGAGAAAATCGTTCGGATAACCACCTAATCATCATCGTTGAATAACTATTGTATCAAATCTGCGTTGAACACCTTCCCTACTTGGTTAAATACTAGTACTATACATAACACTACAAATTTTTTAGATTCGATTTGCCTTAATTAACCTCTGTCCCACCACAGCTAACAATTGAGTACGTAATTCGATCGAAGAAGTACTTTATCATTCAAATATCCAGTGGTAGTGTCAAGGCCGAAACTGATACTAATTTCATCATGAATTTCTTAGAATTATAGATCTCTGTAGTGGAGCCAGTAATTAAAGAGGTCGAATTTGTAGAAATAGTTGCTTAGATCACCCCCATCCCATATGTTACATCACCATTTAGTCATTCACCAACGACTAAACTCTGACGGAGAATTTTGGTTTCGTGAACAAGAAAGATTGTAATTTTGTTATGAAATGAAATGAAAAAATATCGATCAAGTAACGTTCTATCACTTATAATATTTCATAGTTTTTGTGTCAAATAAATAAATAAAATAAAATCAAAAGAAAAGAAGAAAAATGATACGGAAGGCTTCTATCAGTCTTTTAGAGGTAAATAAATCCTAGATGTGGCACTCTTCATTGTAGAAAATACTTTGTTTGTTTAGTTTTTTTATGGTTTTTTTAAATTAATAAAATAATAACTGTTCTATTCCATTATATCTTTTTACATTTCTAATACACTTTTTTACATTCACAATAAAAAAAATACCTAAAAACACACACTAAAAAAACGAAACAAACAAAAGTTTTTCCTCAAGAGATGTTGCGACAATTGGGAAAAATGAAATGCAATTTGAAACGAACCAAAGAATTTTACCGTGCATCATTGACAGCAGGAGTACATTAATATAATTAAATATTATAAAAACCTACTTCAAGACATACATTATATTCCAGAGTAAATCCTCATATTCGTCACATATATTTGGCGCAATTAATATTTTCGTCCCGTACATTAATATTTGAAGTGATTGGTTACAAATATTTATGTCTTTAACTTTTTTGGTCCCATTTTGCTATTCTGGTAAGCTTGCCACTACAAGCAGGAGTATTTTTGTCTTTTTGTTAAATCTCAATTTATATTAGCTTAGAAATTTTTTAATTATTAAAATATGCAGTTTAAATTATTAAAATTAAAAATTAAAAATATTTTGAAAATTATTTGTCATTTATTTCACCCTTTGAACAAAGTTAATTTCTTCTACTATTTATATTTTACCCTATGGCCCACTGTAACTCTAACCATTGACGCTACAGTAAATAATTCAATATTCAAAATTCAAAAATAAACAATAAAAAATAAAAATAAATAATATTGGTTCAGTGGTAACAGTAGCCTTACTCCAAGAGGAAGTCATGAGTTCAATCCACCACTCCAATAAAAAGTGAAGGGTTGGCTCTCACCTTGCCTAGTGGCACTTCTAGGGGCTTGTTATGGCTAACCCACTAATGAACTCTCGATTTCGCACCCGAGCTTGTTACCCCAGGCATGTCTAGGGTGGTTTACCTCCCACTGTAGTTTGCAGGCTATTGCAGTGGGCGTGGGTTTACCCATCTCTGGTGGGGTTCCCGGTATTATAAAAAAAACAAAGAAATTCAATCCGCCTAAAAATATTTTAACCTGCCTAAAAATTTTAACCCACCTAAAACTTTGAACCTGCCTAAAAATATTTTTAACCCGCTTAAAAATTTTAACCCTCTTAAAAATATTTTAACCCACTTAAAAATTTTAACCCTCTTAAAAATATTTTAACCCACTTAAAAATTTTAACCCGCCTAAAACTTTGAACCTGCCTAAAAATATTTTTTAACCCACTTAAAAATTTTAACCCGTCTAAAAATATTTTAATCATCAAAAAATTTTAACCCGCCTAAAAATTTCAACCCGCCTAAAAATGGTTAAAAATATTTTTTATTTTTTAAATTTTAAATTATTTACTGTAGCGGTCAATGGCAAGAGTTACAGTGGGTCATAGGATAAAAGGTGAATAGTACAAGAAATTAACTTTGTTAAAAGGGTAATAAATGACAAATAATTTTCAAAATATTTTTTAATTTTTAATTTTTAATAATATTTTAATGATTTAAACTGAACATTTTAATAATTAAAAAAATTATAAGCTAATATAAATTGAGATTTAATGAAAAGACAAAAATATCCCTGTTTGTAGTAGAGTTCGAACGGAAAAGGTACTGGAATAGTGAAATGGGACCAAAAAAGTTATAGACATAAATGTCTGGAATAAATCCATTCAAATGTTAATGTACGGGACGAAAATGTTAATTGGGCTAAATGTATGGGACTTATATGAGGATTTACTCTTATATTCTAATAATTATATAATGTATTGTTCCAGTAATCTTAGTGGAGTAAGTATGCTCCAGAGAGGGAGAGTCATATATAAAAATCCTCAACCTAATGCATTCTCTCAATATCTTAATAATCTCAACATCATCTCAACATCAGCTTTCTTTGCTTTTCAACGAATTCCTAAAAATTCCTTAATATAACAAACAAACGACCATCATACGTTAATTTGCCTGGCCATTAATACTGTATGACTCAGGCGTGGGAATAAAGAATATTATACAAGCTATGCTTCTTTTAAAACATATCTGACATATATGTGCTTTTTTTTTAAGAAGAAAATTATTTAAATGACAAAGCCCATATATGATATGTAAGGTCCTATAGACTCAATTTTTGAATTATTTTTTCGATGCGGAGGAGACAATAAACGCTTATAATATTCTTTGATATTTAACGCATTTATTGTTTAAAATCATTGCTATGTAAATAATTAATCAACACATTTTGTGGATGAATGACGCCAACCACACATATTAGTTTGATCACGGTTTAATCGCTATTAACACATTACATAATCTTTGAAAGCTTCCCTGACCATCAACTTATAATGCATGCGTCCAAACAATCACCATCAAATTCGACTTTCAGTAAACTTGATTTACTACGACAAGCAAACTTCTCTTTAGCAGCTCAATATGAATTTCGACCGGTTCAATCACATCTTTCAAGCATGGTCATTCCCCATTAGCAAACAATCTTATACTACTTTATTAATTTCAATAAATTGGACTATTAAAGTGGCTCACAAAAGTAATATAATATGGACTATTATATTTTTCCACAAAAAAAAAGAAAATAAATTTGTTTTGTTTTGTTTTTTTTGGTGGAGGTGAACAGTGACCTCGACAATTTTGCTAAAATGCGGTTGAATTAATCTACAAGGGAAGAATCAACTTAAATTGAAATCTTACAAAATCAAAACTACCATCAATACTCCGAAGAAAATACTTTGGTTTGCAATTGATAAGCTTTTGTAAACAGAAAAGGCATGCAAAGGTAAGTTGAAATGACACTACTGAGAGTGGTTGCCCCGAGCGTGAAACTCACCACCACAAGCTGCAACTGAATAGCCTCAAACGGAGAACCACCGGCCAAAAGGATTCCGGTCACGGCGCCCGGAATCACGACAACTCCCATGGTCTTGATGAAGTCGAGCCGGCGCGAAACCGCCAAAACCACCGATCTCCTCACTTGCGCCGCCGCGGCCTGGCGTCGAGTCGCCCCGAGCGCTAACGCCGTCTCCACCAAGTTCGTTTGCATCTTCATTTCCTCCCGGAGATTCTTCATGGTTACGCCGGTAACTCTCATGGAACCGGCGACCATCATCCCCATACACGGGATCATGTACCGAGGAGTAAATGGTAAAACTTTTATCAACACTAAGAACAACATCGTGGAAGAAGTTCCGGCCAAGATGGAGGCTCCCGCGATGTAAACACTGCGGGGAATGCCTCTCGCTCGTCTCCCGGACGTGTAACCGGCGACGGACACCATGATTGTGTAAGACAGTGCCATGATCAAGTAGTTGGAGGTAGTGCTGTTGGTGTGATTATTGAAGATGATGAACTGAAGAACAAACCCTAGAATCAATAGCTGGATGAACGACCTTATCACCGTCACAATGATTTCTGCTTCGATTCCCAGTTTCTGAAATGATGACAATCCGATTGGGATCAACAAGAAAGAGAATGATAACACTGGTTTGATCATGCTCTTGCCAAACTCCCAATATTTGAACTCCATACTTAACCACCTAAATTGAGGTGAAAGTTAATGATTACTGTCAACTAATTAACTAAACTAGTGATATATGGAATTGATTCAAAATGAATTCAAGATATGAAGCCATATGGATTTGGTTTTACAGCTTACGTCTGCAATGCACTAAGTGACATATGATATTACTATTACTATGTCATATGGTATGATATTACAATTACTCTGTCATATGCTATACGGACTATTTTATACTGACTCGATCCGTGTATGAAAAATTTATAGTCCACTTTGTTAAATTAAAATAATATTTACTATTTCAAAAAATAATCTACATTAAATTTTAATTTTTTTTCTTGAACAGAAATATTATAAAAAAGCAAACTATGAAAATGGGAGAGAGAGAGAGATCTAGAGAGTACATCTCGATTTTTGTTAATGTCTGAGTGAAATGTGTTGACGCAGCTGGGCTCAAATGCGGGTTAGTTTACGCTCTTTCGTCATGTTTGGCCTAGTATATCTTGTTGTTTATTGTATTTTACTATTTTATTCAAGTTTTCTTCAAATGTTTCAAAATTAAAGCACATTTACATTTTCAGTTATTCATTACGTGTGAGTTCGTAATTTTTTATTAGTGACGCAGAGTACTATATATAGTAGTACCCTAAATCATTTTATTTGGTACCAAAAAAAAAAAAACAGTCATGTCTTTAATTACATCATCAAATGAGTACATTAGGTGAGTAATTAAAGATATAGACCGACTGTCATATAATGGTCACAGTATGGAAAACTCTGCGCTTGTTTCTTTTTTTTTTTTTTGTTTTTTTGTTTTAGGAATCCAGTTTTTAACATTTTGTAGTACCATGGAGACTAGAGAGATACCTTAAAAAATTATAGTTTCGTTCTTAAGTTTAGATTAATTATCAAACTAAACAATGCAATATTTGCCTAGGAGCATGAGGAGTTACTATTTAGGGATACCGGTACTATGAGAAAGAGTAATTTGCTCAAATGATTTTTTACATTTGGTAAAAAATTTATTTCGATCCTTTACATTAACAATTTATTGGTTTGATCCTTTACATATGTAATTTACACTAATTTTAGTCATTTTTATTTTTTTTTGTTTTTGACCCTATACATTTGGGGCTTCTCATGTTGAATATTTTTTGGTCAAGTTAATAGGGGCATTTTTGGTAATTTTTAATTTTCAAATTTTAAAAATACTAAAAAACTAAAAATTAATTAAAATAATATTAAACATATTATTTGGTTTTATAATTAAAAAATTTTAAATTCAAAATTATTTATTCCCAAAATCTGAGTTATTATTTTTTTATCCTGTAGGCCCCACGCGTGATTTCTTTTTTAGCCTTAGTCTGTATCTTGAATATACCCCTTAGTTTGTAATTTTTTTTCTTCTTGAACATACCCATGTTGACGAAATAATATTAAACATATTATATTATATATTTCTTCTTGAATTTTTTTCTTCTTTACCCTTAGTCCAGTTTTTTCTTGAATATCGGATTGGGGGAGGGGGGGTTTGGGAATTAGGCTAGTTGTTGATCAGGGAGAGAAGAAAAAAGATTATAGACTAAGGGTAAAGAAGAAATAACGCGAGGAGCCCACAGGATAAAAAATAATAACTCAGATTTTGGGAAAAAATAATTTTGAATTTTGAATTTTGAATTTTAAATTTTTTAATAATTAATTATAAATTTAATATAATATATTTATTATTACTTTAACAAATTTTTGGATTTTTAGTATTTTTGGGATTAAAAGTTACCTAAAAATACCCTGGTTAACTTGACCAAGAAATGGTCAACCAGATAACCCCCAAATATAAAGGGTCAAAAAAAGTAAAAAAAAATTTAAAAAATTTAATTTGTGTAAAATACATATATAAAGGACCAAAACCAGTGAATTGTTAATGTAAAAGACCAAAATAAGTTTTTGCCAAATATAAAGGACGATTTGAGCAATTTACTCTATGTGAAATAAGTTTATCTCCTACCAATTTTTATTTTTATAAATAAAATAGGGACTAAAGGTGTAAATTAAATAATATGATCCTTAAAACTTAACTATATAATCATCAAAACTTATAGTATAATGCTTGAAACTTAACTGTATGATCATCAAAATCTCACTATATATATATAATAATCAAATTAATTTAACAAAATTTATCATAAATTAAATAAACAGAATGATCATTAGATATGAACTGAATGGTATATAAAATTCTCTAAGTCCCACCATTTTTTTTGGGGGTAGGGGGAGGGGGGAGGGGGATTTGGGTGGGGAATTGAAGGAACACAACAGTAGTAACCAAAACCATTTGGAGCTGGACCACATATATACATCTTCTGATCCAATCTTACCTTCAAGAATCTAATTAAAAGAAATGCAAGAATATAAAGATGGAAAAAATGACGAATCTACCCAAAGCTTTTCCCCCGACGTCAATCCTACCCAATTGATTTTTGCGAAGCCTATAATATCCGTTTGTTTCGATTTTTCACCAATTTCATCCAATTGACCAATTTTCCGTCTAAGATAACGATTTTTCGACTTTTCCATCAACTCCTCAATTTTCTATTAATAAAAATTTTCCCTGGGCCCCTTCATTCTAATTTAGGCCCAAATTACACCTGATCATCACTAATTATGTTGGGTCCATTTTGGAGAGAAATTTCACACCAAAACATTTGTGGGTCCCACCTCAGCCCAATTTTTTTTTCTTTTAACCGTTTATAATAAAAAAAATGGAGAAATAAGAGTCACACTTTTTTTTTGAAAATGAGGGAAGTAAAAAAGAGTAAACACTTGGATAAATGAATTGACAAGGCAAGTAAAACCATTTTTCTGGAAAATCCTTTCTATTCTAGAATATCCCAAAACACAAAATCGAAAAGTCACTTTAGTTTCAGAGCAAAAATGTTGTCGTCGTTCTGAAAGCATTCCGGTAGTGTCGATGCTGGACCCACGGCCACAAGAGAAGAACGATGAGCCCCCACCTGACTATGGTGAGTATTCTTCGAAAAGATTCAAACTTTTAAAATGTCGATTTGCAAAAGTTATTGTTTTTCTTTCTTGGTTTGTTTGCTGCTGGGAAAAGGGCAATCGAGAAAGAATGTTCCTTTATTATGATACATGTGGGCTTCATTTCTGAATGTAGTTCTTCTAAAAAAATTGTTATAATTATTTGTTAATCTATTCTTTAGGGCTTACCTCGAATCTGATTATTGTAGTCCCCAAATTTTGCTATTATGCATGTGGTTTGTATTCAATTTTCTGTCCTTCAAATGCGATTAAACTAGTTTATGTACATATTTTGTTTTCTGGTATTCTTAAGGGTTTTTGATGGGTTTAGAGACCTAAACCTTACCTTACTGCAGATTCTGATTCGCCCATGGGAAGCGTTCAGATTCATTATGGTGGTGAAATGATCTATACACCATACCCTATTTACTCTGGAGGAGAATATAGATTTTTTTGATAATGTTGATTTGGAAAAACCTAGATGTTTATGATTGGGTATAATGGAAAATAGGATAGGGTTAGGGGAGAAAGTAAAGTTCTGTTATGTAACTGAAGAAATAGAGGTGGAATTCATATCGGATGATTGGGATTTAGCGCCAGCTCATGGGCATGCATTGGCAGAGGATAGATGGTTGGAGCTGTATACTTTAGAAGTTGAAGTTGAAGGGAAAGATGGTGAAGCTACAGGGAAAGCTGGTGCCAAGGCCAATGAAGGTGACGACTTCGACAATGATGCTAATGTGAGTCAGACTGAAGACGTAAACAATGGTGGTCCTGAGGGCGATGATGGGTCAGATTTGGATAATGATGCTGATATAAGTGATGATGATGAGAGTGATGATGATAACAAGGAATGGAGTGATAAGGATTTTGAATATGATTCAGAATTTGATGATCAAGATTATGAAGAGAATGTAGATGAGAGTGAAGCAACATGGGGTATTGAAGATGGTAATAGTGAAGCTGCTGCAACTGTGGCACAGGGTATGGGCAAGAAGAAACTTGCAGGAGGTAGTAGCAGAAATCAGCAAAAGGGTTCAAGTAAGATTCCTGAAATCGGTAAATCAATGGGAGAGTTCACACATACAGGTGCTGTGGATGTCGATGAAAGTGAAGATGAACGTATTGGTGGTAGACTAAGGGATTTGAATGTCACCGTACCAGATTCTGATGATGACTTTGAACCACTCCATGAATCAGATGAAGAAGGTGAGGAACCTTTAGAACAATTTAATCTAGAGAAAGACATATGGGACCCACCTTTGAAGTGTGGACTTGCCAATAGCTTGGAAGAGTCAGCACATGTTATTAGGACATGAAATATTATAAGGGGCTTTTAGTGGAAGTTTCTGAAAATTGAGAAAGGAAGGGTTAGTGCAAAATGTGTAGATCCTAAATGTCATTGGAAGATTAATGTTGGAAAATGTTTAGATGGGACTATTAGGGTTACCAGGTTTGCTCCGAAACACATTTGTTCTTCGGTGAAGTACAACCCTTGTTTGGCAAGCAGTTGGATTGCACTAAGGGTAGCAGAGCTTATTAAGGAACAACCCACTATAAAACCTCGGGATTTCAAGAAAACTGTGAAGGAACGGTACAACATCGACACACCAAAAGTTAGCCACTGAATGCTCCCCAACCCCTTCTTCAACTTCTCATGTGGAGGTTAACTGTCCAGATGATGGCAAGTATGCAGTTGACCTGAATGTAAGAGAATGTAGTTGTCGAAAGTGACATCTCACAGGCATTCTATGTATACATGGAATTTCTGCCATATGGTCAATAAAAAAACCCTATTTTTTATGTTGATGAATACTATCCTGTTGAACCATATAAAAAGTGTTATGAACCTTTCATATATCCATTGAGAGGGGAGATAGATTGGGAATGGGACAATGTGGTAGATCCTCCTATTAGACAAAAGGTTGAAGGCAGACCTACTACTAAGAGGAGAAGATATACTGCTGAAATATTAGTCAATCAGGAAAGTAAAGAGTACAGACTATCTAAGAAGGGTCAAAGAAATCACTGCAGCAAGTGTGACAGACGGGGTCACAATGCAAGGTCATGCAAAGATCCACCTCGAAATGATTTAGGCCAAACTTTTGAATTGTCAACTGAAGTTCATGATTTAGGTCAAACTCCATGAAATTGTCGACAGGAGAACTTCTGGAAATATAAAATAACTAATATTGTGCATGTTGGTGATGGGTTGTGCAATACAGAGGTGCATTATGATGCTGATTTAAGTTCACAAACTCCAAATCTAGATAGTATTGCAGATCTTGATGTTGAGCTCTGGCAGGACACTGTTGAGGTAATTTTTTGTTTTAAGCTCATTCAATTATCCATTACTTTATACTTTACATAGTCATACTAACATCATGATGTTTTCAGGTGGAAATTAACAAGCATGCAGCTCCTGAATCAGCTGATAATGTAATGCATGACTTTCAGCACTTAAAAGCACAGGTATAATGGGATAAGTTTCATTTAATGAACATTTAGTTTATTGAAAACCTTGGAAATCACAGCAGTACTAAATGTAACAGGTGGGAAAACAGAAACTGGATCATGATGTTGCGGTGTTACAATATGCTGATGAACCAATCAGACCAATGACACATGGGATCTAATCCACCAAAGAGATCTGATAAGGCTACAAGAGGTGAAGTCCTTGTAATTATAATTCCGGGGAAACCAGCTAGAAGAAATGTTGTTCATACAAATCCTACACAAAAAAAGAAAAGAGAAAAGTCAAGGTTTGCGTAATTTTTTTTTTCTGTTTTCTGGTAAATATACCACTTGTATTACTTGATTTCAGAACAATTTGAATAAGATAGTCTAAATATTGATAGGCTGCTAGCTCATCCCAACCTAAGGGTTCGCAGATCTGGAAAAGGACCGACGCAGAGAAAATCAGGTTCACAAACTGCCTTCAAACTGGTTGATGAGAACATAGATGAAGATCCAACCACAAATAAAGTGCAAACTAAAAAGAGTTTTCGAGAAGCTTTTGGACTGCCCAATGCCCCTTGTCCAGTTCATAAACCACCAGAATGCAAGAACGACAAGGAGTTCGTTGCGAATGCAATAGCACAATTCGAGAAACTCCAAGCAAATGTTCATAAGTTATGGGGTGATATTCCATAGGTGAAAAGTTCTAAAGCTCTTTATGACTTGTACCAAGAACCTCAGCGTTTTGATGGAAAAGGTAGACGTTTTGATGGAAATGTCAGCACAAAGTTTGTTCAGAAGTAATTATTTGGTTGTATTCCTTTCTTAGTATTTAGGGCTGCAAGGTTGCGTTGAAGGCAGTGCTTTTGTTAGAACTTGGGTATTTTGTCGCACTACATGGATTGAACTACGTAATGTATTCATGTTTGCTTAAGAGCCAAGCTTATTTAATATATCAAACTGTTTTCGCCTTGCAATGAAATGCTCTTTTACAGTTTTGTTTATAATTGTGATTCATCTATGAAAAGAACCCATGATGCGAACGCAGGTTGGTATCGACAACTAAGTGGACATTTTTTTGTCTTGAAAGTTTAGCAATTTTAGCTTATTTTGTCATGCATGTTTCATAAAATTGGCCAATTTTGTCCAACAATTTTAAGGTTTTTGGCCAATTGTGTCTAGTAGTTTTAGAAATTTGGCCAATTTTGTCCAAACTAAAACCAATTTTTTTGTCGAATTCCCAAAATACAAAAGTAGAACAGAACAGAGTACAAAATGATTGAATAAGTTCTTTATATATTTGCACGAAAAAAATTTGCAAAACAAAACGCATTCCATTCTATTTCACCAGTCCAAAACGAAATCAGAACAGAGTACAAGTGCTTCATCTCTACATAATTAATTAAACCCTAAATCACACCACATAATTAACCAACAATCCTAACTGATTAAGCCATAACTGATTAATGATCTTGCTTTTACCTCATAACAAGATCAGAAAATAGCTTAATAAACTACACATGATATCAACCTGAATGCTAATATTGCTTAAGATACATATTATCTCCTCAAACCCACCACCACAATCACAGCAGCAAAACAAAGGCCCAAATTCGCACTTGACGCCTTTGCAATCTCTGATTCTCGGCCCCCAAGATGTTCACCCGGTTCCTATTGGCATTTATCCTCCTAAGCAGACCTTGAATGATGATACGTGCTCTCACCTCCATTTGGGGGTCTAGCCAAGAAAAATAGTTGCATACACCAGGATTCGGTCAATGAGGACAAGCCAAAAACCTTCTACCCAAGTTGTTTCCTCTCTAGCAAGTGCGCATAGCTGCAAGGCTTCCACAACTACACAATTGCACCATGGATGATTGTTGTTTTGTTCGGTTTCAAGGACGGTGAAAAATTTTTAAGAAAAGAGGAGAAGATGAACTAGGTTATTTATAAACGGTTAAAAGAAAAAAAATTGGGCCGAGGTGGGGCCCACAAATTTTTTGGTAGTAAATTTCCCTCCAAAATAGAACCAACATAATTAGTGATAATCAGGTGTAATTTGGGCCTAAATTGGAACGAAGGGGCCCAGAAAAAATTTTTATTAATAAAAAATGAGGAGTTGACGGAAAGGTCGAAAAACCGTTATCTTAGACGGAAAATTGGTCAATTTGATGAAATTGGCGAAAAATCGAAACAAACGGATAATATAACCTTCGCAAAATCAATTAGGTACGATTGACGTTAGGGGAAATTTTTGTGTAGGATCACCATTTTTTCCATATAAAGATTTCTTTTGATCTCATCGGCCTATTATTGTTCTTATTATTGTCATTTTTATTTGTGGCTCAGAACATACGGCAACCCAAACCAAAAAATCTGAGCTAGATTTTTTACGTCCACATGGCCAAACCACAGCTTCTGTGTACCCACAACAAAATCAGATAGAATCCAAAACGAAAGACCCTAGCCAATGAGATGCTGCTGATGTGTAGATTTCCTCATCCATAATAACAATCCATCCATTTCTCTTTTTTGCATATATATGTACATGCTTCTTCTCTTGTAAATATATCTCAAAAAAGCACAACAAAGTCGTACTAGAAAATATATCAAAATTAATTTGATCATATCAGTTCATAATTAATGGCAACTTCCGGTATCCAACAATCTGCATTTGCTGGCCAGATTGGTCTGAAGCCACAAAATGAGCTTGTCCGGAAGGTCGGAAACGTCGGCGGTGGCCGGTTCACCATGAGGCGTACCGTCAAAAGTGTTCCTCAAAGCATCTGGTAACTTATAACTTCTTGACAACTAGTTTATCAATTTGCTCCTATATTTTCTGAATTTCAGAAACATAGTTAATTTTTGTACAGTATAAGGACAATTTATATTAGCCTGGTTAGTATTTTTAGGTGGTCTTATATTAATGCTTGCGACATTCATTACAAGTACCTACAAACTAGTCTTTTAAGTTTCAACCATGTTTTTTATTTGGTTTGAATTTGCAGCCATTTAAAATTTAGCTACAAGCTGTAACCCTTAAATTTAATAGTTGATTAATCGGAAAGGTAACTACTACTATGAAGTACATGTAGATAATTTGCCTTTAAAAAAGAACGGAATCGTAGTAAACTCAACAAAATTAGTAACGATCGGTATACTGAATCTGGTAAAATGATATTTGATAGACGTGTAGTGCTTTGTGAGAAAACACAAACACTCTTTACATACAGATTTAACATATAATTATTATAGGATTGAGTATTATCAACTAGAGAATTGACTATTTTTGTTTCTTCCATCACATTTAGAATCGAAACATCGGTTGCAAGTGAATAATTTCACCATCTCTATATTACGGTATCCGGAATTCTTTGTGTATCTATTGGTCATCATCATTCTACTTGTACCATCATAGGTATGGGCCTGACAGACCCAAGTATTTGGGTCCATTCTCCGAACAAACTCCATCATACCTTACTGGTGAATTTCCCGGTGATTATGGATGGGACACTGCTGGGCTTTCAGCTGACCCAGAGACATTCGCTAAGAACCGGGAGCTCGAAGTGATCCACTCCCGTTGGGCCATGCTTGGTGCTTTGGGCTGTGTCTTCCCGGAAATCCTTTCAAAGAACGGAGTCAAATTCGGCGAGGCCGTCTGGTTCAAGGCCGGATCCCAAATCTTCTCCGAAGGTGGACTTGACTACCTTGGAAACCCAAACCTCATCCATGCCCAGAGCATCCTCGCTATCTGGGCCTCCCAAGTTGTCCTTATGGGCTTGATTGAAGGTTACAGAGTTGGAGGAGGCCCACTTGGAGAAGGATTAGACAAGGTGTACCCCGGTGGAGCATTTGACCCATTGGGTTTGGCTGATGATCCAGAGGCATTTGCTGAGTTGAAGGTGAAAGAGATCAAGAATGGGAGGTTGGCTATGTTCTCAATGTTTGGATTCTTTGTTCAAGCCATTGTCACTGGAAAAGGCCCAATTGAAAATCTGTTGGACCATTTGGCTGACCCAGTAGCTAACAATGCTTGGGCCTATGCCACCAACTTTGTACCTGGAAAATGAGCTGACTTTGTACCTTTGTGAATTGTGATAGTTGTGGACTGTGATGACTTGAGTGTGACGACATTGTTTCTCATTGAGGGAAATGTTGAATATATTGCACTAATTTAAATGTCCAAATTACAAGTTCCATTTACATTGTTATTTTGGTTCGTAATTTACGCTTTTAGAATATACTTTCATAAAACTAAACGGTTTAAACACATATTTTAAGTTCTGAGTACCAAAAATTTTGAAGAAAGGAAACGAGCATACCTATTTTTGAAATGACAAAACAATTTTTGACCAAGAAGTTGGTCAAGACTCAAAAATCAAGCCTTTCCATTTAACACCTGGAAATCACTTAACATTATTTTTTGAGAGAAGAACAAAGTTCTCGTGATTGTTACTTTTTTCGTCCTAAAATGATTATTTAATTTAAATTTTTTAATACTTAGATTTTTCTACTTTTTTTGGTGTATTCGGATAAAAAAGCGCTCTTAATTCAGTTCGGTAAAATATAATGCACTTCTAAGGAATTTACTTGGATACAGAGATCTCTATGCATGATGTCCCACTTAACAGTGGCAATTCTATTATTTTGTAAGATTATACAATAACATTCTCAAAAAAAAAAGAAAGAAAAAAAAAGGTATACAATAACTATGAGAATTGAAAGTAGCCGACTGCTCTTGGCCTTGATTAGCCAAATAAGTCAACGGTGCTCAGTTGGCAATATTTTATGTTATCCAGATACATGAATTATTGCAAAGATTTTTACCATTCTAAAGTCAATATTGGGGATCAGCTCAATTGGCAATTTTTATTTTTTTCCCTTTTATTTAGATAATGAATTATTGCAAAGATGTTGTTCAAGCGTAAGTGACACTTTACCACACTTCAATTAATCTACATTTCATGTAAATAAGAATGATTTGTTAACCTTTGTCCTCCGTCTTCGTGGCGGCTTCTGAAACTAGTTTTCTCTATTAAGTTCCTGTCTTTCTACCAATGTTTGAAGTACACTTGTGTTGTATTTATCTTTCAATACGGTAATAATGTTACTGTTATGTTTTCGAATTTTCTATCTAAATAATACGGGGTGTTTAAGTGCTTGTTTTGACGTCAACTTACATTTTATTTTGCCACTTAAAAGTGGAAAGTGTTTCAAATTGAAAATTAAATGGGACATAAAAATGTTGTTTGGATGTTGGTTTTGAAAGAAAGTATTTTGAACTACATTTTGAAATATCAAGTACAAGTCATCACTAAACAATTAAATATTGTCAATTATAGTCACTATAAAAAAGAACTTTTCCAAAGACAATCACTCAACAACGGAATCCTGCCAAATTTGTCACTGAACTATTTATAGTTCTAAAATAGTCATTACACTAACAAAAAGTGTTTCAAGTTAGAATTTAAAATGTAAATCAGACCGTTGTTTGGATGATGTTTTCTTTTCCATTGGGTTTTGTGTTTTAGAGGTCAAATGAAATAAAATGCAAAATGGAAAGTTGCCAAACAAAAGTTTTAAAGAAAAGGAAAAAATGAAATAAGATTCTTCCCACTTGACATTTTCAGTTGTCCGCTGTGTGCAATTTTTATTTGTTTTTTTATTTTTATTTTTTTTTGTTTTCATTTCAGTGTACACTTCATGAGATCGTCAATTAATTAACAGCAGAACGCCAGCAACGAAATCATAGATTCCGATTTCAAATTGACACAACATACACATGTACATGAGTTGACTCTGATAAAGCAACCAATGATTTGGAACTTCCGTTGAAAATTTTTGCATTGAATTAGCTAGCTCCCAATGAGGAACATTTTCCAAAGCAGATCCAATCTCGTTGTGACATTTTCATAGGAAACAGGGAAAGAAAATGGTGGCAAAACTATCTAATTCCAGGTCCATGTTTCTAATGCTAGTAATTTTTTCAATGATTTCCCCTCAATTCCATCTTGTGTCATCAGATAATCATCATTCGAGTTCTTCCATTCTTGAAAAATTCATCCACTGCCTTTCACATGAACTCCAACCAAACAACTCTGTTCTGGAATCCCTGTTACATTTTCCAAGCAATAATAGCTCATCATATGAATCAATTTGGGAATCCAGGATTGAAAATATCAGGTTCTTGAAAACTTCTAGTTTTGACCGGAAGAAGCCTCTAGCCATAATCACACCAGAAAGCTATTCTCAAATCCAAAACATTGTTAGATGTTGCAGACAGAGTGGTTTAAGAATCAGAAGCCGCAGCGGCGGCCATGATTACGAAGGATCATCGTATGTTTCGTCATTCTCCAACAATTCTCCTCCTTTTGTGATGGTTGATTTGAGGAAAAATCTCAGGTCCATCAGGGTTGACTTGGAAGAACACAGCGCTTGGGTCGAATCGGGTGCGACGATCGGGGAATTGTACTACGCCATTGCAGAGAAAAGCCCTGTTTTGGGCTTCCCGGCAGGGCTTTTTGCCACTGTTGGCGTCGGTGGACATTTTGGCGGTGGCGGAGTTGGAAACCTGATAAGGAAATACGGCCTTGCTGCTGATAATGTCGTTGACGCGATGATCGTCGATGCTAACGGCCGGATTCTAGATAAGAATTCGATGGGGGATGATCTGTTTTGGGCTATCAGAGGAGGTGGAGGAGCAAGTTTTGGAGTCATCCTGGCATGGAAAATCAGGCTGGTGGAAGTTCCGCCAATTGTCACTGTTTTTGAAGTTTCCAGGAGTTTGGAACAAGGAGCCATTGATCTAATCCACAAATGGCAAGAAGTTGCACACAAAGCCCACGAAGATTTGCTCCTCAGTGTAGTATTATCATCATCAGGAGGGTCAACTGTTGCTCAAACAACAGCAACATTTAGGTCACTATTCCTTGGAAGAGCTGATGATCTTGTAAAGATGATGGAAGAAATCTTCCCCGAAATCGGGTTGAGGAAACAAGATTGCGAGGAGATGAGTTGGATTGAGTCAATTCTGCGCTTTTCGTCGTTTCCAAAAGGGGTAACCATAGATGCTCTGAAGGATGGAGTTCCCCCTTTGCCCCCACTATACTTCAAGGGAAAGGTAGATTTGGTATACAAACCTATACCTTGTGAAGCCTTGGAAGAATTGTGGAAAAGATGTTCATCATCAGGTACTACTACTACTGTTACTCCCCCTATCATGCACTTTGAGTTACATCCATATGGAGGAAAGATGGATGAGATATCGAAATCGGAAACTCCATTTCCACACAGGAAAGGTGTTCTGTATGAGATATTGTACATTGTCGCGTGGTTGGATCAAGGTGAAAATAACGCAAACGGCGAATCATACATGAATTGGTTGAGGAGGTTGTATGAGTTCATGGCTCCGTTTGTGTCAACAGAGCCAAGAGGTGCAATTGTAAATGTCAGGGATTTCGATTTGGGCATTAATGTTGAGGATTATGATGATAATGATCATCATATTTCTACATATTCCAAAGCTTATAAGACATGGGGATCAAGGTATTTTGGGAAGAATTTCAGGAGACTGGCAATAGTTAAAGGTGAAGTTGACCCTGAGAATTTCTTCTTTTTTGAGCAAAGTATACCCCCTCTCTGATTTTTTCATCCACTAAAGTACAGAAATGGAACCAAGAATTCTCTGCAGGATGCTGTATGTTATCGATGATTCCGAATTGATAAATTAAGAATCTTTAAGATCTCAATCTTTATCTTCAAGAAGCTATATACTAACAGCTAGAAAGCTATTCGGTTTATTTATCCATGTCTTTCTCATGCAAATAATTAATTTCATGTAGATAACGAACTTATGAAATGGGTATTAATTGTCGAAGAAATATGGTCCGATTAATCGTTGAATAGCATAACTGAGGGGCTTTTGGGGACATATAAATTGTGCTCCAATCATGACAATTCATATCAATTTTAGGTACTTTTGTCAACACAAAATGATTATCGACCAAAAAAAAATTCAAACACAAGAATTATTTCAAAACGAAGCGAATATTATTTTGACTTTTAATTCGAGCATTTTTTTCCCCCTTGGTTTGTCCTAACAAAGCTAGTTGCATACCTGCAAATCTTGATTGGACACTCTATCTTCAACCTGAGTTTGATTTCTCGCAAATTCGCATGGCAAAAACCATCATTTTGTGCAAATAAAGATCCTATGAAGTACAAAAAAAGAAACATTGGAAATATTTGTCTGTCGTGTTGTTTTCCGTGTTTTGACTCAATTTTCGATGCAATCCTTTGACAGTCTCAAGACAGTTACTAAGATTTCTAATGCATTGGAAATTAAGTCAAAATACCAAAAGAAAACAAACACCACAACACAATTACGAAACCCTAGATAACACAGATGACACTTGATATCATAAGCCAAACTGAAACGAATCCAGCCATCCCCATGTTGAGCCATTTCTTTCCATGATTTCTAGAACTTGAACTTGGATTGGTACTTGAATATGCAGAACTATCTGTGACTGACGAAAAGGTACAGGAAAATGGACATCGTCCATCAACTTAGAAACACAAGAAATAATCCTTAAAAGAAATTAATGATCTTGACCTTACCATTTGTTGTAGCATTCCTGCTGGAATTTCCGAGGATATTGTCATATGATTGCTTGAAGATCTGTGCTTCTGGTGACTGAGGATCCATTTGCAGAAAATCTGCAAAGCAAAGCAAAATGAAGATTATTCATGATACCGGAAAAAATTACCAGGAACTACCGGAAGTAGAGATGATATTTACCAATACATTGTGTGACATTAGCCTGAATATGACAAATAAATGGAAGGGCTAATGCAAGTGTGGCATTCACTTTAAAACCGAAGCCCGGTTCATTTCTGTCTCTCACAGCCATACACAAACATCTCCTCTTCTCCTTATCATACTTCTCTGCAAGATGAATGCAACAAATTGGAGATGGAAACTTACTCTCCTCACTTAGAAAAGGAAGACATGAAGATAGGTCTATTATTTGGTCTTGGCATTCTTTCTTGTCCTCAGCCAAATCACTACCTCCTTTACTAGCAATCATCATCACAGAAACAAGTATCGCCATTATCCTAAAACAATCATTCATCCTTGCCATTAGTTAATAGAGGATTTCACGATTTCGACAATTTGCACTAGCATATATATAGATCTTTGCAGAGTAGGAGTTGGGGAAATCGCTATCGCCAAAACTTGTGAACGCATGGTTTTCGACATTTTTTTTTTTTTTTTTTGATGATGTGTTAACATTTGCTTCATCAACCAAGCTTAGAAGTTATGCCAGCTAGCTAGTTTTGAAGATCAATGTTTCTAGCTTCTTCATAATCAGACAGTGTTACACTGTTACTTGATGATCTTCAGGTAGGATTCGGCCCCTCCGACATTGAATTCAAGACAAATGATTGGATCACGATAACATTAGTAGTTGTATATGATCGTGCCGTGTCATGGCCCAAAAATTTGTCCAAAACATACTCTTAACCTACCTCAGTTTTATCTCCATTTGTTTTCTGAAGTGTGGGTTCTTAAGTTATTGTTTCTAGATTGACTTTGTAGTGCTCTTTTTTCCCTTTTTCTTTCTGATGAAGACACATGTAGACTATATCAGCGCACCTCTTCTTTGACTTCCAATGCTCTAAATCAGTAACTTTCTGCAAGCATGTTCAGAATTTACAATATACTACCATATGTTCTGCTTCTAAACATGCATAGCTAACAGATTTATACCTAAGAATTGAATACCGTGATTTCGAGCGAAATCTCTGTATCAATTACTTCAACAATAGTAAGATCATTTTTGCCATTTATGAGTGACAACAAATAGTTAACAACTTCTTCAGCCCCTTGTCGCCTTACTAAACATTTTCATTGTTCTTTTTGGAAGATGCTACTAAACTGGAATTGGCTTATTTGTTCATGTCTTCCATACCCAAATCCAGAAAATGTACATTTTATAAATTAATAATTCAAAGAGAAGCAAACTCCCCTTTTCTGCACATTCTACTTTCAGGATTAGAAAAAAAGTGGTGGGATGCTCTGCTCATGGAAGAAGAAATTGGTTGGATCAACTTTGCCTTTAACCATTGCCAGCTTCTCAAAATTACTCTTGAAGTACATTGAACCCCATGAAGCCTTAGCTTTAGAATAGGAGCTCCACAAGGATCATTACCATTTGTGCCGAAATCAAGATCATCTCCATTCACATAAGACCCTCTTGGATTGCTTTGAACATACGGCGTCATCAGCTCGTATAATCCTCGGACTTCATTCAAGTATTTCTCCGAATTTTTCCCTTCTCCATCATTGAACCAGGACTCAATGTACATGATTTCAAACAGAACACTTTTTCTATGTGGGAATGGGATTTTCGATTCCGATATACTTCCCATGATTCCGCCGAAAGGATGGAGTTGCAACCTTGGATACTCTGCCTCTGAACACCATTTCCAGAACTGTTGAACAGCTACATAAGGCAGAGGTTTCTGAACCAAGTCTATCTTGAGCTTAACATTAGCATCAAATGGGTTGTATGACCTGTTCTTGATAACTTCAGTGCTATGTTGATCTGGATATTCAGACAAAGTAAACCCAAATCATCTCTTTGCAGTCCTGTTTCCTCAATTCAAGCTCAGGGAAGCTTTCTTCCATGATTTTGAGTAGTTCCTCTGTTCTGCCAAGGAACAATGAGTTGAATGTTGCAGTGGGAGTACTCAGGGGACCAAATCTCTGTATTGCGACGGCAATGGTGAGATAATCTGGCAAATCAGATGCAATGCATTGCCATTTATGAACAAGATCAATGACTTTTTGTTCGAATGTCTTGGCTAATCTGAAAACTATGACTACCGGCGGGACGCTAACCAGCTTGATTTTCCAGGGAAGTATGACTCCAAAACTTGCTCCTCCACCGCCTCTAATAGCCCAGAAAAAATCACTTCCCATTGATTCTTTGTTTAGAATTTGACCCCGAAAATCGACCACAATCGTGTCGACAACATTATCAGCAGATAGCCCATATTTCCTGTTAAGATAGCCATTTCCACCACCACTGAAATGCCTGCCAACGCCGACAACTGGAGTCGTTCCGGCTGGAAATCCACGAACAGGGCTTTCCTGAGCAATGGCATAGTACAATTCACCAATGGTTGCGCCAGATTCAACCCAGGTAGTGTCATTTTCAATGTCAATGACGAGTCCATATCCAACCCCGGTGTTGAACCGGCCCAAGAACCGTGTGATGGGCCTGTGATGTGCTCATAATTTACCTATTTTTAATATCCCTTTATGTGAAATTTTGCCAATATTTTGAGTACAAATGTGCTATTTATGTGATTTTATCTTTAATTGTAAGAATTGTACACAAAAGAAAGAATTGTTGAAATTGTGGGCTAAAATAAAGATAAAAGTAACTTAAAGGGGAGAATTGAAGATTTGATTAATTAACAAGGAAGAAATTAGAACACTTGAAGATTTTGAGGACTGAATTGTAATTTTTAATTTTTCTTATGATTTGGCCGAGAGCTTAAGGTTGTGCAGCTTTTGGGGTTAAATTTGTTAAGAATTTTAATCCCAATATTATTTGAGAAACAAGTTTTCTTCTTCTCCAAGTAGTAGGGTTTGATGGAAGCCTATAAAAGGAGGATTAGAGATTTATTTTTACAACCGAACTGGACCGAAAACTCACCGAAACCCTCACAGCTGAAAACCCCCCTCCGCCGCTGCAACTCACTACTCACCTCCGCCGACCTCTACCTTGACCACCACAAGCAAGCAGCTTCTCCTCCTTCTCCACCTTGCTCACCTCCACGAATACCATCACCTCACCTTAATCATCATCATCCCCCATCAGCGCCGCTCCACCTACCTTGCTCACCACCAAACCAAAGATCCCAGCCCCCTTGCTTCTCCTCCATTCCCACGCAGCAGCAGCCATCACCACCTTGCTTCCCTCTTCATCATTCACAAATTCTATCACCACCAGAGCTTGAGCTTCAAGCCGTCGTCGGGGAAGAGAGAGTGGAAGCAGGCAGCAGCCGCAAGGGCTTAAAGCCATAGCCGAGGAGGAGAAAAATCCGTGCAAATTCGAAGCTAGCAAAACCCGGGAGCTCTTCGGCGGTTCTTGCCTTCATCCGGGTGTTTCTATTTTAATTATTTAATTCAGCTTCTTAGGATTATGTCTCTAAATATTATTGAATTATTTTTGATAATGTTTAGTGGCTAAATTCTTTTAACCTAGGGCTTGGGTGCAGCCACCGGATTTATTTAGTTTATTTGGTTCATTATTATTCGATTTTTTTTATTAATTAATATATGTTATTCTTGTTTTAATTCATGTAAGTAATTGGCCACTATTTGCATATCTGAAGATATTAATCGAGGTAGCGAGAGTGGAAGATTAGTATTAGTTCGTAGGAATAATAGTATTAGGGTGTAAGCTACGAGAGTAAGATTATAACCTTTGCAACGTTAGATTCTTAAGTTCTTAATGTGCTTTTGTTAACCATATAGTCATGAGAGTAGTCATAGGGTTAATCTAAGTTAGAGAATTATAGCGCGAGAGTGTGTAGTTCTTAATTAGGTGAATCGTTGTGAGATTAATAGAAGTAAAAGTCAGATATTTGTGAATTGAACTAAACCAAATATTCGGTAGGTGAACCCAATGTCCTAGGTTTTCCCAATTTGATTGTTTCAACCTTTGAAAGTAGTTGCAATTTTAGATTTTTAGGTTTAGTTTTATCCAAAAATTTGAAATCATCATTTATCTAGATAATAATAGGAGTAATTTATACCTGGTAATTAGTATTCCTTCTCTGTGGGTACGAACCTATTTTCCGCTATACTAGTGTTAAGTAGGTGAATTTATTTGACTAGTTGTGACGACGGCTTGTCAAATTTGGCGCCGTTGCCGGGGAAGGCAGCTAATATCAAATTCAGATTACTTTCTTTTATTAGTTTAGATTTATTTTATTTATTTTATTTTCTTGCTATTTAGTTATTTCTTTCAAATATTTTTGTCTTGTTTTTACATGCGAAGTGCTAATTCTGAGACTTTGCAATTTGATCTAGAGATCGAGAGAACAGCTCGTGCGAACAGAAAAGAAGCAAAACTAAGAAAGGAGAAGAATCAGAGTGAAACCATGGGTGATAGAACTCAGACACTGAGGGATTACTTCACACTTACGGAGAATGTTGCTAGGTCAAGTATTACTAGGCCTATTATTGCCGCGAATACATTTGAGCTCAAGCCAGCATTGATCCAGATGATGCAGCAGAATCAATTCTGCGATTTTAACAATGAGGATCCAAATGCGTATATTGACAATTTTTTAGAGATCTGTGATACTGTTAAGATAAATGGTGTGACGTCAGATGCAATCCGGCTGAGATTTTTTCCTTTTTCACTGAGGGGAGAAGCGAAGAATTGGTTGAATACTTGCGATCCGGGTTCCATCACAACTTGGGATGAGCTTTACAAGGAGTTCCTGATCAATTTCTTCTCACCAGATAAGGCAGCGAAATTAAGAAATCAAATTACTGGGTTTATTCAAGAAGATGATGAGACATATCGATTCAAGGAATTGTAAAGAAGATATCCTCACCATGGTATTGAGAAAAGTACTCTAGTTCAGACTTTCTATCAAGGATTGACAGACTTTGCAAGAACCAATGTGGATGCTGCAGCTGGAGGTTCATTGATGGATAAGTCAATTGATGAAGCCTATGAATTGTTTCAAATTATGGCAAAGAATAGGAATCAATGGTCGAACTCGAGAAGTGTTTCCAAGAAGCCTGCTGGAATGTATGAAGTCAATGAACTTAGTGCCATGAACGCAAAGATAGATGCACTGACCAAGGCGATGGGTAATTTTGTCAATGCTAATGCAGTCTTCCATGCCACTATTTGTGAGTTTTGTGGAGGTTCTCATTTGACCTCTAAATGTATACATATGGCAAGTGCACAATATGTTTCAAACTTCAACAAGCCTCAGCAACAGAACAATCCGTACTCTAACACATACAATCCTGGGTTGCGAAATCATCCAAACTTTTCTTGGAATAATCAAGGGGCTCAAGACTTTAATGCAAGACCTCAAAACCCTATTGGTTTCCTAGCAAAGTCATACCAATCTGCACCTAAGTCAGCAACGGAGGTAAGTTTGGAGAGAATGGAGAAATTGTTGAGTGAAAATAATGAACGGTCTAACAGAATAGAATCAAGGTTAGATCAATTGACTACTGCTCATAGGACCTTGGAGATGCAAGTGAGTCAAATGGCCTCCGCCATGAATACTCGTGGGCAAGGTCAACTGCCAAGCAAGTCTGAAATCAATCGTGAAAATTGTAGTGCTATGATGTTGAGAAAAGGGAAGCAGTTGGGTGACAAGGAGGAACCAAAGACCACTGAAGTGAATGTGACCACTGATGAGAAGAAAGAAGGGAGTAAAGAGAGTGATGAAGAAAAGTGGAGAAAGTGGAACAAGAAGAAGAAAAGATATATGTGCCACCACCGCTTAAACCTTATGTTCCACTAGTGCCTTTTCCACAGAGACTCCATATGACCAAGCAAGATAGGTTGTTTGAGAAATTTCTAAAATTTTTTAGGCAATTGCATATTAACATTCCTTTTGCAGATGCTTTAGCTCAGATTCCTGCTTCTGGGAAGTTCTTGAAGGAGATCATCTCCAACCAAAGGAAAGTGGACAACTTTGAGACAATTGCATTATCTGAGGAGTGTAGTGCTGTTATTTAGAGAAAGTTGCCTCCAAAATTGAGTGATCCAGGGAGTTTCTCTATTCCTATCTCTATGGGTGATGTTTGTTTTGATAAAGTTTTATGTGATTTAGGTGCTAGTGTTTCATTGATGCCTTTATCTGTTTGTAGAAAGCTTGGGTTGAAACATTTGAAACCAACTAACATTACTTTGCAGTTAGCTGATAGATCCATAACTCATCCGAAAGGGATTTTGGAAAATGTGCTGGTAAAAGTGAAGAAATTTTATATCCCTGTTGATTTTGTTATGTTAGATATGGAAGAAGATACTAATGTGCCAATTATTTTAGGTCGACCATTTCTAACCACAGCTGGTACTGTTATAGATGTTAAAAAAGGGAGTTTAAAATTTCATATTAGAGAAGAATCTGTGGAGTTCACTTTTTCTGAAAATTACAAATGCCCTGCATTTACTCATCATGTGTTTAGGGTAGATATTCTTGAGGAGCTAGATAAAACTGATGTTTTTATTGCTAATTCTAAAGTTCCCCCTGATATATGTATCAGTGATGTAGGCACAGATAGAAATGGAAAAAGAATGATGTATCAAAGAGTTTCACACTCTTTGATTGAGCGTCCACCTGATTGATTAGCCATAAAGTCCGACTCATGACTTTATAGAAGCGCTTATTGGGAGGAAACCCAATTCTTTATTTTGCTTTATTTTTCATTTTCTTCCATTAATCAGTTGATGGTTAAGTTTTTTGTTCCTAATTATCTGGAGATCTTTGATTTCTGGATTTTCGTAGTTTTTCTTAATAATCTATTTTTAGGTTTGTTTTTCTAATTTACTTTAGTTTGCAATTAGGTTTGTTGGAAGGGCGAAACTCTGGTGTCCAGTGGTGCTGAAAATGAAACATCCAAAAGTCTGAAGAAGTTGGTCGTGTGCTTGGATGGCAGTTGCAACAGTTTATTCAACAATTTCGGTCCTTTGTTTTGCATTCCCAAGGTTGTGTCGTTTCTTTTCATTCTTTTTGTTCATGTCTTTTCTTTTCTTTTCACTTGGTTGTCTTGTCTTTTGTGTTTTATATATTGAGGGCAATGTATGCTTTAAGTGTGGGGGAGAGGAATATTTGTGTTTTGTATTGTGTTTTGTGTTAAAAAAAAAAAATACAAAACCCATAAAAATTGAAAACTCCAAAAAGGCCTATGATGAAGATGGTTTAATTATCTATAACATGTAAGAATTAGGCTATTTTGAATTGTATTGCTTAACTTATGTATTTCTATATGTTGTTTTGAATACCCTGCTTTTTATGCACTTAGTCGTGACTGTGGGATAAGCCTAAAGTGTGACATAGTTGCATGAGTTTGATGTAGATATGCCATGAAAAGTTGTGTTTGATTCACTGATACTTATATGATTTGTATGTGGAACCCATCATGTTGTGAAGGAAAAACAAGGCATTAACCCAATATCAGCCTTAAAAAAACCTTATTGCTTTGACACTTTGTGTTAAGTAAGTTTGGGAGAGGGGTGTTGGTGGATGTTTCTGAAGTTAGGTTAAATTTAATGAGGAAGAAAGGAAGAGCATTCAATGTTAGTGCTAGCCCCTTGAGAGGTGAGGAATTGGCAACCTGAGCTGAGAGTCCTCAGGCCCGGTGAGAAAAAATAGATATGTAGACTGCCCTAAGTTGCTGAGCCACTATGTATAGGAGTGGAAAAATGCTCTGGGTAGTGGCCTGAGTTGGAAAGAGTCCTGAAGAAAAGCCGCATGGACCGAAGAATAGGTTACGAGGGGGAATAGGTTGTCTGTAAGATAAGTCCTTCTACTTCATAGTATGTTTGGCGGTCCATTGCATTGAAATATGGTATGAAATGTGAGTCTGTTGTTAAAATAAAATGGCATATTTGCAGTAGAGCTTTTGTTTTCTATGTTCAATGTAAAGTGATGTCCCTAAGAAACGAATCACACACACACACAAGCGTGGGGGCTAAAAGTGCATATGGTTTGTATTGTGTTAGGTAGTGCATATTAGAGGTAGTCGAGGTCTTTGTGTTATATGGTGATTGAATCTCTGAGGCCGCCAAAATTAAATAATTAACTGTTTTTATTTGTTTTAATCTTTGGAAATGCTTGAGGACAAGCAATATTTCAAGTTTGGGGGTATTTGATGTGCTCATAATTTACCTATTTTTAGTATCCCTTTATGTGAAATTTTGCCAATATTTTGAGTACAAATGTGCTATTTATGTGATTTTATCTTTAATTGTAGGAATTGTACTCAAAAGGAGGAATTGTTGAAATTGTAGGCTAAAATGAAGATAAAAGTAACTTAAAG